CTTGCTAAATACATTTTTAAACTTTAAGAGGTCTCATCTCTGTTCCCCATTTTATTGATGAGACTTTTAAGGCCGCAGAAGACTCTAAACCCGCACCGCTAATGAGGGGAAGAGCCCACCCAAGCGTCAGCCCAGGTCTCTTAACACAAGCTTGCAAATGCGCTGCTGCACGTTCATTTTCAATTCAGTGAAACTTAGAAAATTGGGAAATGTGGGTTTCCTGATAAGTTGCCGTGCCTTCTTTTAATATTGGGGTTTCTTCTTAATTTGAAAACATAAATATTTATGCTGATGTTCTTTAATAAACAGTTCCACCCTGGCCAGGTGGCTCAGTTGATTGGAGCGTCATCCTGCACACCAAACGGCTGCGGCTGTGATCCCCAGTCAGGGCACATGCCTTGGTGGCGGGTTGGATCCCCAGTTGGGGCACGCACAGGAGGCAGCCAGTCAAAGTCTCTCTCACCTCATGTCTGTCCATCTGTCTCCTGTCCTCTCTAAAATCAACAAATACATTCTTGAGCGAGGACTCAAAAAAATTTTATATGTGTATGTATGTGTGTGTATATGTTTATGGCCTGTCCAGAAGGTATCCAGCCATGTAAAATGAGAAACAGAGACATTGAAGAAGAAACAAGAAACAGTGTCCATAGGACAATCATGCCTCAGTCTCCCTCAAAGTAGGCACCTTGGGACCTAACACAGTTCTCCCAGTCTTCATCAGCTGCCCCATTGTATTTTCCTGAATCTCATCAACAGTCTGAAATCTCTTCCCTTTCAAAGGTGATTTTAGTTTGAGGAAGAGCCAGAGTCACGGCACCAAATCTGGGCTGTAGGGAGGCTGAGTCACCTGGGTGATTTGATGTTGCACCAAAAAAACTCTTCATGAGCTGTGAGGTATGAGCAGGCACATTGTTGTGATGAAGCTGCCAATTACCAGTTGCCCATAACTACGGCCTTCTGAATTATCCTAATAGTGTCTGCAGAGGAATGTTTAAGCTTAATGCAAAATTTGATTCAGATTCGTTGCTGTACTGGCTTAGTCATTTTGAACGCATTGGCCACACAGCACACATGCTCACTCAATGGCATCTACCGCCCCCACTGACTAGTACAGTGAGTTGTCATTGCTCACACATGCGCGTTCCAGTCCACTCTCCTTGGCTGCCAGGTTATAGCAATGTTGTGCAGACTGTTCTCGTTTTGTTAACAATGGCTAGACTTTTATGTGTGTAGTGTTTTGTGTGTGTGTGTGTAGATAGCTTCCTAACAGTCAATCTTCATTACCCTACATGTCATCTTTAAAAGTTTTTTGAATTGATTTTATAGAGAGAGAAATATCAATTTGTTATTCCAGTTATTTATTTACTCATTGGTTGATTCTTGTATGTGCCCTGACCAGGCATCAAACCCACAACCTTGGTGTTTTGGGACAACACTCTAACCCAACAGTTTTTAACTAGGGTCACTGCTGGTGTTACACAAGAATTTAAAACATGCAACACCTGACTACTTAGGTGCACTGAGCTCTTTTCCCTCAGATGGTTAAATTAAAAAATGACAGCCTACACAATAGCCATTTGGTGTGAATAAGTCAAATTTACACCTATTATTTTTGTCAGAATGACATATTTTTTGCCTCGTAGAAGAATTTTGGTAGTTTATGCGTGCCACAAGACGAAAAAGGCTGAAAATTGCTGCTCTTTGAACCAACTGAGCTACCCAGCCAGGGCTTTATCCTTTATGTCTTAATGGTTCTTCCTCAGTGAGCGTCCGTACAGCAGGTGTGTGAGCACTTGTGCGAGTGAACCTTTTCTGTTGCAGTGTGTGCAGTGAAGCGCTGAGCTACTTCCTCACTCTGACATCAGAGAGTCATCGGGAGGCCTGGACCAACTTGCTGCTTTTGTTTCTAACTAAAGTTCTAAAGATAAGTGATAACAGGGTAAGTATGAGACAGCGTATCCAGTCCAGCATTTCTAGCTTAATAGAGTCAAAGTATATCAGTTCCAGACTATGAATGTATCATCTTTGCCTGGAGATTGAATAGCTCATTCTGCAATATTAGGTAGAATTTCTCCTGAAAATTAAAATTTTATTGAACAAATAAAAGATAGTTTCAGTAACCCATATATAGCTCATAAAACTCAACTGTGGTTTCAGCTGGGCCTCTTACTTTTGTTTATTGCCTGGAAGAAACAGTGATAAATACTGAAAGTTTGTCAAGGAAATATAGTGGAAGATGTTTTTCAAAATAAGGCAGATAACCAAGTGAACAGTGTGTATATGAAGTGAGTCTCGTGGAAGCCTCTGGTCTTTCAGTTGCATCATCAGCACATCATTGCTTCACGCAGACACTTCCCTGTCCGCAGTGGCCAGGGCTCCCCCCACAGGGATTTGACACTGAAGGGAGTTTCAGGTCCTGGGATTTGGCATGCAAGCACTACTAATGGAGAAATTCGTTTTCCCTCCCAGTTTAAAGCTCATGCATCATTCTACTACCCTCTCTTATGTGAAATTATGCAATTTGACTTGATTCCTGAACTTCGTGCTGTCCTTAGAAGATTTTTTCTGCGAATTGGAGTAGTTTTCCAGATATCACAACCATCTGAACAGGAACTCGGAGTACACAAGCAATGATGGCAACTTAATATTTTTCTCTTGGCGTTTACATCCCTCTGCTCTCTAAAAGGACCCTGGAGCTGAGGTTTTCTACCTGAAAAATGGTTTCTCTGAATTTCAGCATCTACGGGTTACTGGTACAAATGCTTAGAACTAGAGCTCAGTCTTGCAACTCTCCAGTCCCTCTCAGTGATGGATCCCGTTTGCCATGTTGGGCTCACGTGGAGCAGAAAGCCCGTGTCCAGTGTCAGCTTATGCTCACGTCCTTCCCTGTCCTCAGTGGCAGGGAGAACCCTGCATATTTTTGGCAGTTATGGAAGTGAAACTTACCCAAAGAACTATAGATGTAAAGATTTGAACTTCTGCAAGAAGTACAACTCAGGAGAGCTGTATTTTGAAGGATAAAATGTTTATAACTGGGGAGTGGGGGGAGAAGAAATTATTGTTCATGGTAAAAGATATTTAGCAACTATGGTATTCTTATTCTGAAATTTTTGCACACTCAGGCTATCTGAGATACTGGTAATCATCCTTCTGTGAAAAATGTACAGAGATGCAGGTCTGTAATATAAAAATCTTAAACATTATATAGTTCTTCTTGCACTGTTTTATTTCTTTATTTTCTTATTCATTTGCTAAATACCTATAATAATTTGTCAGATGCACTAAGAATTCTGGATTGTACATTTTATCTTTTTTTATTTTGTGGGGATTTTGGTTTTGCCCTTTGGGGGAGGGGGTTGGTACTTGCGGAGGGTTAACACACCCAGGCGCTGTCGTGGCCGACACCTGTCATGACCAACAACAGCAAAAGTGGGAGATATCCCTGCTGACACAACTACCTGTGACATACTTCTCTTAGGGCTTTTACAGACGAGCCATTAAAATAGAGTGATCCTTCATGGACTGAAACTTGAATCACTGCAAAATGAATCTAGGTCGCTGTCTCTTTCTTTTCTTTTGGGTGGCGGGGCTTGATGTAGATTTTACTCTTATGTACAGAATTTAATGTTGAATATATTAAAGTAACAACTCTGGCATGGTTTGAGGAGGTTAGATTTACTGGAAATGTATTCATACTGTGAATTGTGTTCTGATGGTTAAAAAATGACAAGATTGTCAAGCATTCCGTGTTAACAGTGGATGTAGAAAATTTTTTCAGATGGATAAAATGTATATGGTACAGATGTAAAGTTTTCTATGTAAAAAATTCTGTACAACTTTCTGTACAATATTGATTCTCATCTGGCATATTCTAATCAGGTTATAGATCAATAAAGTTTTTGGATTATTTCATCAGTGCAATCAAAACCTGTGTAATCCATGGCCCCATGTTTTATTGATTTTTTAATTTTATTTTTTTATTAAAAGACAGACAATTAAGGGAAGGATGTATTCTGCCAGAACTAAAAATTCAGAATTCTTTAGTTCTAAAATTTTCTTTCTAGTTTCTGACATTAGATTTGCCCCCATTACCCTGCTTTTCAACCAGAAGATATTTATAATTTAGTATTTTGTGTATTTATTGATAACCCAGAATAATGCTACACTATTTGAATAGTGAGAAAAGGCAGTAATACTTCCTTTGGGGCAGTTGGCAGTAGGGCATGTGTGTCCTAGAAGTCAGTTCAAGTTGTGTGGTACAATGGCATTAACAAGGAATATCAACATGCTAAAATACTTTTAAGGCTGTATTCAAAAACAAGTGTTCAGTCTTTGCTCGCACACATCTCAGAAAATGAGTAGTTTCTGAACTATGCACTTTAAGTTGACTATATTTATTACCCCCAAGATGGAGCCTGTTTCAGCTCAGCTGGGTACTACAGCTGGGAGTCACCCACCTAGGTATCTCGGAGCCTCTGTGATCTTCCTGTCTGAGAGGTGTTTCCAGTAACCTGGAAGTTTGTTATTTCATGGTATAGTATCAAGATTTTCCCTAAAGGAGACAGAGGCCTTCATCTAACTTTTAGTTGACGATATAACAAGAAAAATCTTTATAGTAAAAAAAAAATGATTAGATTACAAGTTGAGTATAAAATTTACATGCAGCTAAAATTCAAAGTATGAGAAATTATACTCTTGAGGTAAGTGAATCTGATCTTCTCTGCCATTGATGATGTCAGCGGGAGGGAGTGTGCAGGAAGCAGCGCTGTGGTATCTTGGCTGTTGTGCTAAAGGTGCTAAATAATTATTTCCCAAAATTGAATTTTTTAAAAGATACCTCTTATGGAGTGACTAGAAAGACTGAGTCTCTTAGTCAAGAGTCCGTGGGGGTGCAGCAAGGATGCCAGTTCATCCTTGACTCCGGGCGCCCCCGCCTCTCTCCAATGTCTAGAACACCTTGTCTAGAGACATCAATTCCAGTTAAAATAAGAAACCAGCACTGGTAGTAAAATATAATTTATTTCTTCTATCAAGAAGTTAAATCATATAAATTAGTAAACTTAATTGGCACAAAAACAGAGGCAGAAAGATGTAACATTTAGTGCATGGCTCATGGAAATAAAATCAATTATGACTCCCATCATTTATACTGAATTAGCAGTTATAAATGACAGGGAAATAATTTGATTCTCTCATTACATAGCAACTGGAATAGTCACAGCTACAGCCAATGTATTCATTAATGAATTATTTTCAATAGCAATAACAAATATACATATAATAGGTTTCCCGGTTTTACAGGTCTGTTGAGATACTTGTGTTTTATTCATCTTACAAACAGAATTTACAATAGTGCACATAACGTTAGTTCATTACCACCCTGATTTATGGCAAAATTGTGCAAAAATAATTCTATACAACTGTATATAAATTAATCATGGCCTTTTATTTATGTACATGCTGTACATTATATACACCGCCATGGAAATATACCTTATATGCAGATGGAACATAAGTAACTTCCAGGAAGTGGTCAGAGTAGCACATAAAGGTTCAGAGTAAACATTCCTTTCTCTTTAAAAGGCACTGCTGAGCCCAACAAAGATTTATTTTAACCATGCGCAGTAGACAGGCCCTGCCAATTGTAAGTGCCTGGTTTTCCAGGAACCTGCTGCTGCTCTTGGTCCAGCTGCTCCGCCATGAATCGTTTCAGCGTTTCTGAGGTGCCCGGGCGGAGCCAGGGTTCGGTTGCTACAGAGCTTGATCCATCGTCACCCACATGTTTCATGATGTCTTCAGGGTCAACCAGTGAACTCTCATCATCTAAAGGAGGCAAGAGAGACATGACTCAGGTGGGTGGCAGGCAGGTGATGTGAACATAGATCAGTCTTTCTCCGCAATATTATGTTCTCAACTGCACGGGTTTTGACCAGACACCCCTCATTCTAGAGGTAGGAAAGTGAGCCCGGGAAGGGAGCCAACATTAGGAAACAAAAAAACACAACTGAAGGTGACTCCGCGGCACTCATGCCCCAGGGACCCTCCCTAGGATGGCAGAGGCAACCACAGCCAACGTAAGTGGGGGGTAGGAGTGCTCTTTTATTTTGTCACCTTCAGGAGAAACCCAATGGACACCATGGAAAACTTTGTTTTGATTTAACAGGATTTTGGAAATACTCCCAACCTACAACACGGCTATAAGGGAATTAAAAGTCATTTCAGGAAGCACTAGATGGGGGTGAAATTACTTCCATTTGTATACCATTCTAAGAGGTTGTGTCTGCTCCATTAAGAGAAAGCTTTTTAATTTGCTTTATTTTTAATTGAATTGATTGTACTCCTATATCTGTGTTTTACTTATAGATACAATAATAGGAAAATCTGTCTTCCTACCCTGTGATGTCAATTTCTTTTTGGTTTTTAAATAACATCTCCTGGTCTGTGAAGGATTACCCAGCAAAGGAACCTGTGCAATCAATTTAATGAGCAATCAATCCACATCGTACCAAAAAGATCCTGTTTGAAAGGACAGTATTAAAAAAAAAAAGTTTAGAAGTTGAACACCTTCTGAAAGAGTAAATTCTTATAATGCTGTCTCCTCAATTTAATAATATCACTGTTAAATATTTAACTTACTGATTCTAAAAGAAATTGAGGAACAGAAAACTTATAATACAAATTAAATGTTTTTTAGCTAAAAAAAAGCATTGCTTTCCCACTGTTGCATATTTTTCTAGGTATGATATGAAAAGCACTATTCCATCAATTCTCTGTTTGCTGATATATGGTATGGAATTATCAGAACAGATGACACCTTGACTGCTAGCAAGAGTGTGCAAGTAGTTTTAAATTAAATAGAGTATTAAAGGTAAGATCTAAAAATATCTCATGACAATTGCTATAAGAAAATTAATGTAGCTTAACAGACTAAAGAAAATTGTCCAACCAGACTATTATTTGCTAAAACAATACAATAGAACTTACGCATTATAAAATTACCCCATTATCCAAACAACTTATAACATCAACATTAAAAAGGTGGTCTAGGGCTGGCAGAAGAGATCATTGGCCACCTAAGGAACTGTCCAGCCTGCCTGTGCTTGTCACTAAAGCAGTGATAGCAAAGCCCCACAGGATTCAAAAACTAAACTTTGACTTATGAAAAGGAAAATTAACCTGAGGCTACTGTGTCCACAGTACGGAAAGCCAACTAAAAAGGTGAAAAAGCCCTGACTGGTGTGGCTCAGTCGGTTGGGCATCGTCCCACACAGCAAAGGGTCAGGTCACCAAGTTCCCGGTCAGGGCAATGCCTGGGTTTTGAGATTGTCCCAGTAGGGGCATGTACAATCTTTAAAAAAATATTTTATAAAAAGTTAAAACTATTTTTATAGTACTACATATTTATATAATGTATGTGTTATCTTAAAAACTCAAAAGGTTTTTTTTTAGTTAAACATTTTTTCGGACTGGTTATTTGATATAATTTTAAGTATGAAGGTTTTTTTATTTCAAGTAATTTCAGATAATCTCTCACTTCAGTGTGGGAACTGTGATGCTGATACTGACGGTCATCTTCCCTGCTGAAATACCCTCCTCTCTGGTAGAAAGAATCAGAGGTAACATTAATCCTGAGTCCTGGTTTTGCTGGATGGTTGTGTTACAGGCCCTACAACCCAGTCCCCCAGCCACAAGTGAAAACTTCCATGCAAGCAGGTTGAAGGTCCTTACAGAATCTGCTATAGGCCCTTAAAGTCGGCCATTTACCTGTATTAATAGGTTTATTCTGAAGTTCATTCAATCTTCGCATTCGTTCCTCATTTCTCATTCTAATCTGATCAACATTTACACTGGATTCAGATTTTAAAGAGAGACCGTCTGACAGCACATCAGGACGACTGTTATCCTGTAGTCAGAGAACAAGTTCAGAAATGATCATCAACATGAAGCATGTTCAGAATAAATGAGTGAATCAACACAGGTTGTTGCCTTTGCTAAGTATACAGTGTGATCAACAAAATAAAACAAGTGAGAATCTGTGGCATGCACTTACACTCTAACTCCAGGCTGAGATGCAGGCATTGCACTTGTAACACAGACACTACCAGACTGGACAGAGGTAGAAAACGCAGTTACCCCAAACCCAGCAATTTTAGGTATATACACAAAAGAGATGAAAACATCAAAAAATCTTGTGCACAAATATTAAAAGCAGCCATATTCATAACAGACAAAAAGTGGAAACAACTTAAATGTCCATCAGGTGCTGAACAGATTTAAAGTGTGGAATATCCATTAATGGAATATTGTTCAGCATTAAAAAGGAGTCTGGGCAGGGTGCATGTGCTCTGTTGGACCATACCGGTTTAGCATGGGCCAGAACCCAGACCTCGCCCCTAAACTGAAAAGGGAGAAAAGGAGAATTCATACATACAAAAGCCAGTCCTTTCAATTTGCTCCTCCTGCGCTCCCTCGCAGAGGGCAGCTGTGAGGGTGGAAGGACAGCATCCTCTTCAAAGGCAGGATAGGTCTCCCCGTAAGCACCTAGAAACAGCACATGAGGGAGAAGTTGTAAGCACCGCCCACTTCAATCGTTTTACTCAGCTAAACCAAGACAGCTTTTTCTTAGCTGTTAATAAAATTCACCCATTATAAATGTGCATAGTTCAATGGCTTTTATAGAATTGTGCAATCGTCATTATGATCTAGTTTTAGAACATTTCTGTCACTTCAGAAAGTTCCCTTGTGCTCAATGGCAATCACTCCCCCACGCCCACCTGCCCAGCCCATGTAAACACGGGTCTGCCTTCATCTCAATGGACTCCCATTCCCTGAGATTCCATGGAAGAGTAATTATACAATGCAGTATGTTGTCTTTCACTTAGCATAAACGTTTGAGGCTCATCTATGCTGTGACATATATCAGCAGTTCATTCTTTTTTCATTGTTGAACAGTATTTACCAATTGATGGACATTTAAATTGTTTCTAGTTGGCAATTATTAATGCTATTACGAACATTCACATACATGTCTTTTTGTGGTCATGTTTTCGTCTCTTTGCAGTGTATTCCTAGGAGTGAAATTGCTGGGAAATTCTACATTTATCTTTTTTCAAGAACTGCCAAACCATTTGCATAAGTGGTTCTACCCATTTCACATTATGACAAAGTTCTAATTGCCCCACCTATTCACCAACATTTGGTGTTGTCAATATTTTTTTAATTTTTAAAAAACTATTCAGCCCTGGGTAGCATAGCTCAGTGGATTGAGTGTGGGCTGCGAACCAAAGTGTTGCAGGTTCGATTCCCAGTCAGAGTACATGCCTAGGTTGCAGGCCATGACCCCCAGCAACCGCACATTGATGCCTCTCTCTCTCTCTCTCTCTCTCTGTCTCTCTCTCTGTCTCTCTCTGTCTCTCTCTCTCTCTCTCTCTCTCTCTCTCTCTCTCTCTCTCTCTCTCTCTCTCTCTCTCTCTATATATATATATATATATATATATATATATCTACCTCCCTTCCCTCTCTAAAAATAAATAAATAAAATCTTAAAAAACTGTTCAATGTTATTCATAGTTGACATTCAGTAGTATATCAGTTTCAGGTGTACAGCATGGTGGCTAAACATTTATACCAAGCAGTGCAATTGCTGTATAGTACAGTAAGAGTATCTTTGCTTTTGTACAAAACCACCTTCCCATCTTCCAAAGTGTTTGTGCCACTTTGTAGTCCACCACCAAGCAGTGAGAATTCCTGTTGCTCCATATCCTTACCAGCATTTGGTGGTGTCAGTGTTTTAGATTTTGGCCATTAAATAGGTGTGTAGTGGTATCTCATTGTTTCATTCATTTGCATTTCCCTGATGACATATAATGTGGAGTATCTCTTCATATGCTTATTTAATGAAGTGTCTGTCTGGATCTTTTGCCCATCTTTTAATTAGATTATTCTTATTAATGAGCTTTAAGAGTGCTTTGTATATTTTGGATAAGAGTCCTATATCAGAGGTATCTTTTCCAAGTATTTTTTCCCCACTCTGTGGCTTGTCTTCTCATTTTCTTGACATTATCTTTTACAGAACATTGATTTTTGATGAAGTCTGGTTATCTATTTCTCTCATGGGTCGTACTATTGTTGTTGTATCAAAAAAGTCACTGCCATACCCAACTTCTTGTAGGTTTTCTCCTATGTTATCTTCTAGTTTTATAGTAATGCATTTTACATTTAGGTCTAAGGTCCCTTTTAGTTGATTTTTGCATTGGATGTAAGGTCTTCATTAAGATCCTTCCTTCCTTCTCTCTTTTTTTTTGGGGGGGGGGATGTAGGCGTACAGTTCTAGAAGCATCGTTAAGAGTTTTTAGTTGTCTTCATATTAATCTTTTTGGGGGGATTTATAGAAGTATTTCTTTTTGGGGGGAATGCTAATATAAATGATCTTATGGGGTGTTTGAGTTTTTTATTTCTTTACTGAGGTAACATTGGTTAATAACAAATTTCAGGTGTACATTATAATTTGAACCTTATACTCGAATGCACATTCATCACCAAAAGTCTAGTTTCCTTCCATTACCATATAGCTGACGTGCTTTACCTATTTCACGTTCCCCCTACCCTTATTCCCCACAGGTAATGCCCATTCTGTTCTGTGTGTGTGACTGTTTTTTTTGTTTTCTTAGTTCATGTTACTTTTGTTTTATATTTCACATGAGTGAAATCATATGGACTTTGTCCCCTTCCCTCTGACTTATTTCACTTAAGATAATCCTACAAGATCCATCCACACTGTTCCAAATGGCAACATTTCATCTTTTTTGTACCTTAGTAATACTCCATTGTGAATATTATATATATATTATCACATCTTCTTTATCCACTCATCCACTAATGGACATTCAAGTTATTTCCACTCTTGGCTACTGTAAATAATGCTGCAGTGAACCTGGGGGTGCATTTATCTTTTCTGGTACTTCCTTATCGGAAGTAGAATTTACAAATATCTTCTATTTAATTGGTTGCCTTTTGGTTTTGTAAATGGTTTCTTTTGCCATGCAGGAATTTTCCATTTGCTGCAATCCCACTTACTTATTTTTGCTTTTGTTTCCCTAGCCTTTGGAGTCAGATTCCCTGAAACACCACAAAGACAAATATTTTAGAGACTCAGTGCCTGTGTTTTCTTCTATGTATTTAAAGGACTCTCCTTTCTCCAGTGTATATTGGCTCCTTTGCCATAAATTAGTTGCCTACATGTATGTGGGTTTATTCCTGGGCTGTAAATTCTGTTCCATTGGTCTGTGTACCTTTTTCTGCCAATATTATACTGTTTTAATTACCATAGCTTTATAGTATAATTTGAAATTGAGGAGTGTGATAGCTCCAGTTTTGTTCATTTTTCTCAGGATTGCTTTGGCTATTCAAGGTCTTTTGTGGCTCCATTCCAACATTATTCTATTTCTGTGAATGATGCCATGAGGATTTTGATAGGGACTGCACTGACTCTAGATTGCTTTAGGTAACATGGACATTTTAACAATGTCAATTCTTCCAGTCCATGAGCACAGAGTATCTTTTTATTTCTTCCTGTCTTCAATTTCTTTCAATGTCTTATAGTTTTCAGTGTACAGGTCTTTCACCTCCTTTGTTAAATTTCTTTCTAGGCATTTCATTCTTTTTATTGCAACTGTAAATGGAATTGTTCTCATTTCTCTTTCTGATAGTTCATTCTCAGTATACAGAAACACTACAGACTTCCATATGTTGAGTTTTCTGTCTTGTAGTTACTCGTAGTTGATTTCTAGTTTCATACTATTGTGGGTGAAGAAGCTTGGCATGATTTCAGTCATAAGTTTATGGGGACTTGTTTTGTATGCCAACATATGGTCTATCCTTGAGAATGTTTCATGTGCACTTGAGAAGAATGTGTGTTATGTTTTTGGATGAAAAGTTTTATAAATATCTATTCTAATGTGTCTTTTAAAATAGCTATTCATCTGATCTAATATTAAGTCATTTAAGGCTGCTCTTTTCTTGTTGACTTTCTCTGTATGATCTGACCATTGGTGTAAGTGGAATATTAAAGTTTCCTCCTATTAATGCATCACTATGTACATCTCTCTTTATATCTAATGATAATTGCTTTAGCCCTGGCCAGTGTGGCTCAGAGTGTCATCCTGTAAGCAAACAGGTCACTGGTTTGATTCCCAATCATGGCACATGCCTAGGTCGCAGGTTTGTTTCCTGGTCAGGGCACACATGAGGCAAAAGATCAATGTCTTTCTCCCTCGCCTCTCTCTCTAGAATCAATAACTATGTCTTGTGGTGAGGATAAAATAATAATTGCTTTATATATTTTGGTGCTCCTAGGTTGGTAACAAGAAAAGTGGCTACACCCACTTTTCTCTGGATACCATTTGCCGTATCATCCTCTACCCCTTCACTTTGAGTCTGTGTTTGTCTTTGGAGCTGAGATGGTCTCTTGAAGGTAGCACATAGTCAGGTCTTTTTTTAAAAAAATCCATCCAGCTATCTCTGTCTTTTGACTGGAGAGTTCAGTCCATTTACACTTATGGTGATTACTGATATATAAGGACTTACTACTGCCATTGTATCTTTTGTTTTCTCATTGTTCTGTATCACCATTGTTCCTTTATCCTTGTGTTTCTGTCTGCTCTTGTAATTTGGTAGTTTTCTGTTTGTCTCCATTTCTATGTTCCATGTCTCAGCTCTGGATTTGTGTGGTTACCATGAGGTTTATATCAAGTGTCTCATGGATAAAAAGTCCTTTTTCATCTTTAGCATCCTAACCTTCATTCATCATACAAATTCCATATTTTTCCTCCTCTCCTTTTTTGTTGTCACAAATTATGTCCATCTGTGTGTTCATTACCAAACTACAGTAGCTTTGGTTTTTTTAGTGCTTTTGCCTCCTTTAACCTTTGTTATACAATTGCTGAACACCCTATTCTGAAAGAGTTGCTCTTTTCTGCTTCCATCACCTTACTCCAAGTTTTGTACACTTTTATCTTGTTTCAGGTGGAAGATCCTTTCAACATTTTTTATAATGAATAAATTACCCAAGCTTTTGTTTTATTTAAATCCTTTATTTCTCCTTTATATAAAGGGTAGTTTTACCGGGTATATTATTCTTGGGTAGTGGTTGCCTGTCTTTCAATATTTTGAATATATGATTCCAGTCTCCTGGTTTGTCGGGTTTCTGATGAAAAATCTGGTAACCTGATGGGGTTTCCTTTGTAGGTATTGTCTTTTTCCATGACTGCTTTCAACATTCTCTATCGTTAATTTTTTCAATATAATGTGTTGGAGAATGTCTTCTTGTACCTGTATGTCCAGTTCCTTCCTTAAGTTAGGGAAGTTCTTGTCCGTTATTTTTTGAGTAGGCTTTCCGATCCCTTCTCCCTCCCTTCTCCTCCTGGGATACTCATTATCCTTATTGTTGCCCTTTCTAATAGAGTCCGCTAGTTCTTGTAGAGTTCTTTCATTTTTTAAAAGTCTTAGTTCTTCTTCTACCTGAATTGTTCCTAGATTTTTATCCTGAGCTCACTAATTCTCTTTCATGTGGTCTCCTCTATTTCCAATACTTTCTAATGCATTCTTCATCTTATTTTATTGAATTATTCAGCTGCAGAATTTTTTGAAAGTGTCAATTTCTTTGATAAAGTACTGCTGATCATTAATTTTATTCAATGAGAACTGCCCTTCTAAGGTGTTTTTGTGTCTTATTGACATTTCTTGTGACTGATTCTGTGAATTCTCCATCACTCAGATCAGTCTTCCAGGAGTTAGAATTTGATTTCTTGGTGGTTCATGTGACTGAGAGGTTGTTCCTGTGCAGGCGTATTTGAGTTAGCAATATCTTTCTTAGGTGCCATTTTGATTTTATCAATTCAGCAGGTTGACAATTAGAGGTCACTTTTTCATAAATAGTGCTACAGCGTAAATTTTTTTCTCTTACATGCTGTACTTGCCCCTCTGGGTGGTGACAGGGCTGTGATCATGGCAGTCACCACCTGGGTGACTGGGGAGGTCAGTGTTTCTGCTGTGTCCAGGTCACCTGGGTATCGGGAAGCCACCACCCTGGTAGGGGATGTGGCTGGTTTGAGGGAGCCAGGTTCTCAGATCCACTGCTACCTGGTTCCCGTGGCAGCTGGTGCCACTGTGTTGTAGTCGGGAGGCCATAGACACGTTTTGACCGCTGCTGCCAGGCTCTTCCACAATCAGGGCAGAAAGCTGGATCCTCAGGGACCAAAGCAGCTTCTTGCCCACTGCCAGGCCACTTGATGGTTGTTACAATGTGAGTTGAGACTAGTCACTGCTTGTGCAAGGCTTGGGACCACTTAGCAAGAGGTACAGGGTACACAGAGGCCAGCACTGCTCTTCTCAGGGGTCTGTGTACCTTTAAGATCTGGGGCGAATCCACAGTATTGAGCAGAGACAGGTTGCTTGTGTGGAGCAGCTTACTGTTGGAGGCTCCGGCAGGGAATGCGTGTTGGGTAGGGCGAACAGTATTAACCAGATTAATGGAGAGCTTAGATTCGGTGCCAGCCTGCAACAATGGAACAGTGACGCTTGCTCACACTTCCTTCCTGGGAGAGAGCTGCCTTGATCCCTGGCACTTTTCAAGCTGCTGCCCCTGCTAGTTTCAAGCAAGTTGAGTTTGTGTGTACAGGCACAAGGCCCCTCAAGAGAACTGCCTGGGACCCCAGAAGCCCTCCATATCATTCAACCAAAACCCCACTGGTTTTTACAGCCAGATGTTACAGGGACTTCTTTTCCCAGCTCTGGTGTCCCGGGCTGGAGATTGCCGTGTGGAGCTGGAACCCCTTGTTCCTCAGGGGGAACCTCTGCAGCCAAGGTGTCCCTCCTGGTTTCTTAATCACCCACTGTGTGGGACCTGCCCGATCCATATCTCCACCCTTCTTACCACTATTGATGTGGCTGCTTCTTTATGTCCTTGCTTGTAAGATTTCTGTTCAGCCAGCTTTCAGGTGGTTCTCCATGACTGCTTTCTATGATCTAGTTGTAATTTTGATGTGGTTGTGGAAGGAAGCAGGCGTAGTGTCTACTTATGTTGCCATTTGGATTGGAAGTTCTTCCTATGACTTGCTAAGTTAATTTTAATTTTCTGATTTCAAAAACATTATAAGCCATGTTTTATAACAAACAGATTGGTAAAATATACTCACCAATAAAAGCACTATCAGATTCCAATAATGAATTTTTCAAGAAATCATTAGTGTCATCTCTGGGCTAAAAAAAACATCATATATTAATTACTATTTTTATTAGTCCCACGTGGGAAAACATTCATACTAAGAGGCATATGTTTCCACACTGTCCCAAAAACTAGCAAAATAGGATGGGGAGAGGGAAGACTGGCTGTTTCCTTCCCATACTACATTCCAGGGCTCAGAAAATATAGGAAAAATCTTTCTCTTAAGGGTTATGTTACTGCTGATGAAAATGGAATATGAAGCAATGAACCTAATTAAACATTATAAATTTTTAGATCATTGCTGAGATTCAGTCAGTCTTTCAGTAAATCTGTACAGTGCTCGATTTCTCCATGCTAGGAAATGGAGAAGCAGAAATGAGTAAAAGATTTTCTATCCTGGAGCAGATCACAGTTCTGTGGGGGGAGAGGCCTGTCCTCTGATAATGGCAGCCCTATGGGGCCACGGTTCCCACAAAGGTATGGCACAGATCTACAGGGACCGGGGGAGGCTAAGAAAATAATGCTGGAGGAGTTGGGTTTCTAACAATACAAAATGAGAGGTAACTTCACCTCCCTGCACTTCCACACCAGATTCTAAGATGTGCTGGAACACTCCAGTTAAGAGCTCTCTTTTTTCAAAGAAACACATTGTGCTGATTATCCTCCACACACTTAATTTAAATCTCCTTTTTAACACCATCGACTCTACTGCTTTCCAGCTTGATAACTGTGAGGAGGAGGATGGCATCTAACGTTTACCAAATGGTCTGCGCCAGCTGTTCCTGCCCACCCTCTGTCCCGCACCACCGCCCTTCACACAGCTGAGTGGTGTGCTGGGGTCCACCTGGGCCCTAGCTTCTCCGTGACAGTCTCCCAGATTCATCTTGTAGTTTCCATCTCATCCAGTTCCTAGGAAAATGAGGACCCCCAAATTTGAGCTTTTTTGTAAAAGCCAAGATAAACCCGTGGCTTATGCTGAGTTTCTACTCAACAGAATATGGTATGATCATCTTAACCAAAAATCTAAATGTTAAATTTGAGTATACTTTCACTGAGAAATATGGTCGCCATATATGAAGAAACCTGCCACCTGCACAGTATCCAGGACGAGGTGTCGGTACATCTCAGGCCACACAGTGTGGAGACAAGGAGCTCTAGACTCCGGCCCGGGTTTGAATCGGTTTTACTGCTCGCTGACTAGGACCATGGGCTAGCAGTGTCCTCTCAGATAAATAGGGATAAGCATGCCTTGGTGTGCCCTTCAGAGAAGTAAATGTTAAATACCTGGCACAGGTACAGTGTGTGCTATGGTAGCTATTAGCAACATTGTCATCATTGTCAGTTTAAAACAAAGCACCCACAGCTACCAACTAGTAACCAGAGCAACTAGCAACCTAGCTGGGCTTTACTTCTACAACCTGAGGATAATACTTCCTGCACCAGTAATGTGAAATTAAATAAATTTAATTTCCACACACGATCTTTTCACCCGAACTCTGTCTCCTATCTACCTACTTGTAAGCCACAACTACTTGTCTGATAGCCATCTCAAACTTACCACATCTCAAACTAAGTTCCTGATTTTCTCCCCCCGCCTTAAATTTTTTTTCTATTTCTCAACCTCTGTAAATAGCAACCCCCAACAAAAACCTTGACGCCCATCTTTGAGTCCTCGTATTCCCCACATTAATTACATCCAGAATCCTATCAGATCTCGTTTGCACATCCCCTGCTCCGGCCCAGGCTACATCACCTCTCTCCCCTAGATTATAGCTGTAGCTTCCTGTCCCCTCTGTCCTCAATGAATAGCAGTCAGTGATCATGGTAAAGCATGAAATAAATCACATCACTCCTTTGCTCAAAAACTTTGGAAGCTTCTCAACACATTCACCACGTAAAAGGCAATATCCTACGTCAGCCTGCGAGGCCCTGCGGTCCAACCCATCCCCTGTCCCCCCTCCCTGGAGGACTCAGTGTTCTCCAGCCTCCCAGGCCTTCGCCTCCTTGCCCCGCCCCAACTGGGGCCTCGGCTGTGTCCCACCTCCCTGAGGCCCTTGTTGGAATGTTACCTGCTTGCATGACCACTGTACTTCAAACTGTACACTGTTTCACCCTGGGACTCCCAGCACTCCCCAGGACCCCCTTCCCCAGCTATCATCTTCTCCAGAACTCCACAACTTAAGATACTAATTTTATATATTTGTTATTGTCGCTCCCTCTTACCAGAAAGTCAGTCCCCAGAGGGCAGGGATTTTTGCTCTTTTCGTTCACTCCTCTATCTCCAGCACCTTGAATAGTATCTGGTCCATAGTAAGTATTCAGTAAATATTTGTTGAGTGAAAATGGTTCATCCCTTACTTTTCTTCACTCTTTGCACAGATGTCACCTCCTCAGGATAAGAGTGACACCCTTACCTTGCTTATTTTCTGTACAGGCCTGACCACTACAGCTAATACTGACAGCAAACACTTATACTGCACACTCATTATGGGCCGGGTCCTATTCTAGGGGCTCTTAATGTAATACCTCAATACTCACAATGCTTGAGTTCTTTATTACTTTTTTAATAAACATTAAATTATTACATGCTAGGCCACTAATATGTGTCTTGCAAATATTAATGAATTTAATTCTTATGGCCACCCACAGAGGCAAGTACAGTTAACCCATTTCACAGATTAGGAAGCTGAGTCACAGAAAGATTAAATAACCTGCCTGAAGTCACAAAGCAAAAAACAAACTAGAGTCTTGTTCTTAGCTCTTTTAATATGCTTTCTCTACTAGTACATCTCTAGCTACCCACTGCACTGATGAGACAAGATTTAAAATCCTTAATTCAATATGCCTGAAAATTCAAAATTGGAATAGTCACTGGTCATGTTCCTAAAAAATTTTATCCCCCAAAAATGAGCTTGAAAAATTAGAACTGGTCCCTTACCATTCTGTGGTCTCGTGTTTTAGTGTTTGGGATGGCATCCGGGTCCACTGTCATCAATGGAGAACAAAAACAAATGAAAAGGTTAGAAAACATTTAAAAAGTAAAATAAATTTTAGAGTATCTTTTGTAACTAACTCTGATAGAAACTACTTTTCAACCATTGCATTACAGGATGTTTTTATTACTTGCTTATCAATAAATGCAACCCAGTATTCATTCTAGCTGGATAAAACCCCTGTTCACGTTAATCAATAGGAATAAATAAAATCAGTATGAATTTGAACCTGATACCTACAGAAAAAAAAAAAACAATGCAGGATTCTTCACCATCTTCTCAGAGTTCCACATTCTGTGTAGAAAGTTGTTAAGTGGTATTAGTGAGGGCTTCCACACGTCTGATCAAAGGAAGCTAACTCACTTCCGGCCCCCTGGCCCAGGGGCAAAGATTTTGAATCGGGTATCCCCAAGGCCCCTCTACAATGCGACCAGCATCTCTGCATGTTCCTCTGAATAGTACATTTTCTCCTTTTAGATACTGCTACCGGGAACAAATAGACGGCCAAAGATAGCCTGTATTCGCATTCCTCCTCAGACTATCTTATAGACATGTTTGTGATCGTCTTACAGTTAAACTATATGCTTGTGAATTGAGGTGTCAGAGTGTTTGTTAGAAACTAAGGTGAGTGCTGTCGGGGACGGATACCCTCGGTGCTAAAATGCACCTGTGTCCAACTGGGGACTACTTTTGGGTCTCCCACAGAAAAATTCCACTGAAACGGATAGAAAGGTTGAAGAATGTACCTGCTTCTCTCTCCTCTCCTGACAACATGCCCACTGTTTATCACAGAATTTGGATTATTCTGCTGTCACAGGGTGATCTACGGAACCACTGTTTAAAATTCTGTGTCAGGTGGAAAGAAAACTTCCCCTACATCAGTCGTCACCCAAGTCTTCAGACCTGTGAGATGGGCCTGAAAGGCCCCATGCCTCTTACTCCTGTGATCCCCTCACGTGGTTGAGAAAGGCTCCTCAGATGTGCAGGCCACAGTAGCCTGCCAAGGTAGGGCCTGAAATTTTCCTAAATACAACCGACAGGACCGGCGCTTCCTAATCTTGTTACATAATTTGCATTTTTATGAGTCATGTTCTATGGCCGCCTTCAAAGGCCTGAAGGCTGGCAGAGCTGGTGAGACACGTGTGAGAGGCATGCAGTCACCCACCCCGTCAACAGGGATCACAGATGCTCTGACGCAACCAGCCAGAGTGGGGCTCACTCTGCCTCCAGGTGCCGACCACCCCGAGTTACGCTCACAAGGGACCCTGGCTTCCTCCCTTGCAGCATTCATTGTTAGCCTTACACTTTTTAACATATGACTTCTCCAACAGAATATAAGCTGATACTTTAGACTTAGTGCCATATCAAAATTTAAAACACACACACACAAAAGAGAAATGCCCTACAGGGCACTGAATGTTTGCCCAGCACTCCTTCCCTTGGGTCCTAGTTCCTAGTGCCACGGGACCTAGTCCAGGAATTCAGTCCCCCCGGTTATAAGTGAATGGCTAGGCCCTGCTCGTGCATGGATACCTGACCCCAGCCGAGCCAATCAGAGCCTTTTATGGGACTGAAGGCCAAAGGGTCATGAGATAACAGAGCTGCCAGCAGGAGAAGCCCACTTGGGACTGAAATTAATACAAAAGATGGAGAAAGAAAGCAACAAAACCCATTGCTCCTGTTGGAAATAGTAATGATTATTTCTTACCTTCAGCACTCTCCTGCATTTTCAGTCTGTTCAGCCTCTTCTGCTGTGCTCTCAGCAGGGCTTGCTGCTGAATCTCTAAGGTGTAATGATCTCTTGGAGGATCCGGGTACATAAGTTTCAGGTCAAGTCGTGTTTCTGAATCTGGTCAAAAAAAAAAGTTATAAAGTTTAAATATTCAAACAAGATTTTCTGAAACTTCACTGTAACATATGAGTAACGTTAATTTCAAAATCAAGGAACAATATAATGGGGCATCACCAAAGTCAAAGGACATTAAAATCATAATAAAACTAAACACAAAGTCAATATTCTTTAAAGAAATGCCTTCTCACAAAACTAGCAACATTGTAAGGAAGCCTCCAGAACAAGCAACAGCTTACTGATGCATTCTCTCTCCCCACCACACATCTCCCTCGAGATGCCACTCAGAGCAGACAGCAGGCAACCGGGGACAGATACAGCCCGCAGTCTGTTGTGTGGCTGAAACGCGGGCAGCCATGAGGCAGTGTACTCATAGCCAATCCCTGTTATACAAAGGAAGAATGGCAATATTATGTATTGGCCAATTAATATCTTAGCCCTTGCAAATATGCAAAAAGCAAGATAAAAGCAGACTGGCTAGAACTTTAGGAGGCATATCATTACTGGAGGAAATAACACTTAAGAATTCACCTATGCTCCCTAAGCACTGGGGGGGGGGGGGGGTTGTGTGGCTGGGATGGGAGTAAAAGAAAACTATTTTAACAACAATTAAAATTTTTTTAAATGTTAAAAAAAAAAAGAATTCACCAATGCTTCAAATTCAGAAAGATCAATTTATCAGAATGAAAATGTTAAACATCAATTTTTTAAATCTTGAGAATATAAATAGTTCATACATTCTAAAAGCCTTGAAAATATTCCTTTCATCTACTCATTATACAGCTGTGTTATAACTTAAAGAAATGATCCTAACTATGTAAAAAGCTTTATGATGATCAGAAATTGTCAAAATAATAGTGAAAAATAGAAACCATGTAGAACACCTAAGATCTGAAAAATGGTTAAGAGCAAAGTTAACAGAAGAGACCCTGGACACAAACTCAGTGGGACTGGGCCCTGACTTCACTAGCTTCAGACTTGGTTTAAACATGAGATATTAGGACTTCCGGCAAGATGGAGGCATAGGTGGACGCACCGTACCTCCATGCACAACCAAGATTAGAACAACAATTTAGAGCCAGAATGACACCCAGGACTGACAGAGAATTTATCTGAATGGAGGTCGGACAGCCAAGAGGTTGAAGTGGACCCATTCATCCAAACCGGTAAGAGGGGAGGAGTGGAGGAAGGGGTGCGGGTCGCGGAGCGCGGAGATCAGGGAGAACTGAGCGCAAAAGGCAACCAGGAGCACATAAGCCCTCTGGGACGCACAAGTTTGCAGCGGTGGACCCTGAGTACGCAAGTGGTGGCTGGCGGACCCAGTGAGGCAGCGAGTGTGGACCAGGGCAGAGTGTGCAGCCCAGGATCCCAGAGAAGGGACTGAGATCCCAGGAGAATGGAGCTACCGCCATTGTTCCCTCCCATCCCTGCCCCCGCATACAACGTCACAATCTAGCGACTGGGATGCCTAGCCCAGGTGAACACCTAAGGCTCCACCCCTCACCATAACAAGAGCAACCAGACTGGGAAAAAAAAAAAAAAAAGGGAGAGACAGAGAGAGACATGTCTCCAACAGAAGAACAGATCAGTCCCCCAGGACTCATCCTTTTGAGCGACCAAGAGATAGCCAATCTATCAGATGCACAGTTCAAAACACTGGTGATTAGGAAGCTCACAGAATTGGTTGATTTTGGGCACAAATTAGATGAAAAAATGCAGGTTACCATAAAAGAGATGAAGGAAGATGCATGGAGAACCAATAGTAAAGGGAAGGAAACTGGGACTCAAAACAATAGAGTGGACCAGAAGGAAGGAAAAAACAACCAAGCAGGAAAGAGTGAAGAAATAAGAATTCAAAAAAACGAGAAGAAGCTTAGGAACCTCCAGGACATCTTTAAACGTTCCAACATCCGAATTATAGGGGTACCAGAAGGGGAAGGGGAAAAGCAACAGATTGAGCATGTATTTGAACAAATAATAAAGGAGAACTTCCCCATTCTGGCAAAGGAAATAGACTTCCAAGAAATCCAGGAAGCTCAGAGAGCCCTAAAGAAGTTGGACCCAAGAAGAAGCACACCAAGGCACATCATAGTTACATTAGCCAAGGTAAAAATAAAGGAGAGAATCCTAGAAGCAGCAAGAGATAAGGGGACAGTAACCTACAAAGGAGTTCCCATCAGACTGTCAGCTGATTTCTCAAAAGAGACCTTACAGACAAGAAGGGGCTGGAAAGAAATATTCCAAGTCATGAAAGACAAGGACCTACATCCAAGATTGCTCTATCCAGCAAAGCTCTCATTTAGGATGGAAGGGCAGATAAAGTGCTTCTCAGATAAGGTCAAGTTAAAGGACTTCATCATCACCAAGCCCTTATTTTATGAAATGTTAAAGGGACTTATCTAAGAAAAGATACAGAAAAAACATGTATAGTAAAAGGACAGCAAACTCACAATTATTAACAACCACACCTAAAGCAAAACCAAAAGAAACTAAGCAAACAACTAGAACAGGAACAGAACCACAAAAATGGAGATCACATGGAGGGTTAGCAACAGGGGAGTGGGAGTGGGAGGAGGAGAGAGTAAGAACAGAGAATAAGTAGCATAGAATTTAGGCTGAAAATAGATAGGGGGAGGGTAAGAATAGTATGGGAAATGTAGAAGCTAAAGAACTTACAAGTATGACATATGGACATGACTAAAGGGGGGATATGGGTGGGAGAGGGTGTACAGGGTAGAGGGGAGTGAAGGGGGGAAAATGGGACAACTGTAATAGCATAATCAATAAAATATATTTAAAAAAAACATGAGATATTAACAACTAAGTCACAACGAATGAGAATTTGATGTCGTAATTACAGGGAAATAAATGGCTCAGTTTTATGGTTTAAACCTTTCTGGTCTCAAGGCCTCTTCATTCTCTTAAAAGTTGAGGACTTTAATGTCTGTCTCTCTCTTACACATACCATCTTAGAAAATCAACACTAACAAGTTTTTAAAACGGGTGTACACGAGCACAAATTCTGTTAACTTCAGACCAGTGAAGTCATCACATGCCATGGAGAGAATAAAAATGAAACACACAAATAATATCTTAGTTGTAATAAAAACAGTTTTTACCTCACAGGTTCCCTGACCAAACTGCCTTAACACAATGCCTGGAATATAGTAAATAATCAATAAATTATAGCACAAAAATTAACTACAGTGTATGTAATTGATAATACTTGTAAATCTAAGTAAAAAAATAAAAAGAGAAAATAACAATTATGTCTTGTTTTTTATTTTTTCTTTAAATTAGGCTCAGAAAGAAGACTAGAAAACATCCAGAAAGTGATTTTCCCCTCTTTTATCTGTCTATCCAAAACTCCCTGCAATAGATACTACTTTTTAAAATAAGAAAAAGAGTGGGAAGTCCAGTTTAGCTGGCAGAGGCCACTGGCGCACACAGCCAGCAGTCTGCTCCCCGAATCCGGCGCTCACTCTGTGGAAAGCCCCTGAAGAAGTACCACACACAACACTGATTTTCACTCTGCTTGGCCCATGTACCTTGGCGGTGCTCTTTCCCCAGTAAGCCTTCTCTCCTCCTACAACGACATCAAACCTTCTCTACTCTCTTCCTTCAAACATCCTGCATTTCCTCCTGTCTACTCAGGGGCCCTGCTCACTCCCACTCCTGTGTCTGAACCCTTTCCTATTAACAGCTCTACACATTAGCATCCAGAAAGTTCCTCCAGCTCTGGACCCTTCTCTCCTCCCCAGCCTACTTCCAAGACTTGTTCTGTGCTAATTCTTCCAACATGTTGCCTAATTAATTGGCTTCTGATCCCATAATTCCACAGAAAAGATCTAGCTGAAGTCACCAATGGCTTCTCACCCAACTGACACTGTCCAATATTCATCTGAGACCATGCTTCTCCGATGCATTCTCTTCCCTCAGCTCTCAGGATACCACATTCTCCAATCATGCTGGCTTTTCCTTCTCAGTATCTTTCCTGGGCTCCTCTTGCTCTGTCCACCCTCCATGAAATTCTAAGGGCCATTCTTCACACTTTGCTGTGCGATTCGATCCACTGACGAGGCTCTAACAGCATAGGCAGCCGAGGTAAGGCTTCAGACGGGTAGACTGAAGAACTACGTTATGCCAAGTATTATTCACTTAAAACTCAGATCATAAATAAAACCCTTACTTTAGAAAAAGGATATGAACATGTTTAAAGATCCCTGAATATGGGTAGAACCCTCTTGCCATACCTTTAAAAGACAGCGTTCTACTCACCTCTGTCTTTCAGCTCATTAAAGTCACAAATATTCTGAAGAGTGGCAGGGTCTAAGCCCTTCGGGGACTGTCTTCTGACAGGAGCCTGCAACCGATGTCGAGCCATGTCAAATACATCTATGGGGTTCCTTTCTCTTTTCCTGTAAGTGACAAATTATGATAAATGTGTGTTCTATGGGAAGAAATTCTGGTTCATGTTTCACTCAAGAAATGTAGCATCTTTCATCAGAGTATATTATAAACATTCTAATATCTGTTACTTTAATGCCTTTTTATTGAAAAACTAGGGTATTTATAAGGTCATTGTTTATAAACTTTCAAAGTACCAGATGCAAAGTACTTTGTTGTAAGAGTAAAATGATTTAGCTTTACATTAAGATGTTCATGTCATAGAAGGACCAGTCTTTGAGGTCAGAGACACCAAGATTCAAAGGGCTACTCTGCTGCTTATTAGCAATTTAGCCTTGATTTCAGCACCTGTGAGAGGCAGACAGTACCTACCCCTTTTATTTAGTCTTAAGAGTATGAGGATTAAGTGCAATTATATACTGTAAGTACCCAGCATAGTGCTGGACATGTATTAGGTACTCAATAAATGTTACCTTCCCCCCCCAGCCTAAGATAGAAATTATACAGAAAAATACAGTATTAATATGGTGCCCAATATAATGAGTTATTATTGACAGTCCCCAACAGTAGTTTTACAATAGGCTTTCAGAAAACTTGATACCTAGTTAATACTCTACTCCTGTGGTACCTAGGGAATTAATGTAATAGGCAGCTAGCTCAGAAAGGGAGTTTTCTTCTAGGGCTTTTGGGGGAGTGTTGTTAAGAGAGGACAGGGATGGGGCATGGTGCTCTAGCCCCGAAAATAAAATGAAACCAACCATTTGCAGCTGTTTCCCTCAGCACTAGTTTTGAAGATGCAGCTCTAAGGCACAGGTGTAAGAGTTGGCCAGACCGTGGCCTTCATTACTTGACTCACTGAATCTTCCCCAGCATCTGGAGGGGCGCGCTGGGGTCCCAACAGGCATCACCCCTGCTCTCCTGGAATTAAGTTTCCTTTCAGGGATGGACTCAACAGGGCCACAAAACCACCTCATCACGGCTGTCCCAGACCTCTAACAGTGAACTACCTAGGGTCATAGGAACTGTAGCGGAGGCTCATTAAAATGTAAAACGAGCACAAGAAGGCCATTAAATACAGAAGTCCTACCTACTTTCACTAACGCCAACAGTTAAATAGGCTGCTACATTAGGAATTAAGTTATTAGATCTGTGCATGTGAGTGAGCTTGTGTTTGTTTTGTGTCTAGTCCACAGTAGAAGCTCAATAGTGTGGTGAATTTAATAAGTTTCTTTATGTGAAACTATTACAAAATTGGAATAAAGAGCCAACCGTGAGGTGTCTCTGATTATGATACATAATTAAAATTATACCAAATAAATGTATTTAACCAATTCTTACAAAGTGACTGTAATTCTAACATATCTAACTTAACATGTAGAATTTCCAAGGCATTTTCAAATATGCACATTTATTTATTCTTCACTAGAACCTCAGGGGGTAGAAGTCACCGTGTGTGGTTTGCAAATGAGAAACCTGAAAAGCTACCTAGTTTCTCTTTCATTTAAGTTCCACACTGGTTTGCAACAAGAAAGCACGGTCTTCAATTTCCGAATGAAAATAAAATATCAACCATCCACTGACTGAATTAAATATGCTTGCTTAGACTATAGAAGCAGCAAGAATTAAGGCATTAATAATAACATAAAAGTAAATATTAAAAAAACATACTGATCTCTCAGTTACTAAGTAGTAGTTGGCCTACTATGGACAAATTATTCATTGAAAATTGCCACCTCAGCTTAACATTTCATTATCTAGCCAGGCTGTATCTTGAAATCTCCTATGTAAACTTTACTTAGCCAGAACATGCTTGGAGAATGCCAACAACAATCTAAGCAAAGCATAATTAAGCAGGTTAACATGCCACATTAAAATCCTACCACATATGAGATTAGAGTCCAAGACAGCATGAACATAAATTATAGCCCTGGCTGGTGTGGCTCAGTGGGCTAGAGCACCATCCCGTAAACCAAATCGTCATGGGCTCAGTTCCTGGTCAGGGCACGTGCTTAGGTTGCAAGTTTGGTCCCCACTCGGGGCATGTAAGGGAGAGGTGTTCCTCTCTCACGTGGATGTTTCCCTCCCTCTCTTCCTCCCATCCCTCTCTCTAAAATCAATAAGCATGTCCTTGGGTGAGGATAAAAATAAAATTAAGTAAATTATATACAAACTGGTAGACACAGGAACAATGATAGATATGTTTATGACTGAGTATACATATATGTATTATCCTGCTCTGTCCAAGGCCTAGAAGCAATGACAGTATCAACAACCAGCATGCAGAGCTTCGTTTCTAAATACCAATCCCCAAGAGGAACCAGGGCCCTTCAGAGGAATGTTGCTTCTTGGGCTGGGGCAGGGGCAATACAAGGCGATCCTCAATGATCTTGTAGAACCAGAAAGTAAGGAAGTGTTCAAAAAAAAAAAAAGGATGGGGACATGTCAAAGGGACACAGGAGCCAGCCTTGAAAGAGCTCCCAATATTGGGCCAACGCTGCAACTCTCTGAGAGACAACATAAATAGTCTAGTACTGGATTATAACCCCAAGTACAAAATAGATACACATGAGAGAACAGTGATATAAATGACTGCATAAATCAATAAAGGGGGAAGAAGAAATCAATCTTTCTTACAGAATTCTAAAAAATTGCATTAGGTATATAACATCACCTCCATGAGATAGAGCTTAGTCCCACCCCACCCCACTCCTAGTGACGCATGTGCACAGGACAGTAACTGAGGCAGAGAACCTGGCAAATACTACCGTAACCAAACAAGGAGGGTTCCCATCCCAGGGATGTCACGGGGATGCCATGTACCCCTGATATGCTGTGATGAGGGGGCACGCTGTGCTATTCTTTCCCAAAACCCTTAACCCCAGACTGATTATGATAATGCCAGAGAAACCCAGATGGGCAGCCATTCTACAAAACACCTGGCTGGCCCTGCTCTAGACGGTCACAGTCATGAAAACCAGGGAGAGACTGAGAAACTGCCCCAGAGCACGGGACACTAGGAGACACGACAAGTGCATGCAGTGTGGTCCCTGGCTTGACTGGATCCTGGGACAGAAAGAGGACATTACAGAAAAACTGAAGAAATCCAAAAAGTATGAAATCCAGTTAGCAGTAACATTCCAATGCCACTTTCTCAGTTGTGCAATAATGCAGATGTACTCGGGTGCCTTGAGAAACATTTAGTCACACGGCAAGCTGGGTGAGGGGTACATGGGAACTCGCTGTACTGTCTGCAAGTTTTCTATAATCTAAAATTATGCCAAAATAGACTGTTTAAGAAAAAACCCTGTATGTTACCCACTACATTGATTTTACAATCTACTAGAAGAGTACAACCACAATTTGAAGAACACTGCCTTAGAGAATTTCTGAGTCCTTTTGGCAAAAATGTTCAGAAATAGTTGGTTGTCTGTCAGTTACTCTGCTGGAAAATAAGTATTTCAGAAAAAATACACTGTTAAAGGAAAATGTAAAAATAGCCCTCATAATGTTATTGCAGTAATTCCAACTCTGACATTTTCCATTCCTCTATCATTTTCCTCACAAAGACCAAATTTCTGCCTGATTCTGCAGAAGACTAAGAAAGGGAGGGAAGCAGACTGTTTCTGTAATGTCTAGTCTGTGTCTGCTTCTAGTCCTGTTTCCACTCCCCCTCCCATCCTAGGCTTCCTCAACACTTACGTTAGATTACAAAGCACCTTCAACATTCATCCGCCTAGGGTACACAAAGTCCCAATTAGTCAATTATTTTTCATGCACTAGTTTCTGCAGCAGACAATTCAACATAAGCTCTGTCTGGGCTTAAAGAATGGCTGCTCCCAATACTGATTTTTCACAAATCTAACCCTATTAACAGTTCATGGTTAGGGGTAGTATTTCTAGTTCTCCTTCAAGAAATGCTACTTCATTCTTCCTTTGCTTTCTTCCTTCTCTTCCCAACTCCTCTGTCAATACCACCACCATAAATACAGGCTCTGGCAGAAGTAACGCCATTGAGTGTGGTTGGTAGGGTACGTGAATGTCTCACATGAGATGGACAGCAATTTGAACATTTCACCTAAAATGCCATATGGGGCTTGAGTGTGATACTGTTATGTTCTAAAATTACATGCTTATAATTTTGTAATCAAAGATTTTGTAATAAAAAAGGGGATTTATGCTGGACCCTGTGTAGTATTGGCAGTACAAAAGGACAGTTACAATGCTCAATGTAAATATCTAATATTAGGTTAAATACATATTCATTAAAAAGCCCCTATCTCAACAGTGAATAAACTCAACAACTGTGGATAAAAAATTTATGAAGACAACTTTACCTAAAGTTGAGGAAAGTTAATCAAAAGCATATTTATTTTAAAATGACTTTAAGTAAAAGTCAAAATGACTTTTGACTTTGACAAAATGACTTTGCCAAAAAAGGCAGAGGAGAAAACCTACCCACCATATAATATGCTACAAACAATAAACAGACTCAAAAGTCACACACTATTTTTGTATTAGTTGCACTGAATCCCTCTGCACTAGAAAACTTGTATAATTATTTAGCTAGATTTCTCTTGGGAGAAAAGACTATTTCAGTCATTAAAACTTCACTAACAATCTGTTAAAAACATTGTCAAGCATGCAAACTATCTGTTCTATCTAATCAAGAGGGCTTTACCATAAAGATTAATTAATCCTGGTCTAAAACTAGAATTACTGGATTGGTTCTGATTCACACCAACTCCTCGTCCTGAACACAAACATTCAGGAACAAATAAAAACGGTAGCTCAAAACTCACTTTATATGAATTTCATCATCACTGTCCAAGTGTCGCAACCGCCCCTGTAGACGCCGCTCTTCACTACGAAGCTGTTTTCTCATTTCCGATAATTCCATAATTACATTTTTTTTCTCCTCTGAAAATTCCCATAGATAAGCAAAAAAATAAGACAGGTATAAGAACAGAAGATTAAGCATCAAAACATGGACTGACATCATAAAGCTAAAATGCTGAGACATTTTTATGATTATCTTTAATGTTTTCCATATACAGATCACATTTATAAATACCATTAAGACCCACAAACACATTTCTGATAACACAGGACTTTCTACAGTTAAGAAACATTAGGGGGCTGGGGGAGAATGCCACTGTAAGGAGCCACACAGGGGGTCCCTCTGCAGTGGTGGAACAGCTCTGTGCCTTGGCTCTGTGGTGGTCACACAAATCCACGCAGTAAGAATGCAGAGAACTACACACACACACAACACAGAACAATGCAGGTGACACTGGGGAAGCCTGGAGGATGCCTATGGAGTGCTGCAGCATCCATTTCCTGGTGGTGACCCTGTACTAGGCAAGATGTTACCACCGGGAGAAACGCAAAGGATACCCAGGACCTGTCTAGCTCTATATTGTTTTGCAATGTTCTGAGCCTATAATTATTTGAAAATAAAGAGCTAAAAAATGTCCTAGATTATAGGTTTAACAGTGAACTCTACCTTCTGCACGGAGCTGATTTTTCCTGGCAGGTACCGGCGGAGACTGAGCCCGGGACACAGAATGTTCCTGTTTAACAATCATGACAGATGCACTCAGGATGTCATCCCTACTCAGGACTCAAAAAGTACACTTTTTTTGAAGTATCTATATGTGGAAAAAAAAACCCTCCCCACTATCCTACCTATAAACTTATCTATATCCATTTTTCCTTCCCACCACAATGGGAAGGAAATGGGAAGTCCTTGTCCCATTCAGAATAACCCCTTAACCTGCACCCTGTAGCTGGTGACTGACTCCATAAATTGGTCCCTTTTCTCCTTTTCCTCTCTCCTTAATCTCAACTATGCTTAAAAATCTCTCCCTTCTTTAAAAAAATTCTCATCTCACCTTTCATCACTATCTCTTGTCCATCCCCTCCTTCCCTTCAGAAACTTGCAGCTTTAAAGGTGAGAAATGCAGTACGTATGTTGTCTACATCCTTATTCTCACCCACTTTTCACCACCCAGCTACTACCTTTGTCTGCACCACACTACCCTGTTCTCCACTAATCCTGTTCTCTCCAAAATCACCAAGTGATCACAAGTGACGCACTCAATGGGCACTTTAAGCTGCTATTTTACTTGGCCAGTAGAATGCACATCACTGCCGCTCACTGCCACCTTTCTGTCTGTCTCCTTCCTCTGCTTCTCAAATGTTGGCAATTCCCTAGTTTTACATCTTCAGCCCTCTTTACAGCCTCTGAACTCATCCTGGACAGTCAACTTGACATGGATATTCACTTGACAAGCAACAACGTTCACAATTTCCACAACTACAAATCCAGGCCAGACCTCTATTTTCAACCAGCTAGTCTTTAACCTCACCAGAAACTTGACGGCTATGACTGACTCCTACCCACCACAGTCAGTACCACTATCTGTCTCTTGAATGCATCTTAACACTGTCACCCATTCTCAGTTCTTATTGTCACTGCCTTTGTTTAGACAAGCAAAGTCTCACATCAGGATTTCTGCAAAAGCATCCTGGCCTCCAACATATATCTCCACACCACTGCCTGAGAGAACATTATGCAACACAAGTCTGGCCATGTTCTTCTCCTATTTAAATGTTATAATGAATTCCCAGACATTGTCTACCACAGACCTACTAAATCAGAATCTCAGAGGGTGGGATTCAGGAAGGTGTTCTTCTAATGCTTGTCTGTTCTGGTAATTAATCTGGCAGCCACTCGTCTGGAATAATCAAACCTCTCCACTCCATACTACACCCTGCATCTGTTCTGTCCACGTCCCCCACCACCTTGCCCAGGTACTACCAGACCCAGATCACACCATGTTGTATTCTCCACATGAGCCACCTGGCTTACACTTCCTTCCTTGATTTTCATGTGCTGAAAGTCCCTCATCCTCCTCTTTATGGCAAAGTCCTATGCATTCTTCAAGAGTCAACTCCAGGATCAACCCTTCCAAAACATTTTCCCAGCTTCCTTTTGACTACATAAGGGACTTCATTAGCATGAACAGACTTCATTACAAGTTAAAAGATACATTACTGAAGAAAAGACCTTGGAGGCCTTGACGAAAAAAAATGTGCTAAATTATGATTTGTTAACAAATTTAAACTTTAAGGCACCAAGACCTATCAGTTACAACCAAAGCAGCAGACAAGTTAATGTAGATGTTATCTATATTTCAGATCTGAAAAAATTTTACCTAGCTAAATATCATGAACAAGAAAATCTCATTCAATTCCCTCAACCAAAAATAACTTAGCTAAGATTAACAAATCATAAGATTAACAAATCATAAGAAAAAGTACATACTTGAATATATGAATTTATAATGCTGTCAACTGAAGGAGGTCTTTGGACTTTGCTTGCAATTTTGTTCTGAAGAGCAGGAACCACAGGAGAAGGCTGTCTCAAGCGCTGAAAAAAAGAAATGCATACATATGCACACACATACCAGTAATCACATGTGCACACACATGTACACATACTATGTGTGAGTGTGCATATACACACACCCTTAATACTTGATCATATAAGTTCAGAATGTTCTTGATTTTATTTAATCCTTTTTACCAAAAAAGTCAGAAAAACAGTTATATAAGATCAAATATATCAGTTATGATAAACATAAATGGATTTAGATATCCTTATTAAAATATTACTCTCAGATCAGGAAAAAATAACTCAACAAACTTAAGTAAAGCAACAGCATACTGAGTATAGGAAAGTAACGAAAAGAAAGGTACAGCCAAAGTAAAAAAATCACCCTAACAAAAAGAAACAGCACAGCCCTGGCTGGTGTGGCTCAATGGACTGAGCACCAGCCTGTGAATCAAAAGGTTGCTGGTTCAATTCCAGTCAGGACATATGCCTGGGTTTCGGGACAGGTCCCTGGTCAGAGAGCATATGAAAGGGAACCACACATTGATGTTTCTCTCCCTTTCTTTCACTCTTCCTTCCCCTCTGTCCAAAAATAAATAAATAAATAAATAAAAAGAAATTACACAATACAAGAAATAAACAAACCCCTTTTCTGGAAAACAACAGTACATCAACACCTAAAATCTCAATCCCTTGTCACCAAAAGCATCATGGATGAAGAAATTTTCCAGATCACAATGTGGTTCTGTGTCTCCATATGAAAATAAAACAGAATTTCAGTTTATAGTGTAATAAAGCTAACGATTTACAACTTCACATTAAAATCAAAATGCCGAAAACATAAAAACTCCCAACAAAATGCAGTAATAATTATCAGGGTAAAAAAACCTCTCTAGACCAGAGTACATGTGCAGATGTTAAACCGTTCATTTTGCACAGTAAAAAATCAAATATTACGTTCATTGGTGATTTTGATAAAATTATAAATATATATTGTAAAAAAGACCTTTTTTCAAAAAACTTCTAGATGACCACCAGCAGTGTCTTAAAGACAAGGTTATGGTCCTAAAAACAAATTCAAAAACTAAATAAATGTACAAGGCAACTGAAAAAATAAAAATGGTGACAAGTAAAAACTAAAGGAGTAACAAAAAACATGTATTGGAGAAGCATAAATAAGGAAAAATGGCATCTAGCAATGATAATCTCAGAATTAAGGGCAAAATGCATTAAACAGATCAAAGCTGGTTTAAAACTTCATGGCACTTCACAATTAAACTTTAACAGTCATAAAATTATAAGAAATAGCATTTTCTTCTCAAACATAATTAGAAATTAGCAGAAACACAATTGTGGGAAACTAACAAGTCTCTTTCATTCTAAATAACCTAATTAGCAATGAAATATTGTGTTCCCCACCCAATTTTGTTGTAGACCTAACACTGCTCTAAAACTAAACTTTATTAATTAAAAAGCAGTAATATGACATTTGAGTAATATACTTTAAAAGGTTTAACAAATAAATATATACACCCAACTTTTTATCCTAAGAATGAAGACTATTGCCTAACATTCCTAGAACACTGAAAATAAAACAAAACATAATGATCTTATTTATAAATTTCTTTCAAAGTCATCTTTTTGTGAGTCTGCTTAGAAGAAACAATGTTTGTATAAATCTAAATTTTTTAAAACGTCTGGACTAAACCTACAAGACATGCAGGCTTTTTAAAAAATGTGGTCCACAAGCTGATTACATCTGAACCCTTCAGTATTCTTGTAAAAATGCAGATTCTTGGGATGACCTTAGACTCAGTAAATCAGGTACTTTGTAGGTGAGATCCAAAAACATACATTTTTAACAAGTCCTTCATGATACTAATGCATACAGAATTTTAAATACAGCTTTGAAATGTGGGTATGGGTGTAAACTAAACCCTCTAAGGAGCAAGTAGCTTTCTAGAGAGAAAACCTGTCTAGTAACTTTGATTCATGCCCCTAACTGCAAACTTCAACCCCCCTATTTCGGAGATGCAGACTTCAACTCGGTCTGTGGTGAGCCACCAGTTTTTCTTCTTTAATTTCCAATCCATGCAATGCATCGAGGACAAGTTTGCAGAGTCAGAACACATTAGTAGATAAATGAAAATTTTTAAAAAGACATTATACAATTCAAGCCCAACCTGTTATTAGTAGATTTAACAGATACCAAATTACTGTGACAAATTGCTACATAAGATTCCAAACACTCTCAATTTCTGTACTTACTCTTGTCATGAACAATCTGGAGGCTGCTGGCCCATAGACCATGGGAACAACTCAAGAAGAGCTAAGTAATCCTATTACACTCATGGGGAAAATAGCAACCCAGCCCAGGGACATCGTCTCATACAGGAAGTTAGTGCGTGCACCCAGAGGCCACTGTAAAACAGAAAAGACAAGTGCCCCTCCTCTGCTCTCTGCCTTATGCTAGTAACTACACAACTTTCACACCAAAAGTGGTTACCCTACAGGTTTAAGGGGCATTTCTGTCTGAAACTGACCTTTGTTTCTTCCCCAATTATATTTTCTCTTTCATAGTAGTGCTGAAGTTGTTGTTCATGTTTTTCTTCTTCTTCTTTCTTCTTTTTTTCTGCTTCTTTTCGTCTTTCTTCAGCTAACCGAATAAGCTCTTCATTTTTTAGTCTTTGCTTTAAAATAAAGAGAAAATATATATACACTCCATATATACATTCTTATAGCCCATTCAAAAATGCACCGCCTATTTGTCTGAAATAGCGATGCACAATTGAAGATATAGATGATACAGTGTTCTTCACATCAAGAAATTGTCTGCTTAACAATAAAATATTAAAGCATCTTCTTTAACATCTTTAGACAGCCTAAACTATTTTTTAGCTTAAAAAGTCATCACTTATACCTTCTTAACTTAGTCTTTCACTTTAATAAAATAATAACCAATGAATGAATACTGATCTGGTATTTTCTAAATGTACACCAAGACTGGTCTCCTCTGTAAGTAATAAATATTTTTTCAAGTCAGAAAAAAATTTTCACTTTCAGACTAAGTAGAAAAATAGAGTAGGGAAAAAATGCACCTCCTCCTCTTTCTCCCTTTTCTTTTCCTGTTCCTCTTCATACTCTTGCTGGATCCGTGCTCTCTGTTCTGCAAGCCGTTTTTCTTCTTTTTCTTCTGCAATCCTCAGCCTTTCACGCTCTGCTTCCTCTCTTTGTTTCTTCTCCTCAATCTAAAGAATTAAATCTAGTTATTTCTTTGTAAACTACTGAAAAGTTGGAATGTCAATAATTTTTCATAGCAGCCTATGAATTCAATACTTGTATCATCTTTATGCAAGTTAAATTGACCTCCTCAATTTTTCATTTTCCTATACTTTATTAGGGAGGCTACATGATGTAATCTTCAGAGCTATTAGTAAAATTCCAGCTCCACCAAATATTTTAAAAATGTGTGACCTTAAGAAACTTTCCTGCAGGCTGCGAACCAAAGTGTCGCAGGTTCGATTCCCAGTCAGGGTAGATGCCTGGATTGTAGGCATCTAGCCTACAATTGTAGGCGTGCCATGACCCCCAGCAACTACACGTTGATGTTTCTCTATCTCCCTCCCTTCCCTCTCTAAAAATAAATAAATAAAATCTTAAAAAAAAAAAAAAACAACTTTCCTGTTTGCCTCGTTGGTGTGGCTCAGTGGATTGTGTGCCCGCCTGTGAACCAAAGGATTGCCAGCTGGATTCCCAGTCAAGGCATGTGCCTGAGTTGTAGGCCAGGTCCTCAGTAGGGCCTCTCGAGAGGCAACCATACTTGGATGTTTCTCTCCCTCTTTGTCTCCCTCCCTTCCCTTCTCTAAAAATAAAATCTTAAAAAAAAAAGTTTCCTGTTCAACTCTCTCCTCTTATAAAAAGAGTAATTAATGTCTGTATCTCAAAGGATTGCTCAAAGAATGAAAGTAAAGAAAATGTATGTAAAAAACAGAAAAGTTCCTCCTGCATAAAAGGTACTTAGTAAATAATTCGTGATTATATTATTCTATAACAGCTGATAAACAGATGTCTCAAAGGTCCTTGACTTGATTAGTATCCTGAAACAACAGTAGAATCAATATTTCAGCATTCAATCATTCTTTATGCAGGAATGCCCTTTCTTCTTTCTTATCTACTGCCAACCTGTAAGGTAAAAGAGGATTTTGGCCACAAGGACTCATAATTAAATTTCATCTTGAATGCCACCTATGGCGTGCAGTGCTGAATACTCAGGGAATATCCCAAGGCAGAGTCCAAGATCTGAAGGAAGGGAATCCTCAGATAGAGTCTGCGTCCTCCCCGTGTGAAGTAGGGAAGCATGTGTACTAGGTATCCAATAGATTTGTTACTCTTAAGGATGCATTGATTATGGCTATTCATATTATTTTACTGTTCTTATCTGCAATACCTCTAGCTTCAAGCCTATTATATCTAGTGCTGTCAATCTTTTGAGCTATAAGAACTTGAATCTTCCTACATGCTCCATGGTTTTGCATGCTAGAGCTTTTTTCAACACTATCTCACAATACTATTGAATATGCAGCACAATCCTAATATTTAGTACTAAGCAGTGTGCACATAATCATTTCTCCTACAGGAAACATCATTTATGGACTATATGACAAATCCTCACATTTAACAATCAGTTCCCCATTTCTTCCTACTCCATGAAGTAAAATGATAATCAGGGTCATTAAGGATCACAATCATAAGTGGATCACACACCCAGTGAATTCATAGAAATGTCATTCCAACAGAAATGCTGCATAGTCGTTCATCGGAAAGAGGAAAACCAGCTTCTAGATGAACGGTTTTCAAAACGTACGGCACAAAAATGCTTCAAGGCTCCTGTAAATATTCTATTAAATGTATTTTTTAAAGGTCTAATTAAAAATGGTATCTGAAAACTCCCATGTGTTATTTACCAAATTAAAATTTTGGTAAACAACTATATGAAGACTTCTACTGCATTAACTTATATCTTTGGTGCAGACATGGAGCCAAGGCTTCTGTTGCCATCTTTGTGCACAGATTTGAACATTTTATAACAGCTCTTTTAACAGTTAAGTTTGAGGATATTTTTTGTTGACACTATACTAAATACCACTTAGCCAGTTCTGTGTTAGGCTTTGAGGGAAAAATGGGGAAGGTTAAGAGGCTGCTAAAAGAAAAATATGTAAACCACCATCTGAGGGCAATCCACCAATGGGTCCGCTAAGGGTTTACAGGTGGGAGGCCTGAAAGCTGGACTTACTCTGAAACTGAGAGAGTCAAAGCTTCCCCATTACTAGTAGATTTCTCCAGAAGGGAAGACTTCTTAGAATTGCCTAGAGACACAAGTTCTGCACCTGCAGATGTGATCCTGAGTCAGGAGACTTTGTTCCAGCACTGGCCTCCCACTTGCTAGTTCTGCCACCATGGATGCACCTCTTTGCCTGTATTTTAGTTGCATGTCGAAAAATTAAATGCCCTCCTCAGAGGGTTTTAAGGTTTAATGAGAAACTACATATAAAAGTATCTTATAAACAGTAACAAGCTATACAATTTCAAGATTTTAGTTTATTTATTTCCTGAACTCTACCCTAGACCATGTGACACTTGCTTAGAAGCTACTTAAATTTTGAGTTGTTGTCACTATGGGCACCACACCACGGGGTCTTTCAAGTTCAACAGGTTCACTCTATGACCCTCAAAATGCTGCTGCCTGACTTCAGTGGCTAACACCTTTGGGGCCTCTTAGTGCCACTCTCTCACATTCAATATCTCCATTCATTCTGGCTATCCTCAGAAAGGTCTTTCCCTCCATTTCTATTGTCACCACTCTTAGTAAAACACCCCCTGCTTCAAAACTTTTCAAACTCCCAACAATACCTCCTAAGCACTAATGCCAGATCAGTCATCCTTAAGACAGCTGCCTTATGTAAGCATCCACAAAATTAAGATTAGAAAGATGACATGTTAGAGTAGAATCTCTATAAGAGGAAGTTAAATTGGGATTAGACTGGACAGCCTTAAACGTCAGACTAAGGACAATGGAAATTCCTGTAGGAAAAGAAAGCTGCTACCAGGTCTTTGAGTAAAAAAGAGTAACATGTGAAGTCATATGAAAGGAAGATTAAGCAGTCCACAGGAGTAATCTGAAACTGGAAAGTTAGTGTGGGAGTGGAGGGGAGAGGAAACTGAGTCCCTCGTGAGCAGGTCTCTCGTTCATCGCAGGCGCCCTCTGTAGTATCCTGCACGAGGGTGGGCAGGGTACAGGAGTTCAGTAACTTTGCTTAATAAACACGTGATGATCAAATGCCTTCTCTGGGCATTTTTAGTATTTTAAATGCTACTTGTTTACATACATAAATGCAGCAAATAAATGTAGATGTGATTACATCAAATTTTTAGTTATTTATAACTATACTACTGAGTCAAGAATATCAAATCCTTTGGGAAAAAATGATTGACTTTCTAATATATAAGCATCTAGAAAGACTATGCCTAAAAGATGAATATTAAGTCTTTCAGTTTTAGAAATTTCAGCACTTTAACAATTAGCAATTTTAAAAAGTTTAGAAAAGATTAAGTCAACTGATATACCTAACATGTCTCCTTATTCTTTTCTCAGATATGTGACATAATTTTATTACTACCTATACCTGATATAAATTAGACATTGTAGATAACTGCATGGCATTTGAGAATTTATTCTTTACCCTGTGGATAAAATTGCAGCAAGTTTAGTTTATTAAAACTCTTATGAAATTTTTCAACTATGATCAAGTAAACATTTCACCTGAAACCGAAGAAAATTCTTGTATAATTCTTGCTGTCTAATCTGAAGTTCAGTTGGAGGCTCACCAAATACATTTCCTCGAGCAAAAGGAGAGCTCTGTGTTTGTATATGACCTTGAAAGAGAAATTTTGCAAAAACATATCATTAGCCAATGCTTAGAAAATGTAAATATTAAAAAATAGTTAGCTACTAAATTCATATTTTGAAAAAAATGTGCTAAATATGGAAGTCCAGAGGTTACAATCAGAAAAGGAAAACTGAGATTGTAATCTGAAGTAATAAAAAGCAATGAAAGAAAAAAAATTGAAACTAAAATAAAGAGTTGAAGAATCATAATATATCTGTACCTGAAGGACACCAAGAAAACTTAAAAGCTAAATACCTCTGATTACAGCAAAGGCTTTAAAGTAAAACTTATGAGAAGAAAAATAAACATTTAAGTTCTTATAGGTATAAATATCTTTTTCTTAAGAATACTGCTTAATTATATACTAAAACATATTATGTATATATATATAAAAATATCTAAATTGTCTAAAGAATCAGTAAGTCCAAAAGTCTTCCCATCCATGGTTAAAACAATAAATAAGAAAGTAAGGTCTAAAAACATTCTAAAAATTAAAATGACTCCTCGTGATTTCAATATTTTTTAATTCTATCAAATTAATGGGATACAAACATGAATAATAAAATGTTATCTATAAGTAGTATTACACATTCTGAGAAAGGAAAAATATTATTTCATAAAAGTTAAAAAATAATTATACCCCAAAGGTCTCTGTGAATGCAGAAAGAAATAAATGGTATTTAAATTTAAGCCTCATATAACTTTTTGTATTATTTTTCATTTACTGACTCATTCTTTATACCATAAATCTAAAGCATTTATTTCTCTCACTTATGTGGTTTGTGTAGGCTGACTGTTTGCGAGTTGAGCTGCCACGCAGGTCTCTTTGCCTCCATATTTAAATTTATTAATGGTCCCCTTCAACCCCCTATAAAGGGACTAAATGGTAATGGGATAAAATCCAAGAAAGATTAAATTTTAAAAATGTACTTACTTTAAGAAAACACTACTAAATAAGTAAACACATAAATAAATTTATTAATGCTTATTCAAATAGATCAGCAGAAAGCCAAATCAATACTTATAAATACTTTATAATCTTATGCTATGGTGGAAAAGCTGATTGGCAAAGCAAAATAGAATGGGATGTTTCACTTTAATGATTACTCAAATTCTAAGCCTTTGCAGCAATTAGAGAAGAAATATTAAAGATAGGAAAAGACAAAATAAAATAAATAAAGTATAAAAATAAAACCAGAGGGAAACATTTGTTCTACACAAAATAAATAGGCATCATGATAAGCTAAAAAATAAGTTTAAGTCAAATTACTATGACTTCATAAATACGGTTCTTCACCCAAGAACCATAAAAGGGGAAAAAATGAATGTTAGGAAGGGCCTCAAAACAGACTTAATGAAGACAAAACATTCTGGATGATGAACCTTAAGCATGCATTATAATATTCAATTTTCAGATATATTCAAGTTCCCTAAGACCTTTAAAATATTGAATGTACATATGTGTATAAACACACACATAATACACATATATGTATACATACACATATATATGAATGCATAGCAACAAATTAGATGACTTAGCTTCTTACACTCAGAAAGTCTATTTTAGGCTACTAGGGAATAAAAATTAATTTAGGAAATTTCAACTCACAAAAAAAGAGGGGAATCCTGGCAGCATGCAGAAAGGCTATAGACAACAAATCTGAGCACATGCAATCATCATGCTTGAGCTCTCTCTCAGGAAGGGGTTGTGGAAACTGTATATTTTTCCAGGATTTGCTGGCAAGCGGAGCTAAATGCTTATTACTAACAGAGAAAAGTCCTAGACTGAGACAGAACTACAAACAATACAGGGTGTGGGAGAAAAGGGCAGAGAATAGCATCTGAAGCACAGAGATGTCAATTCAGACTACTAGAAGAAAAGGTAAATGAAGAGAAAAATAATGATAATCAGAAAGAAGCCAAAATTCTCTAAGCAGCAATAATGTGAAAAGGAGTTTTGGTGCTCCTATTGCACAATGAATTATTACAGACCCACAGTGACAGCCAAATGAATAATTTCATCGAAATCAAAAGTTCCAATTTCTAGCGCTCTCCAAATCAAAAGTGGATCTGCTGGGTAAAATCTATTGTGGATCAGAGTACGAAAGCATTTCTGGTAATTAGGAATCAAACAGTGGTACAGGCTGCCATGGAAACGACAAACACTCCATCTGCCGAGCGTTCTGGAAGGCTGCACAGAGTAGCGCTACCATTAAGGCTTGAAAGAGGCAAGGCTAGTGATTCTAATCACAGCTTCCCATTTAATCTGCCTGTCTGGCTAATCAGTCATATGGGTTAAAAATTAAAAAAAGTTAAAGTCCGGGATATTTTAGAAGGACTTCCTAATGAAAATTTTTTCTACTCTAAAATAAAAACTTTCTAATGTAAAATTCTTTCTACTCTAAAATAAAAACTTTTGTACTTTTTTGAAAATACAAAAGCAGAATTTATAGCAAATAAATGGCTACTTTTATAGCATCAACTTCCTTTGATTTTTAGATATGTAACATATTTCCATATACCCTTGACAAAGAAAAATGATGACAATTTTTCCTGGCAAGTCATAAAGAAAGCTGATGAGTAATTTTCAATTTACAGAACTTTCAGGGTATTACAGAACTTGAAGGGTATTTGCTTAATAGCAAACCAAAGATATTTGCTTAAAAAAGGAGGATGTGACCAGGTATCAAATTAAATATGTAATTATTCAGTTCTGTGTACATTGTAGTTTTATAAGGGAGAGCAAATGATTATTACAAACAAGGAAAAAAATTATTTCATTGTATAATTCATCATACCACATCTGATAGTTCTCACCAATTCAATCAAACAGTTATGGGTATGAGAAGCCAAGTGCATGTGTGAAAAGGCTATTTCATTTTAAGCAATGTCCTCCTATTAGCAAAACAAAAACATAAGCCACAGCTAAAATATATGTAAGCAAATTACAAAGCTGAGAAGAAACGACATTAATTAAGAAACAAACTACGTTTCCCTACTCACTTTTTTCAAAATACCTATGAAGAAAAGGTAACAAAAAGCACAAATAACATGTTATACTTCCTGACTCAGAGTAATCATATTCTCAAAATATAATAACACTCTATCAGAGAACAGAAATGTTACTGAACTTTAGAAATGTAAAGAAAAAATAGAATGTGATTAAACACCTGAGTTTTTATTTGCAGAATCTTCTAGGTTCTCAGCATTTGCAGTGGCTAAATTTTGTTCTAGTGATACAACAGCCCTTTTATCTTCATGTGGTCTTGCATCTGGGTTATGGTAGGCATCTATATTTTGTCTGTGCATCCTATTCAAATCAGCTGAGAGGGAAAAATAAGCCATTTATTTCAATAAATACATTTCTATAATTTGTATGCTTAATACATTTTCTCAAAGTAGGAAATCTGGGAGAAAACAACAGGACAGAGCTGGAATAATTCAATGATATCTTGGTGCCCTGAAAACAGAACCAAAATTACCAAAACATAGAAAATTTTTTAAAAAACCTTATAAACTCAAAATAAGTAGAAAACTTAAGAACATATGGCAACCCATAAAAATCACATTTATCTGCTCAAAACCTGGAGTTTCTTTAATATATGAAATACAGCAACAACTCAAAGCAAGTCAGAGTGAAATTTACCCAAAATCATTAGCATTCCTAGTGAGAAACCATAATTGTGTGCAGTTTCAAAACATATCAGCAAATTCTTTGACAATACTCCCTTTAAAGATGGAGCTCAGTTCCCTTCCCCTGAGTGTGGGCTATCATCTGCAGAACGATGGTATATCACTTCTGAAGCTACTTCACAAAAGACGTTGTGGTCTCCACCTTGTCTGATCTGCATCACTCACTCGGAGGAAAGCCAGTTACTGCATCACAGGGACATTGAAGGAGCCCAAGGGAGAGGCCCACGCGACAGAAACTGAGGCTTTGGGAGCCCTTTAAGGGAGCCAGACTGGAAATGGACTCCGCAGATGCAGTCAAGCCTTCAGATGACTTCAACCCACACCGTGACATGTTGGACTGCAACCCCGTGAGAATCCCTGACACAGAGCCATCCAGCTAAACCACACACAAAGTACTGACTCACAGAACTGCAAGATAATAAATGTTATTTTAGAACAGTACATGTTGGGCCAATGTTACATAGCAACAGATAGCACATACACATGGTGAAAATCTGAGCATGTGGGACTAGGTCAAACAACCAGTTAATCTTCAAAACAGACCCAAATGACTGAAGAACTCAAAATTTTAACATAAACAATTTGGACAGTATTGCAGCAATGACAGCAAACTTAAACCTGGATATGAAAAGTAGTCAGCAGGAAGCCTGTTATGTTCCAGAACGTGTTATAAACATGAATTATAATTAGGACACGAGAGAGAACATGGTAAATAACAAGGGAATGTTACCAATGAGAATGGGAGTTCAGAATCAGGGACACTCATATCCTATTGCAACATTTAGGACAGGATGGACATAGAGCTTCACAGATAAAGGTGGGTGGGAAAGCTTAAAAAAGAAATGGGCAGTGTGAGAAACAGTTCCAAGGGGGTCAACATGAAAAGTGTCTTAGCAACATTAATGTAGTCCAGCTTGACAAGAGCACAAAAAGAATAAAGGAATGAGAAATAAAGTAGGAAAATACAGGCTGGGTGCCGATTCTGGAATATTCTGAAACATAAGCTGATGATTCTCAATTCTGTTCTGTTCTGGTAGTGAAGACAGTTTTGTTAGTTATGGTAGTACTAGTAATAATAGCAGCTATCACTTAATATTCAGTATTTTTATATTCTATACAACCTATATGATATGGTACTATTACTTTCACCTAAGTATTATAGATGAGAAAATTAAATTCAATTAATTTGCTCAAAGACCACAAAGCCAGTAAAGGGCAGAACAAGAATGTGAACTCAGCCAGTCAGATTCCAGAATCCTCAATGATTCTGAGTATGGAATGATCAAATTGGGTATATTTTTGATACATATAGCTCAGTTATAGAAAACAGAGGAGGAAGAATGAAGAAGTAATGAGGAAATGGCAAAAGCCCAAGTAAGACATAAATCTCAGTTGTGGTGGTAGCATGGACAAAAATGAAGAGAATTCAAGGAACACTGAAGAGGCAGAACCTATACATTAGTCTTATTAACTGACTGGTCATAAGGAATCAAAAGAACTCTGTAGTTTTTAGTTTGAATGATCAGAATTATGATGCATTTACAGAAAAAGGCAATGATGAGCTGGACTTACAAGTGAAGTTTGGTTTTGCAAGCTCGGTGTGCATAATCCACCAAGCTTCAGGTGCAGAGATTCAGAAGACAGGTTGGAACTGAAGAAGAATTTTAAAAGTGGTCAGAGACAAAGAAAAGGATATTAAGATCATCCACAGGGTAGGCCTAAAGAGAAACACAGGAGAATTCAGAGACGAAGAGGGAGAGAATGGATGGAGAAAGAGCATATCTAACTTAAGGAGCACACAATATTAAAACACAGTCCTAGAACAAAGGTGTTCACAAACCTAGCTAGAAGCATTAAACTGGTTCATAACATGCATCTAATGTCAGCTGAAGAGAGGACACAAAAGAAGGAAGGAACTGACAATCCAGTTCAAGGGAAGAAGACTAGCCCTGGCAGGGTAGCTCAGGTGGTTAGAGCATCATCCCCATACCCCAACGTTGTAGGTTTGATCCCCAGTCAGGGTGCATACAAGAATCAACCAATGAATGCATAAACAAGTGGAACAAGTAGTTATTTCTCTCTCTTTATCTCTCTCCTCTTCCTCCTTGCTCCTTCCCTCTGGCTCTTTCTAAATCAATAAAAATTTTGTTTAAAAGGAGGAAGAGGACCGACAACGGTAAAAACCATGGATTAGAAGTCAGGACATCAGTTATTTCTGAAAACATAGCACTGGCAGAGCAGTGGCAGCCAGAAGTCATATTATGGAACATGAAGCAATAGAGGCACGACTGGCAGCAACAAGCACAGACTACTTTTGGAATGTGGTTTATATGATAAGGAAAGCATAACAAGGTCAAGAATTCTGTTTGTGTTTAAGAATACAAGTATCCTGTCTACGGCCATACCACCCTGAATGCGCCCGATCTCGTCTGATCTCGGAAACTGAGCAGGGTCGGGCCTGGTTAATACTTCGATGGGAGAATACAAGTACCCTAAGTATGTAAAAAATGGACATGAGAAATGAGTAGAAAAACTGAAAATGTAAGAAGGGACTGCGTGAAATCACAGAGAAAAGCTGATTACAAGAAAATTACCAAGTGCCAGGGATGGTAAAACAAGAATTAGCTAGATGCTCCTGAAATCACCACCAAATCCTGAGATCTACCTGGATGTGGGAGTGAAATGAAAATAGAAACGATGAGAAAACTGAGGTCTCTAAAAAAGTCACAAAAATGGAATAATTTAAATGGGAAATCAATAATCTCATTGTCATCCAATTTGCTAGAATAGCCAGTCTACAAAAATGAGAAGTCACAACGAATAATACAAATAGGATTCTTTTTTATCACAAGATACAGGATACCAAGCTCACTCCTTCCAGATGATACAGCTGTGGCTGTTACCTACTAGTGAGTGCTTAGGGACTGTAACCTCATTTTAATATTCACCTACACAAACCATAAATTAAGAGATAAATACCCTATAAGTAAACAAACACTATGATAAGTTTCAAAATTAGTAACATGCTATAATTTACTGTTGTGATTATACATGATCCTCTCAATTAGAATAGTCAATGTACTTATATAAAAATAAAATTAGTTTCAGCAGAATTCATAATTATTATTTAAGATTCAAGACTATCAGATTCAGCAATCAAAACAAATCTATATTGATATTTTACTAGAAAAAATGATTTGTCAATCAACTGTCACTCCTTTATCTTTCAGTGGGATAATAAAAAGTTTGAAGTCAGCTAAAAAGTGAAAATAAAAAAGGTAAATTTGTCAAGAGTGTAATTTGCCAACTGCCAAGATGTCACTGAAAAGGGGACTTTATTTCAAATGTAAATCATATCATTTAATACAAAATTGCTAGCATTACAAGAATAATTCCACAACATACCGAAGAATAAAAGAAAATGTCACAGATTCACAAATGGGAAAATAACTCTACTCCCTGAACAATTTATTACACCATGGCTAATTACATGATACCTACAGAAAAACAATACAAAACAATACAAAAACAATACATAAATAGTACTTAATTTTTTCATTCCTTATTTTTATATGAATTAAACACAATATCCCTTGCACACTATTCCAGATTACTTAAAGATACCTTACTAGTTTTATATACATATGCATATATACATTTTAAAACCCTTGTAATAAGGGTTTTATTATTTTTACTAAGAAACTCTTTTTTTAAAGATTTTATTTATTTTGAGAGAGAGGGGAAGCGAGGGAGATAGCGGGAGAGAAACGTCACTGTGAGAAACAATGATCGGTTGCCTTCTCGTATGTACCGCAAACAAGGACTGAACCCTCAACCCAAGCATGTTCTGTGACTGGAAATCTAACCAGGGGCCTTTCACTTTGCAGGACAATGCCCAACCAACTGAGCCACACTGGTCAGAGCACTAGGAAATTCTTCAAAATTCTAACTACTAATTTAGGTATAAACTTGCCAACTAACATGAGCTCTTCTCTGCAATTAAGTTACTATCATCAGAGGATAGACAATTTATAATAAAAATAAATAAATAGTACTCTGAAGAAGACAAACTTTCTAACCTATTATACTATTTATCAAAATACCTCTTTTGCATGAAGCTACATAAAAAGAGACTTTGCCTTATAGGCTATGATTTGCACTCCTTTCTACTCTCCAATCTTTTCAAAAGTTAATAATTTAGTTTCTTTTTTTGTTTTCATAGTGACTTTTTGTGTTTAGTACATGGAGTATTCCTGAACTGTCATCAAGCCAGCACTTATGACCACTTTAGAAAAAAAAACTTTAGTAACAGAAAACTATAACATCATCCAGGTCTTGATGGGGGGACAAGGGCAGACAAGAGAAGAGAGTATAAATGATCTTAAAAAATAGAGATCCATTTGCTGAGATGTGTGAGGACAGAGCAGAGAGAAGGCGCTTCCTCGTGGAGGTCTGAACCCAACACCAACGTAGCATTTCTCAGTGCCCAGTCCAACTTTAGAGAGATCGGGCTTTCTGTGGATAACGAAGTAGGCCTTCAATTTTGTCTTAGAACTTACCCTGCGCATCTCCACAACAGGAATTCTCTCGATGTCCATGTCCCCGGGCTAAAGACTAAATCAAATCAGCCCAAGTTTTTACCATTTTAGAAATAAAGTCCATAAAATATATTTCAGATCTCAGCTGGCACATTACTGCAAAATTTCTTTATAGCTAAAAAAGAAAAAAGCCCTAAAACATATTTAGTTTCTTTTAAAAACAATGAATCAATGAAACTAACGTACTTATCAGGTTTCCCTCCGCGTCCCTGAGAGGGGCACCACCTCCACCTTTCCCCCAGGGGTTGTAAGTTCTCATCTCAGCCTCTAGTTTAGCTTCATATTCTTCCTTTTCTTCACGTTCTTTCTTCCTTCTTTCTTCTCTTTCTCGAATCTTGACAACATAAGAAATATTCACAATAAGTGCTGACAAGTATTCTGATACAAAAAGTTAGTTTTAATAATTCATTTTATTTTTCTTAGCAGAGAAGAAACTGGAGATTTATCTCCAGTATGCTTCACTATAAAATTTTAAATCACAAATATAGGTAACACCAAATTTTAAAAGACTCTGATGGCTGGACTACATGGCTGCTGCTCCCTCACATCATGCCTCTAGGTTCCTGTTCAGCCACTGATGCCACTTCGGACTACGCCAACACCTCCCTCCCACCTGCAACATCGACCTGAGCCATTCCCTCTCTGACCTCACCAGTCCCAAGGGGACCAAGGGTCTCTCTACTTTCATTTTTCACCCACCCTTTCTTGGGCCCTGACCAGCCACAAGCGACTCCCACTCCTCACCAGGTCTACTCTATCCTGGGCAAACTCCACTTCCAGAATTCAAAACGGTAGCCAGCTCAGAGCTCTCTGGGGAATGCTGGGCTATTTAAAATACAGTCTCACCATCATCAATCATGGGTACTAGCTTGTTCTCTAGAAATAAGGACAGGCAATGAACAAGTACCTACATTTTGGAAAATTACTTTTAAAATTATAACCATACTTTTAAAATTATAACCATACTTTTAAAATTATAACCATTTGCATGAAAAATTTAAGCAACCACTCCAGCAAGGTGAAGGAAATCATCACATACATAAAATATAATTTTGGAGTTAGAAAATCTACTTTTGTCAGTGGTGTTTTTAACATGTTCACTTGAAAACAGAACATAAATTCACTTTTTTGTAGAACCTTAGCATACAAAAAATAATGTTCGTAATTCTTTAACTTTAAAAAATCCATTTTTCAAGAAGGCTACCCATGTAAAAACTGAACAAAAGGAGCTTTACAAGAAATCCAAGTGAAACTTTACAGAAAACTACCGTAGGCAGACATATACCTACCAAGAATTCCAGGATCCTCTCAGCAATAATAGGTATTCCCCTAAAGACCCCATACATTTGATAGTTACTCTTCAGTGAACTCTCTTCAAACATTACAAACTACTACAGAACCCCTTGTCCTCCTCCCTAAAAGTATCCTACCTCTTTTTTTCCTACCTTAGTTCATTCGCCTCATTCTTCTCCTGGACAACACTCAAAATTGCCTTCAAACTTGTTCTTTCTCATTCCCTGTACCTAAGTCCTATAACTGAAATCCCAGTATTCTCTCTTGGATGTCCTCCCTACATAGCCACATTGGCTGTTCAGGGCTTCATTAGCTCCTGGCTAGACTGCCTCAATACCTTACTAAAAGATCTCTCTGCCACGTCTCTTTCCCAATCGTCCATGTCACAAACAGGTATCTTCCTAAAAGCCAAGTCTGCTCACATCAACTACTCCCTTCACTCTGAAGCTTAAACATCTTCCCTTCGGCTCTCCAAAGCAGAATGAAACTGAAAGCCCCTCACAGCTAGTCCTTCACAATCCAGCACAATCCAACACTCCAGCCCTGTCTCCCAAATCCATCCCATTCCCTGAATATACCAGGAATTTCAAATCTATTCAACGTATGTAGTTCAAATATCAACAACCATGTGAGGCCCCCTAACCACCCAAGCAATTTTCTCCCCCTCTTATGCATGCAACAGTACTCTAGTCTATCTACATCAAAAAGTTATCACAGTGAATTATAAATAACTGGTGTCCGACTGTGCAAACACATAAAATGTTTAACATTAAGTGGATGAATGAACAGATGAATCAATGAATACCTGCTGCTGCAAAGCTTCTTGGTAAGACTGAAGTAACTGCTTTGAAGGCTTTGGTTTATCTTCAAAAAACAATCCCAAGTTCATTGCTTGATCACATGTAATTTTCAACTCATTCTCTCCGACTGTGTTCCTACATCAAATATACAATTAATAATTTGAATCCATTTATGACCAAGCAAGAAGAAAACGCAACACTCCTTTGAAGCAGCATGCTATATATAAGTTGTACATTCAAAAATAGGTCAAAGAGAAATCCTTAAGTAAAAGACCCCTTCCTAAGCAATTCCCCAGTCTCTGCTGTCACAAGTTGTGAAACTTTTAAATTGACTGTACCTATTTCTTGACTGAGGGGTAATTACATGAGGGTGAAAATACAGTGATAATTCATCAAACAGTATACGTGTGGTTTATTATTATTACTAAATGAACAGTAATAATAATAATACAGAAGTCCTCCAACTAATGATTTACTTAATATATTCCAATATAAAACAGTAACTTCCTAGCCACTTCAAGAATAAAATAATATAATTACAGTAAAAAGTCTGTCCCAAATAAAAATTTTTGAAAAACTTATAAATGAAAAGGAAAATTTAAAACATATCACAATGATATAACTCCCAAGCATTAAAGTGCTATTGCCTTAAATACAACACATGTTAAGTACAGAAAGCAGTCACTTTGAAGAAAACTATACATTTTAAAAATCTGAATTACAAAAAATAATTAGTTTTATAATAAAATTATAATTATTTAAAAAACTGTAAGAGGCATCTCCAAAAATATCACCATCACTTTAAATTTGAGTTCCCTTTGTGTATTCAACTTATCCAATTAACTTACAATCTGTTATTAGGACAAATGGACATGTCTGTGTACACTGTCACACTGGATTAAGAATGGGTAAAGGAAAGATAAGGAGAACTAGAGCAAATGGTTCCCAACAGACCTTATATTTTTTCAATATGAGAGGGCTCTGCATGTGTTGAAAGGGCTTGTCTGAGTAAATTAATCTCTCCAAACAAACTGGTCCTAAATTACATGATGGACACATTCTCTCAGTATCTACTGCATTCATTTTTCTTCTTGTTTACCTCTTACCCCTCACTCAAGGATCCAAGTTTTTAATATCCTTGAAACCTTTTTCAGTATTTCCCTGGCCCCAAGAAGTAAGAATTTAGGTCAGTATGTATAGTCAGATCGAATGGTAGGAAGAAGAGAAATGATACAGGTGGAGCTACATGACCATCTCTACAACCTAGTTTTAGAATGTTTCCATGACCAAAATATGTCCCTCATACCCATATACTACCGAACCCTGCTCCCACCCCGGTCACAGGCACTTACTAAGTTAGTGGCCAGCTCTCTGTCTCTTTAGATTTGCTCTTTCTGGACATTTCATATAAATGGAAACATACAATACAAATGGATTCTTTCACTTACAACATTTTTGAGTTATGTAGTAGAACACATCAGTAGTTCATTCCTTTTTATTGCTGAATAGTATTTCAGTGTATGGATTAACACATTTTGTTTATCCATTTACTAGTCAATGGACATTAGAAATGTTTACACCTTTTGGTTATTATGACTAATAGTGTTATAAAAATTCACATACAAGTCTTTGTGTGTACATACATTTTCACTTCTCTTAAGTGTGTGCCTAACAATGGAATCAGAGTATTGCATGATAAGTGTATGTTTAACTTTGTAAGAAACTACCATTTCCTGCAACTGCTTTTTATATATTGATTTTGTTTTCAGCAATTCTACTCTTTTTAATTCTAATATTTCATCTGTACATTCTTTTGCCTATAATATATTTTCTCTCTTCCTTTCTAATCCTTATACCTACCTTCCTTCCCTTCTTTTTTATTCTTGACCTTACTGCAATTATTGGGCCCCAAAAGAAAATGGTGATAAGAAAATTACTCACACTGACAATTTCAAAACAAAATGTTTTAACTATATCACCATTAAATACAAAATATAGGTTTCTTATGTTTACATTTTCTCAGGTTAAATAGGTTCCCCTCTAACCTGTTTTAAGTTTTTAATCACTAAAGGATACTAAATTTTATAATGTTTTCTATATTTACTGAAATAACCCTATAGCTTTCTTCATTATTCCGTTACTATGGTAATATTACAGTAATTAATTTTAAAATAATATCAATATCTAACACCAATTAGAATTTAACATATTTAAGACACTGTTCTATATGGTTTACATATTTTAATTAACTCAATCCTCAGAATAAACCTGAGTTGATACCATTAAAAAAACAAGGTACAGAAGTTAAGAAACAGCCTCAAGCTAATTAGTACAACCAGGATTCAAACCAAGGCACTCTGCCTGCGAAGTCCATACTCTTAAGTGATACACAGTATCACAGATCATCACCCCACCTTCCAGAGTACGTACACCTGTGGATGAAATTCCTTTCTACATTATGAGGTTTAGTTTTGGAATTCTTTTATCTGTGTTAATGACTGAGACTAGCCTATGATTTTCCATTCTTACACTGGCCTTGTCAAATTGAGCATAAAGATTATAACAGTCTCATAAGAGTGGCTGTGGAGTATTCCCTCTTGATCTGTGCTCTGCATTAGTTTCTGTAAAATAATTTTTTCCACTGAACGTTTGGTATAATTCATCAGTCCACCTAGACCTGGAGTTGATTTTGTGTAGAGATTTGAAACTTCTGACCTACCTTTTTTAAAAAAAGGTTTTTGATATTATTCAGGTTTTCTATTTCCTCTTCAGTCAGCTTTATAAAATTAAATTTTAGTAGGAATTTCCCTTCTTCAATTAAATTTCCAAATTAATTGGCATAACATTGTTCATAATATATCCTTATTGTTTAAGGTTAATTACAACTACAGTTATAATTTTTAGAATTGACATATAGAATTAAATTATAATAACCATTTTTTTCATCTCTAATAGTTCTTAGTTATACTTCTCACTTTTTTTCTTCTTGACCATTTCAACAGAAAACTATTTATCTTTTTATACTAGTCCTTGCAAGGAGCCTACCTACTTTTGACTCTGTTGACCCTCTGTATTGTATGTCTCTATTACATTAATTTCTGTTCTTATTATTTCTTCCCTTGCTTCTTTGGGTTTCCTTTGCTGTTCTTTTCCCCACTTTTTTAAGGTTTTATTTATTGTTAGAAAGAGGGGAAGGGAAGGAGAAAGAGTGGAGTGAAACATCAAATGTATGGTTGCCTCTAGCACACCCCGTACTGAGGACATGGCCTGCAACCCAGGCATGTACCCTGACTGGGAATCGAACCGGTGACACTTTGGTTCCCAGACCTGTGCTCAATCCACTGAGGTACACCAGCCAGGGACCTTTTTCTCACTTTTTAGATGCCTGGTTATTGTTCCAATTCCATCCCATTTTATGCATTTTCTAATTCATTCCTTGTTTTCTAATTTCTAATATATGAAATAATTTTTAAGTTACTTTAAAAATTGATTTCAAATCTAAATGGTCCATAGGATATGCGTCCAATGAAATATACTGAGATTTTCTTTAGGGGCTAGGCTATGGTGAGTTTTATAAATGTTCCTGTGAGAAGAGCAGAAATAGATAACTGAGGTTTGGAGTACATTTCTATGTATTTCCTTTAGAATAAGCTTGTATGTTAAGTGAAATCTTCTATAACCTTACTGATTATTTTCTGCTTCATCTATCATTTATGTTAAAAATGATAAATTCTCACATTAGGATTCTGATTTGTCTACTTTTACCTGTAGTTCTTTAAAATTTTGCTTTATATACTTTAAGACCATGTGTTTAGATGCATAAATGTTTTATTCTATTATGTTGCTAAAATAAACCTTTACTCTTTATAAAGTGAATCTTTTTATCTCAAAGCTTTATGACTGAAAAATCCACTTTACCTGATACTAATATAGCTAAACAAACTTTATTTTACTTCATATTTTCCTAGCATATCTGTGCCCGTTTACTTTCAACTTTTCTATATCATTTTTAAATACTTTATAAGTAACATGTGCCCGAATTTCATTTTTGCATACAGTATGACAAGATTTCTCTTTGAATTAGTTATTTAACCATTTACTAATATCAAATTTAAATTTACCATTTCAACTTATAATCAGGTTAAATTAACTCCTTAAACCTTTCTATGTTTCTCTTTTATCTGCCTTTTTTTCTCTTCCAGTAGATTAGTAAGCAGCACCTTTGTCCAAGTGAAATATAACACCCATACTTACCTTATTAAAACTACCTTATTATCAAAAACTACAGCTAATCAACATCGTTACCACTCCCAAATGACAGAAAGATTTTTAAAAACAAAAATACTCCCTTTAACTCCACCCAAATTATGAAAATTCCTATTATTCTTAATTTTACTTACTTTTAAACCCAAAACAATTTTACACAGATAATGTTCATTTAACCCCACCCACATATTTACCACTTTTCTTCCTTTCCACAGCTTTATGCAGCTCAGACCTTCTCTCTATAATGTCCTTCCTTCTGCATGTAGAATTTCATTTATTTAGGGTCTGCTAATGTTAAATTCAGTTGTTTCTCTTAAAATATTTTGGTTTAAATCTCATTCATGGGAAATAACTTTGCTGAATATAGAATTATCTCAACACACTGAGAATATCTTTAGTCACCTTCTGAATACTTTCCTAGAGTTCCTTTTAAAGTAATGGATGAATGGATAAAGAAAATGTGTTATATTCATACAACATGGTATTACTTAGACTTTAAATAGAAGGAAATTTAGGTAAACACAGTACTCGCATTCTCCCACAACCACATCAAAATTATCGTACATCTAAACTGCAGAACAACCATCATTCAGAACTGCCTGAAATTTAGGTGAATAGAAGTCCTACAACTGAGGTTATAAAGAAGCAGCCACATCGAGATGGCTTGAGTGTTGAAGACATGGAATGACTTGTCCCACACCCACGGGTGGCAAGTAAAATTGGGAGGGATATCTCAGCTGCAAAGGTCCCTCCTGAGGAGTGAAGGAGTCCCAGCTCCACATCAGGCCCTCCAGCCCAGGATTCCAGTGGCAGGAAAAGAAATTTCCATAACTTCTGGCCATGAAAACCAGCAGGGATTTTGACTGGGGAGCTTCTGAGACATTCCTTATAAAGAGCCCATGCACAGACTCACTCAAACTCACTCACTCTGAGCTCCAGTACATGGGGCACCAGAGACATACAAGAAAGAACTGAATTGCCAGGCATGAAACAGAAAACTGGAGGGGCAGCTTTCTCCCAGACAGAAATGCTGGCAGAGGCCATTGTTCTTCTGGGAGCCCTCCCCTCACAGAGCCAGCAGGTGACTGCCATATCCAAGTCTTCATCAGCCTGGCTAATATTGTTTGCCCCACCCTGGAGGTTCCCTGAGATTCACCCCACCTAATTTGTGGGTTCACCAGAGTCATTTCCAGTGGTGTTTCCATACAAACAGCCTATTTTGACCGTGCTACAGATTCTCCTAAAATCTTTCAAACAAGAAGCATCTGGCCTTGGTGGACCTCATACCTCTTACTAAGTAGATGAAAGCCCAGCACTACCAATAGCCAGAGTTGGTTCACAGCCTGGCCTCATTACCAGGCACCTCCAAGCCCAGCATAAGTAGCATCCATCTGCAAATCACCTTATAGCTCTTGCAAGGTGACCCCAGGGCAGGGCACACAGGGGTAGATGACTTTGGTCTTCACCTTCTGGGAGGCCCCAGAGCCAGCACACCCAGTGGACAGCTTTAAACTATGCCAAAGCACCACTCAACCCCTTCTACAAGTGACACACTCAGGGGCAGATTCAGTGGGCATCAGAGCCCCACTGAAGTGAGTCCCACTCCACAGAATCCACCTCTTCACAGTAGATCCTCCACAGTGGTCATGGCCAATCCTTGCAGCCGACGGCCTGGCAGTAAATCCCTCCCACTGACATGACAAAAGCAATCAAAGCTCAACTACAACAGAAGCACACAGCCCACAGGAGGGGCACACTTGGAGTGTGTGGCTCCAGTGACCAGGGAGGCTGTGCCACTGGGCCATACAGGATACCTACTACATAAGACCACTCTACCAAAACCAGAAAATGTATCAGCTCTACCTAATACATAGAGATGACCACAAGAAGGCAACCAAAATGAGGAGACAAAGAAACATGTCCCAAATGAAAAGAACAGAACAAAACTCTAAGAGAACGGAACATACATGATGGAGATAAGCAATCCAGCAGATACAGATTTCAAAACACTGGATATAAAGACGCTCAATGAACACAGGGTAAGAGTAGATGAACTTAGTGAGAACTTCAACAAAGAGATGGGAAACATAAAAATGGAGACAGAAAACATACAAAAGTATCAGGTACAAATGAAGATACACTAACTAAAACAAAGATTACATTACAGGGAATGAACAGTAGAGCAGATGAAGCAGAGGACCAAATCAGCGATATGGAAGATACAGAAGCAGAAAATACCCAATTACAGAAGAAAAAAAAATGAATCCAAAAAATGAGGATAGTGTAAGGAACCTCTGGACAACTTCAAGTGCATCAATATTCACATCATGGGGGTACTGGAAAAGAATGAGAGTGAGGAACTGAAAACTATTTGAAAAAATAATGACAAAAAATTTCCCCAACCGATAAAAAAAACAGGCATACCAGTCCAGGAATTGCGGAGAGTTCCCAAACAAAATGAACCTAAAGAGGCCCACACCAAGGCACATTACAATTAAAATGGCAAAGGTTAAAGACAAGAGAGAATCTTACAAGCAGTTTGTTACCCACAGGGAAGCTCCCTTAAGACTGTCAAGCTGAATTCTCAACAGAAAATTTGCAAGTCAGAAGGGAATGGCACAAAATATTCAAAGGATGAAAAGTAAACACCTATGATGAAGATTATTCTACCCAGCAAAGTTATCATTTAGAATCGAAGGACAAATAAAGAGCTTCCCAGACAAGAAAAAACAAAAGGAGTTCATCATCACCTAACCAGTATAAAGGAAATGTTAAAGTATCTTCTTTAAGAAGGAAAAAAAGATAAAAATATGAATAAATGGCAATAAATACATATCTATCAACAATTATTTTAAATGTAAATAGATTAAATGCTCCATTCAAAAGACATATGGTGGCTGAATGGATAACCAAATGAGATCCTTACATATTGCTGTCTAAAAGAGACTCACTTCCATCAGAAAATGTGCAAAAGACATTAAGAAACAATTCACCCATTGTTTATAGATGACAAATAAATACATGAAAAGATATTCCACATCATTATCATAAAAAATATGAATTAAAATCTCAACAATGTAAAACTACATACCTATTCGAACAAAATAAACAAAAGTCACAAAAATGCTGAAGATGTGAAGAAACCAGGTTCTTAAAAAACTGCTGATATGAATGAAAAATGTTACAATCTTTCTAAAAACAGTTTGGCAGCTTCTTACAAAACCAAACTTGTAACTACCAGATGAGCCAACAATGATACTCCTGGGCAATTACGTTCAAGAAATGAAAGTTAATATTCGCACAAAAACCTGTGCACAAATGTTTATAGCAGCTCTATTCATAATAACTTAAATGTTGTTCAACGAGTGAACAGTTAAACAAAGTGAAGTATGTCTATACCACAGAATGCTACTCAGCAACAGGAACAAGCTATGCGTGCAACAACCTGGATGAATCGCCAACGAATTATGCTAATTTTAAAAAGTCAACCTCAAATGTTACATATTTTATAACTATTTATATTACATTCTTAAAATGAGATTATAGAAATGGGGAACAGAACAGTTGTCAGTGGCTGAGGAGGCTGTGGGGCAAGAGGGAACTAGGCATGGCTGTAAAAGGACATCATAAGGGATCCTTGTGATGACAAAGGTGTGCTATATCTTGACTGGACCCTATGTTATATATCTGGGTTGTGATACATGATACATCTTTCCAAAAGAAACTGGTAAAGGGTACACACAATGTCTCTAAGTCATTTCCAATAATTCCACCATGGGAATCTATAATAATCTCTAAATATAAAAAGTTCCATTTTTTAAAATGGTACTATAGAAGTACACTTCTTAAGCCCTGGCTGGCATAGCTCAGTGGATTGAGCGCAGGCTGCGAACCAAAGTGTCACAGGTTCGATTCCCAATCAGGGCACATGCCTGGGTTGCAGGCCATGGCCCCCAGCAACCTCACACTGATGTTTCTCTCTCTCTCTCTCTTTCTCCCTCCCTTCCCTCTCTAAAAATAAATAAATAAAATCTTAAAAAAAAAAAAAAAAGAAGTACACTTCTTGACATGGAAAATGTTTATAACATACTATTAATCTTAAAAGCAGGTTATAGAACATACATTTTGCTGTGTGTTATGTGTATAATTTTATAAGTTTGTATATGTATACACAGAAAGACTTCCTGAATGCATACTGAGATATGTCCCTATCTGGATTAATGAGATTTTAGGTGATTTCGATGTTTTGCAGATGTTTGTTTGCATTCTTATTTACATTAATATGCATGCATGCCTTTCCTAATGAGAGAAAGTGAGTTTATTCTTAATTTTTAAAAATGCTCTTTGTAGGAAACACTGACTTACAAGCAATATTGTGAACACACTGGTTATGCAACAATTAGGAATGAAAGTTTTTTCTGTTCAAAAGGAAAAAATGAGTTGAGTTATACAGGGCCTATGGAAGAAAATTAATTGTGAAAAATGCTATCACATTCACAGTGACTTACACAAGAGGCGGTGCTGGCCGGTGGGTGACAGGAGCACTCACATGAGTTGCAGGCTGCACTCCCATCATTCCTGAACCATCTTAAAAAAACACACACATATTTATTCCAGAGTACCCATTGAATGACACTTTATCTCTAAGAGAAAAGTCACATACTAAAAATGTTACCTAAGGAAAAATCATATTTCCTCCTGGCTTAGGAGTTAGCAAAGAACAATGCAAGAAAACACAATATAATTATTTCTGAACTCTAGATAAAAAAGAAATAACTATAAAAAATAAGTTTTCCAACAGAACATTTATTAATTGATAAATACACTTCCATTAAGTAAAGCTGTCCTTTTCTCATTTATATATTTTTGCATGCACAAAAAATTATTTTCCTGACTGAACCAGTGGAAAAAATGTTTACACTATAGATAACTTACAATAAGCAAGACTAGGATCCATAGTATTCCTGGCTCCATAAAAATAGTATGCATCATCATAAGGAGTTCGATAGTTAGTAGCCAAAGGTGGTAGTAGGGGTGGTGGAGGCAGAGGTACAATCCTGTATCGAAAGAAAAGTGGAAAATCCTTCTCATATTTCATTGCAATTTTCTAAAAATAAAGATATCATTTTGCAAAAATGTTACTGAAAATCTAATTGCTGCTTTAGAAAAAGCTACAACACTTATGTAAAAAAGAAACTTCAGATTTTATTCAATCAATTAATATCTCGTATGCCAGTACTGAACAAACATAGACCCTGTTCCTCAGAAACAATATAGAAATAAACAGACAAGTACAGCAAAGGACAGCAAATGAAACCATACAAGAGACAGGGTGCTACAGGAATGTGGAGTAGAGACATTTAAATCACCCCAGCAACAGGAGGGAAGCATAAGGGAGGCTTTCTATTGTAGAGAAGGCAATGCTTCAGCCATGCTGCTAGAGTGAGTGAGACAGAGACAGGAAGGATATAGTTCAGAGAAAAACAGGCAAAGAAATACAAAGTGGGATTAAAAATGGTCCATTTGACTGGAAGAAGAGGTGCATTTTTTAACTATAAAAATGTATTGTTCTCTCAAAGGAAGTTAACCATAATGTGAAACAGATACCACTTATATATCAACAGTAAAGTCTTGACACAATTGTTAGTATTTCATAAAGTTGAAACATCTAACTTAGCACACTACTGATTAGGAAATGTCACTGTATTTCCACCAAGACAATCTTCTCCAATAGTAAAACAGAAGAAAAGGCAAATCCCTTTAGCTGAATAGAAAGAGAGAAGAGACATCCTAGAAGGTTTGCACTTTTAAGTGTTGTCTTAGCGTGTCCTTCCCGCTGTATACTTCAAAACAATTCTGCAGAGCTATGAAGACATTCACCATTCTCTTCTGTTGTGAATATATTCTACATTTACTAGTCAATGTGTCTAACCTTACTATCCTCACTCCATAGATACATCAACAAAGCACTTGAAAAGCTGTCATGAAAAACTGTCAACATCATTAAATCTTACATTTTTATTCAGATTTATTTCAGATTCAATCCTCATAACAACCCTGTAATCATAAACAAGGAAAAAAATACTACTACTGCACTTTTACAAATGAGAAAACTAAAGTTCATTAAAGGTGTGGTTTGCCCAAAATCCAGACAGTGAAGCCCACCATTGTAATCCCTAACCTAGCAATTTTCAACCTTTTTTGTCTCATGGCACATAAAACTAATTACTAAATTCTGTGGTACACCAAAAAATAAATTTTTTGCCAATCTGACAAAAAAAAATTAGTATAGTTTTGATACATTCACACTGGACAGCTATTGTTGTGTTGGCTGTTATCATTCTTTTATTTGACAATCTAGGGGAAGAAAGGTATTGCACATTTTAAAAAAACTCCTGTGGCACACTGGTTGGAAATCACTGCCTTGCCCAGTGCTGAGACCATCATACCATGCTCTGCAATTCCAGCTCCACCTCGTCTTTTCAGAAAGAAAGCCATTGGTAAAAGAAAATGCCTGATAAATATAGTAAATGCAGTCCTACTACTTGTTAGTATTAAATAAAAGAATAAGATCAAGTCCCACTGAAAGTACACCCCGGAAAATATCACTATTAAAAAAAGAAAAACACCTGATTAAATACACCACTATAATTAATATTTTATGACAAGGAAAAGAAAACCCAAGTCCCACTAAGAGAAGAAAGTATAGCCCAGAAAATACCAAATGTAAACAGCAGGATTTTCCTTATGTAGATAGTCTAATATAGCATGATGCCTTTTACCAAGAGAAATCAAATCTTTTCGGTAACACCTAAATTACAGGTTTTATAATCTCAACAGTTTTCATTTCAAGTAGCTGAGTTGCATTGCCCATAAGTAATCACAGAGAAAGAGTTGAATGAAACAGAAGTCAGAATAAAGTAATATATGTAAAAGCCACATTAGAGACTTTTGCTGTATAAACTAAAGGAAGTATTCAATGTTTGCCAAGTGGAATTACAAAATTGAAGAAAATGTATATCTATTACATGTTAAAAGACATTTAAAATATTCAAAAATATGACCTAAAACTAAATACTAAATGTACTTATGCATTCTAAAAATTCTAAAACATCTTTAAACAATTAAAGAACGTTATAAGGATTTCCCTTATTTTTATAATAACAGAGAATAGTCCAACAATGAAAATATTTCAGGAGAAATTATTTGACATAAGTCATTAGTTACACAAAAATCTCTGATGGTTAACGTTATTTGCTTCAGCAAATCCTTCTAAACATAAAATACAGTGATACCTTACCGAATTCCCAAACGTAAAACATTTTAATAAGCACCTGGAAGGCACTATTTCACCAAGGGTGCTGCTGAGTCCACTGTGCAGATCTTCACTTTGCAATGGGATGGACTGAACCGGTGGGAAGGGTGGGGCAGGGGGTGTCGATAAAGGAGGGAGAGGGGTCTGGAAAGCTACTCTGGGTCTTTCAGGTGGGATCTTCTCTTCAAGGTGTCTTGGTGCCACACTGAACTGCTTTAGTCTATCAGGCTAAAATAAAGAAAAAAATCTGTTTGTTAAATAAAATCATAAACTTAAAAGTGGAGGTGACCTCAAAGACCCTCTGTCCCAGACTGCCAGGACACACTTGAATTAATTACCGAGTAACAGAATTTTATAGCTAAATGATTCTGAAGATCTAATCCTTATTTTATAAATGGGATAATTGAGACTCCCTGGAATGTCTCACCACTAATAAATAATCAGGCAAGGATAAGAGCCAGATACGATTTCTAAATAAAAAACTCTATTATACTACAATACTGTGCTGCTTTTCTATCCAAATACCATTTCTGGCACAATATCCTCCAGTCAGCAAACATTTTTTGTGAAGAACCAGATAGTAAACACGTCAAGCCATACTACTCGACTCAGTCATAGTACTAAAGTAACCCAAAACAGTATGTTGAAGAGCAAGGGTATGCTGCAATCAAACATTATTTACAAAAATCAGCAGAACTGGACTTGGCCAAAGGCTATATATACTTTGTTACCTCCTGCCCTACAACATCATTTATGTGTCCTTTTCTAAGATCTGTACATCGAAAATAAACCTAAAAGTAATGGTTAACTATTATGTCTAATATTTTTTGTATTTATTGTAGTAAAACAACTAGACACTGTAAAGGTAGTTTCATCCAGATATAAATAAGAAGGTCTGTCAAATATAACTATAAATCCAAGTTTAAGAGGCCACCATATTACATTAAAAAGATTAATATTTTTTTATAAAGAAATTTTTTTTTAATATTTTTTTATTTATTTCTTTTTTAGAGAGCGAAGGGAGGGAGATAGAGAGAGAGAGAGAGAAACATCAATGTGCTGTTGCTGGGGGTTATGGCCTGCAACCCAGGCATGTACCCTGGCTGGGAATCGAACCTGGGACACTTTGGTTCCCAGCCCGCGCTCAATCCACTGAGCTACGCCAGCCAGGGCTAAAAAGATTAATATTTTTTAAAAAATCTTTTTGATTGTGAAAACTATTTCATAGGTATTTATTGATAGAAGAAAATATACTTAGTTTTGAAATGCTATATTTCCCCTTTTTTCCCCACCATGTTTACCTTTCCCAGGAATAACTTCTTGGATTAATCTAAAAGTTTTATTCCATGAGCAGTCAAAAAGCACATGGGGAGTGAATAGTGCTGCTGAAGTATTTAACTTTTTTAAACAGATAAACCCCTGGGATAAAAACTTAACATAGGTAAAAAAGTAAATCAAAAGTTGCCTATACTTGAATAATTTTAAGTTGCTGTATTCTTTTTAAGAAATTTTTGATGAAATTAAAGTTTCTTAATTATCATTCAAAGATGAAACTAAAACTCTCCTTAGCAAGTAAATTCTATGTATCCAACTATAGGAAAAGTACACTGCGAGAAAAGCAATAAATTATTACCTTCTCCTTCCTTAACTGTAATAAGTAATTCATTCTACTTAATGAGGAAAATTATTACAAAATTAAAGTAAAAATAAGGTTTTCTCTCTAGTTTTACATTTTAAAAAAGTTACTAAAATGCTCATAGTCTAGGATTAAAGATTTCAGTTTCTTTGGAATCTCTCAATTATAAGAAAGGCAGTGAAGATATACTCAAGAACAATATTAACAGCTTTTGTAAGTTATACTGAGATAACTCCCCCATGGGATAGTAAGGGGAACAAAAGTACAAAGAACTAATTTGAAACAACCTAATAAAAGGTGCATATGTGAAAAAGGAAAAATTAGCTTAGCAAAATAAACAAGTTTAGTTTATTAGTGTTCAAACTGATCTACACTTACACTTCCCTATGTATCTTCTCTCTCTGTCCCCACCTGATGCCACAGTTGAGACTTATGTGAATGAAAGATTTAACATTAAAAGATGCCAGGAATCCTTACCGACTTCTCGGGGTCTTGGGCTCCAGAAGCTGCAACCAGGAGTTCCAAATCTTTTTCTCTAAGCAAAATCAAAGTTTTATATATTAAAAATTTGTAATAAATACTATCAAAACCATAATCATTACTGAAACAAATTTATAAACAAAGTTGATGCAATAACATCTCCAAATACAAATAATTCCTTTAACTAACAACAAGCCTTAAATAATTCTGAAAAGTAAATTTTCGTAATTTGGTGTAAAGTAGAATTCACAAATAAAATGACTTGAATAAGTATCTCTAACCAGTGCCAGGGGTACTTCAAAGACTAAGCAATTTACGCAGAGTAAAGTACAGAAGTAAAATGAAATCTACTTTCTTTTAGGGTACATGTATATTTTCAGTTCACCAAAAGAAGGGTAAAAAATTATAAATTAATACTATAAATGTTAAGAGTTTTTATGAAAATGTTTATGATGACTAATATCAGACAGTAGATACTGGCTTCCTCAAAGATAGAAGAAAAATGACAAAACTAAAAGATCATGAGTCTCAAATTTTCTAAAACCAAGATATCTATTCCTAATTTTACACTCTAATTATTTCACAGGTATTTCTACAAGAAAAATTACAAATACTGAGACTTGTACACCATATAAATATCTGTGGACTCATCAATGATCATTTTTATACTGCATATATATGTACCATTTTACATTAAAAGATAAAATTATTTTATGTTTCTTATTATATATAAGTGGACATATAGATAACATTTAATGTTTCCCTAAATCAATATTGAAGAATTTAATGCAGGTATGTAAAAGGCCTGTTCTGAATATATGCATCATTTGTTACCAATAACAAAGAAGATGAATGAACACTGAGAGTATTTATTACCCTGCTGATTTACTATGTGCAGATTGAAATTGAAATGATTTATAAATAAATAAAAAAGCATATTTGGAAAAATATCCTCTTGTTTTACTATGTAATAGTTACCACATCATTTTATACAAATGCATTTTAAATTCGAACCATCTCTTTTATTTTATTTTTTTCCAAATCATCTCTTTCAAATGCAAACTTTCATTACCGTCTCTTGTTGTTCTTTTGTTCAGCCATTTGTTCCAACAGTTCCTGTCTATATTTTTCTTTCCTTCTCTGAACAACTTCTCGATCTTCACCTCCTAGAAAATGGTAAGAAAAAAATGCAGCCTTGACTCTTGAGCACATATGCAACTAAAAACTCAAATTTTTAAAAATCTCCATTTTTAATTACTAGATAAGAGAGGAATTGCTGTATAAGCTGGAAAGATGGAAAGGAAAATCATATTTATCATACAAAGTTATCATTTATCCCTAGGTGGTGTGGCTCAGTGGGTTGAACACCAGCCTGTGAACCAAAAGGTCACCAGTTTGATTCCTAGTCAGGGCACATGCCTGGGTTGCAGGCCAGGTCCCCAACAAGGGGTACATGAGAAGCAACTGCACATTGATGTTTCTCTCCTTCTATCTCTCTCTCCCTTCCCCTCTCTAAAATAAATAAATAAAATCTTTAAAAAAAACTCACAAAAGTTTAAAAGTTATCATTTAACCAATTAATTTCATAATGAATCTCTACTTTGTATCAAAGACATTAATTCTTCCTCTTAGTAAAAAATCTTAAGACAATACTCTAACCCTCATCCTTATTGTTTCAGTAATTGAGATACTAGCTCCACTAATATCTCCCACAAGTCCCTTAAATTGAGCAAGTGTGTCCAAATTGAACACCTCAGAAGCAAATGCCTCTCTCTATTCTGTTAATGGTCTGATAATCGAGCCTCAAAACCTCACTGTAACTTTGACTGCTCATCCTCTCATTCACCCCATATGAGGGCACTCTTTCCTACTCTTATGGCCATTAACCTTGGATAGGACCGCTCCATATTTCACCAGGATTGCAGCAATAACCTAACTAGTCTCCCAAGCTTCCTTCTCCCTACTTCAGTCCATCCAGCACACTAATGTAAGACCAACTGTTTTAAAATACAACACTGATCACCCTGGCACCCTGCTCAAACACTTCAATGGCTACCTTGATTCTAAAAAAATAAATAAATAAATAAATAAATAAATAAATAAAAAACCTATAAAGTTCTCACCTCTCACCCTGGTATCACTTATGTAAAAATCCAGGCATGCAAACATTTTGGATCCACTGAAGATTATTATTATGTATGTTAATGACACAAAATCACCTCTTAATCAAGATATGCATTATCAAAGCACTATAAAAATCACAGGACATCAAAAATGCAACTAAACCAGCAAGGCCTTTACTATCTTAATTATATCTTAGTCTCCCAATTAATAATTAAGTGGACAGACAGCATCTGAGTCTGTCCATTAAGTATAGATGTCAGCCATAGTGGAGTTCCTGTAGGGGGAAACATGGATTACATTAAGATCAATAATAATGCTTCATCAAGTGGCTATAGCCATTCTGCTTCTGATCATGATAGAGTAACAAGCACAGAACTTAACCTCCCACCATAAAAATAAATAAGCAAACAAATAATCTATCTACACAAAATACATGAAATAACTTTTTCAAGCATTGGACAAAAGGTAACACAGGCCTGTATACCTGAGAGAAGAAAAATAAATGAGGTGAGCCCTTTACACACCCCATTTCTGCCTGAATGCAAGTTCCAGGCTGTGGGTACAAAGAAGGAGAACCCAAACCAAGCTGGGAAACTGAGCTATATTAAGCAGATAATGATCAAAATTCAGGAAGGCTAACATGGCCAGAAGTTTAGGGCAAAGATCCAAAAAGAACCATATAAAGAGCTTTAGAATCCACAGACATGTTCCTTCCAACTTTACTGTGCACTAGTCTGTAGATGCACAGAGTGAAATTCCATTAGGCTGGGCAGAATCACTATGGAGGACACATTAACTGAACAATTCTCAGACCTCAAAGTGGAGAAAAATGTAAGTGCCAGCCAGCTGAAGTGGAATTCTTGGGGATCCCCTAGGGTCTTCAGGGAAGACCCCAAAAAGGTCACTGCATAGTAGTAGGATTGAACTACCTCTGGAAGAAAGGCTACTCTAAATGACTCTAGCTAAGCTCAAAATAAGGCCTCAAAAAGACTAGTCCTTATATCAAAAAAACTTGACTGCGGTAGGCAAAATTCTAAGACAGAACTTATGTTCCCTGATTTCTGGTGTTGACTCACTCCCTCTACAAACTGCTCCTCTTGAGTATGGGCACAACTTCTTTCTAGACAATAGTATATGGCAAAGGTGAGATGAATTTGCAGATGTGATTAAGGTACCAAATCAAGTCTGGATTTATCAAAAGCGATTATCTTGGGTGAGCCTGATCTAACTAATCAGGTAAAAGCCCTCCCTGAGTATTGAGTCTCCTGGCTGGCATGTTAAAGTGAGAAGCCAAAGTGAGGAAGCCTACATGGCAAAAAACAGTGGCCAGCCCCTAGCAGTTGTGGGCAGTCTCCAGCTGACATCCAGTAAGTAGCTAGGATGCTTAGTAATACAACCGAAAGGAAATGAAATCTGCCAACATTGTGAATGGGCTTAGACATAGCTTCTTCCCCAGTCAAGCCTCTGTCCTGACTAAAACCTGGATTGTAGCTTTGTGAGACCCTGAGCAGAGGACCCAAATAAATTCCTGACTCATAGAAACTGTGAGATAATGTGCAATGTTTTGAGTCACTAAATGTGTGCTAATCTGTGATATAGCAATAGAAAATTAATACAGTGACCCACAACCATTATAAAAGTTAGTCAATAAAAAAAGCACATAAACAGAGATGATGGAACAACAAACAAGGATGTTAAAATAACTCCCATAACTATGTCCAAATATTTAAGTGAAAATAGCACCATTATGAGGAGGAAATAGAAGCTATTGTAAAGAACCAAGTAGCGAGTTCTGCTTCTGCATAGAAAGAGAACGCCACAGCATTGCTCCAGCCCTACAATAAGGAAAAAGCTCAATCATCTACAAAATCTGAACTTTACAAAAGTCCATCGAGCATCCATTGGTACATGAGAGGATAAAACAACTATGGGACAGTTATACGGTGGAATACTACTCGGCCATAAAAAAAGAAAATTTTACCCTTTGCTTGGATGAACCTGGACAGCATTATACTAAGTGAAATACGCCAGTCAGAGAAAGACGAATACCATAGGATTTCACTTGTATGTGGAATTTAATGAACAAAATAGACTAACAAGCAAATCAGAGACTAAAAGATAGAGAGCAGGCTGAGAGCTCTGGGGTGGGAGGAGGTTAAGGGTTGCAAGGATCAAGTGAAAAGGAAATAGAACTCATGGACATGGACAGCAGTATTGTGATTGTGGGGGGCGGGGGTATAAGGGGGATAAATAGTAATAAAAATATACAATAAAATAAAATTAAAAAGCCCATCAGATTGCTGAGGTTACAAGGAACCAGTTAAACTGAATTTCAAAAGGTATAAAAACCATCCAGAAATGGGACAATCCAAGTAAGTTTTTACCTGTATCAGAAAACAAGCAAATAGGCAGCTGCCTTACAAGCAGGTAAAAAAATAGCTGAAATATTAATGTATTCCTAAAGGGTCTGTGTGGGTTGCAAGACAATGTAGATGCCTTAAGTCCAGACACAAGAGGACTCTGCCCTCAGTACCACCCTCCTGCAGAATGCTCACAAGAAACACCAGACATGGGGCAACACAGGAGACCCAAAAAAACCCTTCCATGGCAAAAACAAAATCAAAAACAGAAACAGAAGAAAAACACCACTGCTTGTTTTCCAGACTCTTCTTTTATACAAAGCAATAACGGTTGGAAGTTATTTGAAAGGCAGAAAACCTGCTCAGACCCAGCATTCTACACTACATGCAAAGACCTGTTAAGTGAGGGGAAGGGCAGAAAATTTTCACACAAAACCCTCCACAGACGTAAAGAAGAGTTTTGCTACCACTCTGAGGAGAGGCAGGAACACCAAGAAAGACTCATGTCTGGAAACCAGATGCACAGGGCCAGCCTTGCACCAATGGAACAAGCAACACAAATCCACTGAGGAAGGAAGGAGAAAAGTGAGGAAAGAGACACCCTCTCTGTCGGGGTCATTGAGGCCTTGCTGAAAACTGAGGAAGGTACAGGAACACAGAAAAGCCCTTCAGCACTCCAGGCCTCTCACTAAGAATAAGGTAGTCAGAGAATTTACCATTTCTCTCTCAGCAACTGTTGCAAAATACAGTTAAAAATCATTAAGGATGTATAAGGCATGAACATTACTATAAACCAATATACACATTGCACATTCTTTCCAGTACACACTAAACATGCACCAAAGTAAACTATATTCTGAGTCATTACGAAAATTCAAATTTGAAATAATTGAAATTATTTTCTCAGACCACAGGAGAATTAAATAAACAGTTGAGAACAAAAAGCAGAAAAATCTCCAAATATTTAGAAATTTAAAAACATACCTCTAAATAAACCATGATTTGGTTATAAATCCTACAATGTATTATTTTTGCTCTAGCAGTCCATTACCTTAATTTTTTAAATAAAGCAAAGGGCTCTAAATGACATCACTGGGCAAAATTACAGCAAAACAAATCTCAGTTCAGTTGAAATGAGAACACTGTAACAATCAGAGCCACTGAAAGGTGGAATGTGCTGCCGCAGACGGGTAAATTCCCTATGGGTATACAAATGCAGGCTGGAAAAAATTACATATAACCCTGAGATAATCACTGGATTAAATGACTTGAATTATTTGTTTCAAACATCAGTTATTATCTCACTGAATATTCATCAATAATTCCTAGATGGCGTTAATGAAAGGTTCATGCCATTCACCTTAAAAATGTTTTTTTACTTTTTATCCTCACCTGAGGACATGTTTATTGACTTTAGAGAGTGGGTAAGGGAGGGAGAGGGAGAGGGAGAGAGAAACACTGATCAGTTGCCTCTCCAATGTGCCCTGACTGAGGACCTAACCCACTACCTACAGATTTGTGCCCTGACCAGGAATCAAACCTACAACCCTTCAGTTTACAGAACAATGCTCCAACGAAGTGAGCCACACCAGCCAGGGCTAAAACTTCCAAAGCCATTTCTCCAATTTGTATCATGTTTAACAAAGACATTGTAAGAATTAAGCCTTCTGGTCTACTGATGGGTTAAACTGGTCAATTCCCACTTAAAGACACAACACTGGAATAAAAGTCTAGGTGTTGTGCCACTTTTCTCACAACAGCCATTTCAAAAAAACAGAGGTCTGAGAATCACATGCAATTTCACCTATCTAAGCCAAGATTTAAATCACTGATGGTTTTCAAGTGGAATGAACCTAAACTGTTAATACAATTTTCTCATATACTTCACTAACAACAAATTTCAAGTAATTTTTTCTAATAGTTTTTACACGCACACAAAAAAACAGTGTTATTTTCTATTTAAAGTTACACACAGGAAATAAGGCTCTCTTTATTATGATAAGTAAATAGAGCAAATCAACACGCTTATGTGAAGCTATGTCCTTCACTTCTTTAAAGTAAAGACAAAGTGTAGATTATGATCGTAATTTGAACAAAACACCTTCTCAGAAACTACATGGAAAGGACATGGGAAAGGGTGTCTATCAAAATATTAAAAAGTTTAGTTAAGGGGAACTATACTAAAATACAAGGCAATTTTGTGCTAGCTAAAGAAACAAGAAAAAAATGAAAAAACTCTCCCAAATAAAACAGAATATAATAAACAGCCACGCTACAACAAAGTACTAATAAAATATGAAATTAAAAGTTTATACTAAAATTAATATTTCATTTACCTTCTGTAGAAAACTCCACCACTAAATAAAAGTTATTCCATTTTAAAATTGTTATACAGAGTTATATAATACATGTTAAATGCTTAGCGTACTGCCAATTCTAAAGCAAGCATTAAACAAATGTTTTGTATTAGTGGTAATTACAACTGTGCATCCTCACTAAAGACCTTTTATAGAACACTCTCCAAGTCTAATCGACTGGAAATTCGCACATACCAAAGAGCATCCCTGCAAAGGGACTACAGATCTCTCGGGTAGGTCTGGATGCTTCATTGTCTCGAGCACTAAAACAAAATGAAAAGAATTAAAATTTAAATAATTTTCAGGAAACAAAAATTAGAGTAAAATGTAAGTATGAATTATTTGCCTTTTAAAGTACTACAGATACTCCTAACTAATAGTTACATATTTTTAAAGTTAGGGTAAAACCATGGCATTTTATATATTTATACAGTGGGACCTCAGTGTATCCAGGCTCTATAAATACATAACCTTTTTCTTCAGCCTGCTTCACTGGCTCTGTGGATTCCCAATAAAGCCTTTTTTTTAAAAAAAAATAAGAAGTTACCTCAGTAAAGAAAATGAATATCAGTACATATAAATCTTTAAAGAAAAAAGGAAAAAGGTGATTCCTATACATATACCTGGAAAAGAAGATCCATCCCTAAAAGACTCCTTCCTAGAAAGGCAAATCCTCATTAACTAGACCCAAAAGGCAAATTCTCTTATCTCAAGCAATTTTATGAATTACTTTTCTTCAAAGAAAATAGACTATTTCTGACAATCACAATATTATCTTCATTACACACTATAGATTTGGAAGCACTCATCCTTATGTATGATAGAAGAAAGCCACCAGAATAATAAAAAACTATAAATAGAAAAAGAATAAAATATAAAATGCATGCATTTTCCTTTCTTTTCAACATGACTGAATTATATATGATAACCCATCTTACAATGTAAGCATAAAAGTTATCTACTCAATAAGGTGAAAATCAAAAACAGACTTTTGAAAGGAAAATTCATTGCAGGAACATTTTCAATGTATTTCCAGTTAAGCTACAGCACCCCGTAACTACAAGATATTTTAATTTGATTTTAAGTTCATTAAATTATGTTTATTTCTCCTTTCATTACTTCAAACAAATTAATACACTTTAAAATGACAGGAACTTATTTAGAATACCTTGGCACAGTTTATGATCAAAATTTGCTCTTTAAAAGAATGCTGTAAAGTACTGAAAATTTTCATTTAACTCAACTCTCCACTTCCAAACCCTTTTTCCTTTTAATTCCTTTCTTACTGCTAAGGAAAGCTGTTAAGATACTGTATCTTTCTACTTTCCAGTAAGCCAGTTAGCACATGCTGTTTCACACTGTATGTAATGACTGAAGGGCAGAATTTGTGTTACATACCATACCTTGTATTTCCAGCAGATGAAATTCGTATGTTTGACTGGTCTGTGACATCGCCACCGTACGCCATAGGAGGCACATTCCCTTGTCTGTTCCCGTACATCCTTAAAAATATATTAGCTTATAGAGCTTGTTCCACATACAGTGGACCTTCTTATATGTCTTTGGTGTTTTTGCATTTGATGTTGAAAATATTAAAGGGAACAAAGTGTTATAATAAAGTTTTACTGTAAATACATTCTAAAATTAATTTGAATGAGATTTGATTCAAGTATGATCTGCTGGTTAGTAAGAGACACTAAGAGTTTATATTTAGCCATCTTTAAAACAAAAGGAGGTCATTATAAATTATTTCAATATAACTTCTACAAATCTTTAACTTGGAAACTACACATGTATTATATACTTTTCTATCATTCCTTTCTTCAAAGTATATTTATTGAGTACCTACTACATGCCAAATTCAATTCTAGGCACAGGGTATATGGACATGGTCCCTTATCTTCATGAAGATTATAGTCAAATTTCAAAATGAGATCATTTTCTTATTCAAAACTCATAAATACTGGGAATTATTTCATTGTATATACATACAAACCTTTTTAACTTAAAAATATAGCTGCGGACTTACAGTTTAATTATACCAAATGTAGCAGGTTGCATTTGCTAACAGTATAAATCACATGAAAGAATAAGGTGCATAGAAAACATCATAAACTGATACATGGCTAGAAAATGATTACTTAGTCATAACAACAAAAAAATTAGAGTTTTTTTATTTCCTTCTTAATCCTTTTCAGAAAATAATTTTTTTTAATGTGCTTTCCAATTAGTCTTTTTTCCATTTGGCAAACATTGATTTCTTTAGCTTAAATTCTCATACCAGAAAACATGACTATTTACATTAACATTTATCAGCATCCATGAAAATTATCATTTCCTAAATCATTTCTTTACATGGCTGTTAAACTACATTGTCTCTCAGGAGAACTATTAGGAATAAATATGGCTGTTAAAGTGTTGTTCAATATTTTAGGTGAATTTCATTATCACATTAAGAAAAATGGCAATTTTCAGAAGAAAAGGAGCTTCTCACTATCCACAGAGACAGCAATTCTTCATTTGTTTCCACCACACAAGCATTGTCGGTATCATCTGTGGGGAAGAAAACTTTACAGCATTGTAACCTTACTAATGTAAGACCTGGTACAATATAAATGCCTCCCATTTTTTATGCATATCTAAACAACAGAACCCTCCACAAGCCCTTTCTTTCAAAAAAGAATTTCAAAGTTATTTCAATTTATGAAAACATGGGTGGTTTTATATCTGAAGACTAGATGCTTGAATCTCTTTTAAACTGACACAGTTTAGAGTTATTGTCTACTTCTATCAACATGAAGAACAAGTAAATATAAATTCAAATTCAAATTTGTAATTAACAACACCAGGCAACCAGATTTAGTTATACTGGATCTATATAAATACACACGTGCAGAAAAGAGTTAACAGAGCAGGCCTGTACCAAGGTCACAAAAGCATCTGTACAAAAACATGTTGTATGGGTTCTTCAGTAATATAGATAGATATCTTAATAAAGCAAACACCCTAAGAACAAAAGATCACTTTCAAAGTTCACTCTAAATTAAGGAAAGTTAAGGAATGATTTTATTTATGTATAAGGTCAAGTTCTCTTTGCTAAGTTCTACAGTATAATCACAAAGACTCCTAATGAGCAGTCCATGTGAAAGATAGTTGAAGGTGGACATTTTCATTAAAGACAAAAAATTTATTTACAAAATTTTAAAAGTCCCCCTATCACAGGTAATTACAATAAAGTGAAAACTGGAAAAATGTTGAGTCCAAAATAGAGCAGAGAGACATATTTTACTAAAAAGCATAAAATAAAATCTTAAGGCATCCTATTCAATTTTTTTTTTTAAGATTTTATTTATTTATTTTTAGAGAGGGAAGGGAGAGAGATAGAGAGAGAGAGAGAGAGAGAGAGAGAAACATCAATGTGCGGTTGCTGGGGGTTATGGCCTGCAACCCAGGCATGTACCCTGGCTGGGAATCGAACCTGGGACACTTTGGTTCCCAGCCCGCGCTCAATCCATTGAGCTACGCCAGCCAGGGAAATCCTATTCAATTTTATAAAATGACTGATATAATTTTAAATTACTAACCTGAGACCTAAAAAAAATAAAAAACTAGAAGGGAACCTAACAAGCTGTAAAGCCAAATTATAGTTTGGAAGGTTAGCCACCTTATTATCTATTAAAATAACTGTATACTTGTAATGAAATCATCTGCATTTACTGATGTTTCTTTTATATTTCTAATAAATTTAGCATGTAATCACTCTTAGTTATCCCTATTAGTTCACTTTAACAGCTTTTATGGTGGTCTTACAATTTATTTTAGAAAACTTCATGGAGGTACATGAAGTCCTCTCTGTAAATGGGAACTGGTGAAAGCCAGCACGGTTTGACCACCATCTCTCTCTCTTGAAACAACTTAAGAGTCAATGACACAAGGTAATCTCTACAAGTAATGAACTCAATAGTCTAAACACAGCCTGATGCTAGTCAAATGCAGGAATTTGGCTGAAATCCAGTTTGTTCCCAAGAAGTCTTTTCGATGTAGCTATGGCTTTAGAACCAGTACCAGATTAACACTATCCCTGCGACCCAGAACTAAATTTTCTATGACTTTAAATCCACAGGTTCACTTACCACACCTCAATCCACTGGGTTTTGTCAGCAAGGGACAGACCTCATAAAAGAAAAAATTTGCTTAATTTGACACAGCAAATCAGATTTGCATGAGGGAATAATTGTAAAATAGTTTTACCATCCTACTATCAAAAAACAAAAAATTAAAGGTTATGTTAAGTGGAAAAAGCTTTTTTCTGTTTCCTTGAATTAGGTTCAAATCTCAATGCCCAAAGAAACCAAGTATAGGCTAGAGGCCAAGTTTACTCTAAAGATTAACAGGTTGCTTATCTTATTTAAAAAATTACTCTCTCTCTTACAGAAAAAAAGTGAATTGTTTGAAACCACAGGTATTTTCAGCTAACCAACTTACATGTGAATAAACAACTAAATGATCATGAATTCACTTCATCTGTTTTCCTTAATAAACCACAGAATCAAACAAGCTACTTTAGAAAAAAATTTACGTTGTTTATACTACCAAGAAAAACATATTATGAAAATAAAATATTTACCATCTGTTAGTCCTAAATTGATACAGTTCATATGGAGGAAAAACCAAATGTCTCCTTACTTAAAAGAAATCATCATATACTAAAGGTAACACCACCTTGTTTTCACACCAAGAATTTCTCTAATGTCAGAGTTCCTAAGTCTGCTATTAGAGGTACTCTAGACCACAAAAGTCAAAAGAAAAATACAGAGCTACTAACTGTTTTTTCTCATTGTTTTCACTTCTTTCCCAATTTTTATATTTACTTTAAATGTTTTTAAGATTTTATTTATTTTTAGAGGAAGGGGAAGGGAGGGAGAAAAAGAGTGAAAGAAACATCGCTGTGACTCCTGGCTGGTGTGGCTCAGTGGTTCGAGTGCTGGCCTGCAAACCAAAGGGTCACAGGTTTGATTCCCAGTCAGGGAACATGTCTGAGTTGCTGGCCAGGGCCCCAGCAGGAGTCATGTGAGAGGCAACCACATATTGATGTTTCTCTCCCTCCCTTTCCCTCTCTAAAAGTAAGTAAATAATATCTTCTTTAAAAAATTTTTAAAAGAAACATCAATGTGAGAGAGAAATATCAATCAGTCAGTTGCTTCCTGTATGTGCCCCAACTGGGAATGGAACTCAAAACCCAGGCATGTGCCCTGAGAATCAAATCAGGGACGAGGCCCAACCAACTGAGTCATACCGGTCAGGGCAATTTTTATATTTACTTAAATTCCATAACAGTATTTTAAAGTGGGAAAAATAATTAATATTAAAATGGTCCATCCAAAGATAAATGAAAATTAACTATAAGGAAAGAAGTTATACCAAATTAAGCAACTCATGTTCTAATAAGATATTTCTCATCATTTATGTCTTCATATTAACCATGTGTACTTCTTAGAACATCCTACACTAAAAACTATGTGACTAACACACAGACTCTAATTTCAGATGGAGTGTTATCTCAGAATTTTAAAAATGACTTAAGATTACAAACTAGCAAATATCAAGAGTTAAAAAGAAGTGCTAACTGCATTAATCACATAAAAACTAAAAAAAAAACTTCAGCATTTTGTACAGCTGAAAATATCCTTTACTTATTAACATTGGTTATAAAGTTAAATATAAGATGGTAACATATTAACTTCTATAACTCAGGTTAATAAATAATAAAGACTAGGATGACTATATTTAAAAAGTGCCTATAAACTCCTAAGTATTGTAAGATTCACTACTACCTTCAACTTAGAAAGCCCCTAAAACATTATAAAATTTACTTAAGTTGGTAAATATGTATAAACAAATAATACATTCGCACAGAATACAACTGTCAAGAAAAGTGTTAACCATCTTAGTAACTATCAAAAACATTGCTAAAGATTAATAATTAGTTTAGAAAAATAAAATCATTTCTGGGCTTTGGCTTCCTTTCTGTATTTAAAGTGGGGAAATGTATCACTAATAAATACATTATTATATATGAAAAAGTTTATAGGATAATTAGAAAAGAACTGAGACTAAAAATTAAAAATAAAAAATTATTAAAAATCAGAACTAGAATTTATCACATACTGAATTTTAGAAAAAAAATAGAGAAGAGAAACTCAGAATGAAGGAAAATTAATTTTGTATTTCTCACAACCCTTTATAATTATTCTTGTCAAGAATTTCTGGGTAAGATTAAAGTATATTAAAAATTAGTGGTTAGAGCAAAACATATGCAGTTGCACATTCCTTTGGTTTCAAAAAGTTCACTGACAAGTCATTTTCCTGTCAACCACTCTCCTGTGAAATAAAAACTATTTAATGATCAATGTGATTTTTTTTTTGCTGGAAATAAGAAATCCACAAACCTAGAATGTAGATATTCAATTTTAACCTCAATTGCCATGCAGACATATGTGAAAAACCTTACATATAGAGATACATGCATTAACAAAATGGAAGTAATGCATAATAAAAATTTACATTTTTAAAATAACTTTTTTAAAAACTTTGGAATGTATGACAAATTATTCTCATTCATCTTCATGTTTAATCTGGAAATACACTTGGAGAAGATAATATAGAAAGAATTCATTTCATTTATGGGATACATAAGAAAATAAAATAGTGCTCAAATAATTAGGCTGAAATTCATTTGTTAGTTCATGTATAAAATTATTACAGGGTATAATTACAAATAGAATAGATTAAAATATATTAAAAAACAAAGGAACAACCTCATAATAAGTTTCTTAAAATTCCAAACTTAAAAAGTATGCATTACATTACACTCTAAAGGTAAACAAACACAGTAAGGAAAAAAAGTTCCCATGTACAAAGAATGCAGCACCCAAAGCCTGAGATTACCTGTAGTTCCCCAAATGAGAGCTTTTTACGTTAGGCAGCCTTTGACTACCTTCTGATGTAAACATTTTCAAATATAACACAACAAAGGATTTGGAGCATTTTCTAAAGTACAACAATTGGATTCAAATCAGAGACAATTAATTATAGTTAGCACTGCAAAATTCTAATCCTTCACTCAAATTACTTAAATCAGAGTAAATATTTAAAAAATTGGGTGAGTAGAACATAATAGCTATGGAATAAAGAGAAGACAGAAAACTGTAAATGCTTTGTACTATTATCAATAATTAGAATACTGAATGTGCAGCATTACATCTCAGAAAATTTCCTAAAATATTAAAAAAAGTAATTTAAGGAGGGAAGATGGGGGACATCTGTAATGATGTCAACAATAAAAAAAAAGAACTCTATTTGGAGAAATAAATGAAAGAAGTCCCATTTAACTGCTTCCAATTTAGACTTAGCCCTTTCAAGTTACTATGTCAATGACAAATATGGGACCCTGCCATATTTCTATCTCCAAATCAAAAGTCAGGTTAAAAACAGCAAGTTTTATGTATTAAGACAAATGACTAAACAAAAATAAGAAATTAACAAATAGCATTACAAAAACAATCATCCAATCAAACTGAAAAACATGTGAAAATCTGACCAGAACAAATTAGTGCCATTTCACTTAAATAAATATTCAATAAGTAACTTGAAAACAAAGAAATATATTGATAAAAGGATTTAGAGCATAGGAATATTAAAGGAATAAACTGTATTTCATCTATTTTAAGGTGTTCTGTCTTCCCCACGTTCCAATATCTAAAACTAGCCATCAACCTGGTTTTTGGTTGAGTTATTGCAGAGAGGAGTTACTGTCCCCTGCTAGTCACCTAGGAGCACTATGAATGTGAGACAACTCAAATTCTCCCAAGGTTTTTTGTTTTGTTTTGTTTTTTTTTGGGGGGGACAATATTGGCAACATGAATCTGGACTGCAAACCTGAATCAGCACTGGCTGACCATTCAGTTCACAAGAAAGTTATATTTTACTCCCTCTACTCAGTGCCAAACTTGAGACATGGAAGTTTTTCTTTTCTGTCCATTTCTGTGTGCAAGTTTACTTCTCTTTTAATTTTACATAAAGGTTGTAGCTTTTCAGTGTTCCACCTCTATGACAGAGTCCTTTTCTCCCCATTCTGGGTGTTTTCTTTGTTCTCCCAGGGGCACATTAAATAATGGTGTACCTCAAAGCTGACAGTATCTTAGAATTAAATATGTAAATCAAATGGAACTGCTTCTCCCTAACATAATTGATAAAAAGTAACTACAATAATACTAAGCAAGTAAAGAAAATAAAAATGAAGTTGTAAATACCTGTCACTTGTATATACTCTCAAAGGTCTTCTATCATAATCACTTTCATATCTAAACCTCTCGTCCATTTCTTCACTTACTTCAGGATCTTGGTCTGGCCTATGATAGCGTCTGTCCAAGACACGATGCTCATGAAACCTGTCACATCTTCTATCTGGGACGTCCACCTTGCTGGCATACCTTTGATGTTTTTTATTGGAAATGTCCACTTCTTCATTCCTTTTTTTAATAATTCTTCTATTCCTTAATTCAATTTCATCATCAAGGTGTCGGTATCTGTCCTCCTCTAGTCGTCTTTGGTTTAAAAGTTCTTCATATGCCTCTGAAGGAGTTAAGACGTCTCTCCTGGGATCCTCTAAATTTTGGTAAGATGTTTGTATTTGTGAAGGTAAATCATATTTAACCTGACTAATAGGTTTTTTATTCCTTTGACTTTTGTGCTGGTCAATTAAAAGAAAGAAAGAAAGAAACAGATCTTAATGAGATGTTATTTCTTAAAAGGTAATTAAACCTTCAAATGATCCTTAGTCTCTCATCTCAACTAAGGCTTTATCACCCATAAGAGATACTTATTTATCATTGAAATTTATCATTTAATAACACTTAATATTTATTACAGGCAGTAATATGGATAAATAGCTATAAAAAGAGAAAATAAACTAAATGCCAATTCCTACCCTAGGAGATACTGGACATACTTTAGGAATTAAATATTGCTTCAAAATATTTCAAATAAAATTTTTTCTCAACACAAAGAAAGGAGATGATAAATTTTTTGACCCTAGTAATATTAACCATCCTTAAATTTGGAAAAAATATCACACAGCTAGAAACTGTCAATATAAAAAACACTTAAAATAGACAAAAATAACTTAAAACCAATCTCAAATGAAAATGAAGTTAAAAGGTATGGTAAGTTCTTCAACATAAGACAAAACCATTTACAAAACTAAATATTTAAATATCCTATTTAATACAATTCAGCTTATTTTTTAAATAACACATTAAAAACCAATCAATGTGTATAACATAAAAATATTTCAAGTAAGTACAAAATATTCATCTTGTAGTGTTACAGATTTACTTTAAAAGCAATACCTACCTCAGTACTCTTTTCTATCTGTCTGAGCTTTTCAGTAGATTCTTCCTTACCCCTGAGAAATTGATTGTATTCTTTGTTGCGTTCAAGTTTCAATCTTTCCTTGAAATAGACACCAAACGGCAATGTTAACTTCATTTCAGGAAAAAGTATCTTCATGTTAAATGAGACACATAAATCAGAGATCTTGCCCACAATCATGTTTTACTAATAATTTCAAGGACAGTAGTAGTTGCAAGGCACAGGAGAAGCAGGAAGTTACAGACCATCAATGCAATTCCCCTTTCTTGTCATGTTAAAACATGCATTACAACATACTTAGGCACAGTTTAACACAAGGCCTCTACTAAAAGGGAGCTGCTTCCGTTGTGAAACATCTCCATTCCACAGTCCAGTAGTTGTAAGCTCAGGTTACATTTTCCAAAGAGCCATGCTCCTTAGATCCATGGATTCTAGGTTTGTTTACCAACACCAATCCTAGACAATCCAGATGCACTATGTCAAAAGCATCATAAATAAATCTTTCCTACTACTAAACACATAATGTGTTTGCTAGGAAGTCTGTCATTAGCATGTTCTCAAGGAGATCTGACCAGGTAACTTTCCTTATTTCCTTCTCAGGGCAATCTCCTGCTCTCATCCTTCATCCCCCTCCCTAAAGACCTGCTGCCAACCATTCTTTCCCAGGCTAAAGAAGGATCCTGGTTGTATGTATGTATATATGTATGTATGTTTGTATGTATTTATCACCCATCCATCCTCACCCGAGGACATGCTGATTGATTTTAAAGAGAGGGAAAGGAAGGGAGAGAGAGAGAGGGAGAAAAACATCAATGGGGTAGAGAAACATCAATAGGTTGCCTTTCCTACAAATCCAGATTGAGGACCTAACTTGCAACCTACACATATGCCCTGACTGGGAATCAAACCTCAGACCCTTTGATTTAAGAGACAATGTTCCAACCAACTGAGCCACATTGGCCAAGGACAGATCTTTGTTGTATTTTAACATAAAAAGGTTAAATTATTATAGTCAGTAAAATATCATAATGCAAAACTGCTTTTGAAGCCTCTAAAGAATATGTACATGTATTTGTGAAGTGACAAAAACAGACTTCCCAATCTCCCCACACCCTTACCCTACATAAAAGCTCAGTATACTCTCCACTCATCTCACTGTGCTACAGAGCATAAACTTCACAGCTCAGGAACTAGTGCTGGATATTCAATTGATCAACATATTAAAGAAATATATCACATTACATGGTTACAAATGTAATGTTCAAAAAAATTAGTGCAATTAGAGACTCTACAGGCTTTTGGAAAACATACATTTCAAGTATAGAAACTGATATAATCTGTTTGAATTTAAATCAGGAATATGGTTAAATCAGGAATAATTTTGATACCTCATAAAACTGCCACCCAGAATAACTACTCCTATCCACCTACCTTGGCAGATAACCTGTCACCAATAGGAAGAGAAACTCCCAGAGTAGATGGATCTGTTTCACTCGTGGATAGAAAATTTTTCTGTATATATACACATTAAAAAAATATATTACCTAATTGCCTTTATAAATGTTTCATAAACTGTCTTTAATTTCGATATTCTAAGCTATTACATTTTGCAGAGCAAAGGAATGAAATGGAGATGAAGACAGAAACCACAAATATATAGAGATCATATTAGAAAAAAAGAGAATTTTCCTCCAATCAACAACTCTCTGAAGAGGAGAATCAGGTCTTCGTTTTCATTTGTAACACATATATGACTATTGATTCAAGATGATTTTATAAAGCATAAAACAAAAAAGAAACTTTCTTAATTCATATTTCTCTTCTAAGCACATTATCCTTCATTCTCAATGCCCTACTATTCTCTTGTTATGGAAAATTTAAACTTCCTCACGAATATCCTATGCATGCTGCATTAATGTTTCTTTCTATTTTTCCTGCAATTATGAGCGAATAGCTACTAAAACGCCAGAAGATATAAACTATGAAGACTGTTTCTTCATATGCCCCCTCATTTCTGTTCAGTGAACATTTAGGTAATGCAGTGTAGTAGAGAGAGCATTAGACAAGAAGTCAAAAGAGCTAGGCTCTAGGAGTAGCCCCAACCCTTCTTAGTCATGCCACACTGAGCAAGTCACTTAACCTCCCTGACCCAGACTTTCTTCTTCTATAAAATGGGGTGGTATCTGCTCTGCCTACTGAAGCTGGTATAAGGATCCAGGAAGACAAAAAATATAATATCTCTTTGAATAACTATAAAGCAAACACAAGGAATTAGTGAAAAATTTACACAATCCCCAGTAGTATATAATCTGCTGCTTAGTAGTATATAATCTAGAATAAATTATTTAATTTCTCTGCCTCAGTTTCTTTGCCTGTAAAACAGGGGTGTTATTTATATGAGTAGGTTATAAGGATTAAAAAATCAATAGTTATTAACCTGTCCAGCTCCATGCCCCTCATTTATTCATTAAACAAGCAATTATTGACCATCTAATAGTTTTCAGTTTTTTAAGGTGGTTGGGAGACAAAGAATATATGTTCCCTATACTCAAGAGATTTACAGTTCAGTCAGGAAAACAAACATGTAAACAAACTACCAAACACTGTACTAACAGCTTCAACAAAGTTATTTTCAAAGCATTACAGGAACAGATTAATAAAACTAAATTAATGATGTTTCATTAAATCTAAATTTATGAATAACTTAATTTATGCTACAAAAGCTAATCTGAAAGTTGGTAGAACTCTAAATTTACTTGTCAAGGGAAATAATATGACAGTTACCATATATACCAAATAATATGGCAGTCCCTATATACCAAAATACACTATAACCTTAATCATTTTGTAGAGTTATACACAAAACACATTCGAGTTCTAACCCTAGGAAGAGAGAGAGAGCACATATCACTCCTTCACTGAGCAATTCCCCACTCTCAATCCAGGTCCAGCATGATGTTTGAAATTTTTCATAAAATGAATAACACAAACAGTAAGGGCAACACAGTGAGTGTTGCAAAAGCTGAATTTTAGTTACTCATTCATCCAATAAATATCGAGTGTCTACAATGACCCAAACTGTTTGATACACTTGAGATTCATCGGTAAAGAGAACAGATAAAATTCCTGCCTTACTGAAGCTTACATGCAAGCAGGGGAAACTGACAAAAAGTAATGAACATAAAGGTACATTAGAAGGTGATAAGTGCTATAACATAATAAGAAAATTAAAAGAACTGACTACAGGTAGTCCCAGTTTCTAGGTAAGAGGAGGGGGAAAAACAGAAATCTGGCATTCCCCTGTAGATGTGTTCAACCTAAGACATCCATTAGATTTCTGAGTGAAGATGTCACATAGGCAGCCATATAGAAAAATCTGAAGTTCAGAGGAGAAACTTGGGCTGAAATTATAAATTTACTGATTCAATTTAACAACATTCTTCTGAGAATACGTCCTTTCTGTATTGTTAGATGCTCAAGTGCCTTTTATTCTAAAAAGATGAAAGGAGATGGTAGAGAGGGTAGTTATATATTTTCATGGTTCTCATTGACAAAATTTAAAGGTTTGATTTCTTGGTAATATCCATGCAATCTACAAGCCTAGATTGTACAAGAAACACAGAAAGAACAAGCCTTGGAAAGCGCACGTAACCCCAGTGTCAATGAAACCACTGAAGCCATCTCCCAACATCCTACACAACTTTCTCTTTCCTTTGCTTTCCTTTTACTCCCACTTTCTCAGATATCAACCAAAATTGTCTCTTTCATATTAGGGGACTATTGTTCCTCTACCACAACTGCGTTCTTGATAACCAACACCAAAAACTCCTGGATATCACTTTGAATTTAAACATCTATACTCCTTGATCTCTTTTCTTTTCACAAAGGCAATTTCTTCTTATGCCTCCCACCACTGTTCTTTTTTAAAATCACACACCTATGAAGAAATGTAAAATCTACAAGTGAAAATGGCAGCTGTCAGAGGAAAATCCAACCCAATTAAGAGGGGAGCAGGTAGGATAACAAGGTACAAGGCCAGGGAGGTGGGCTGGAACATGAAAGCCCTTAAGTGCCATCCTACAGCATTCGAATTTTTATCCTGGAGACAGTGAAAAGACACTGAGGTATTTAAATCAGTACAGGGCAGGATGATTCTGGAAAGCAGAATAGAGAATGGACTAAGAATTAATGGGAGAGATCAGGTGAAAATCTGTAGTATTGATTTAGGACAAGAAAAGAGTCTCTAACTTGCAGAACTGTGTAAAGCAGCTACCAAGATCCTCACAGGCTGCTTCAGGAGGTAAATGTTTCACCACTGCCTTTCACACACCAAGTAAAAACATCTAACTGACTTCTACTGGATCCTATCCTCTCTATCATTACATCATTACTTCCTACTACTCCCAGAAAGAATCCAACTCAGTCAGGCTGGTAAACCTAATATGCTTCATTCATACAGAACGAAGGTCTACGTCACAAATTCGCCGTTATTCTATATTTGCTATCTGAAAAGCTTCCTTCCTCTCCTCAATCAATTCGCCCTCTAACATCCAACTCTACCTATCCCATAATGTCTTACAATGTCTTACAAAATAACACCGTGAGGCCTTTCCTAATCATTCTATCCTTCTTGTTCAAGCTGTCACTTCTGAACTGCATGAATGTTATCTCTACAGCTAGATTCTAAGTCCCTCAAAGGTAGGATGCATACCTAATTTTTCATGGTGTTTAAAAAGTGTTGGTTAAATGATGAATGAATGTGTGAGATTCTTTTTAAAAGGTTTTATAAAATCACAATTGTAAAATTATAAAATTGTTTGTCTTTGTTTTACAATATAAATTTACAAATGCAATCCACATGTTTGGATGCAAAAATATCAAGTGATCCAAATCCTGACAACATGTAGTTCAAAAACATCTTAGAATATCTTGAATATTCTATTATTTTATTCATCTTAATGTGATTATAGCATAATTTGAAGAACAAAGCTGGCATGATGAAAACAAATAGACTCACAATAGATGTGGAATATTTCTAAAGGACAGCGTAAGAAAGCAACAAAAACAAATGCAAGCATCAAAAAGAATGCTTAACTGAATTAAAGAAAAATTAGAATGTCACCTCACTAAATGCAAAAATACAAAATGGTACCATTCAAAACTCTGAAAATCACGATAAAGCTATTTTTCTCATAGGAGAACAGCAATATCGAAGGTGCCAATGACTGCAAGCTACTAGATTTAAAAAAAAAATCTAAAGGAGAACATTTTGCAAGCAAGCCTACCTTTCTCTTTGCTTCTGTAATACCCTAAAGGGAAACAAACCATTGATAAAATATATTCAAAGTCCTTTCTCATCATGTACAAATCAGAATAAAAGAGAACTTAGAAATTTGGAACAAGTGTTATAAAGTAGTTAAAAAAATAAAGAATATCTGGGATGACTACAAACATCATGCTTGTTTAAAATAATTTTATAATCAAAATGTAAATTGCATTTTAAAACTTAAAATAAATCTTTAATTTAGCTATTACATAATTTAACAAAATACACTTAAGAGTTCTGCTTAAGTATGCAGATTAAATCATAAAGCAAAGAGTTTGTGATTAAATATGTTAAAGTTTTATAAACTTAACTCATAGAAAAATAATAAGCAACTAGAACTCCATGTGTTATTTTAATACATGGTTGGGGGAATAGAGGAGTAGGAAATCTTAACTGGGCTATCTTAAACCATAATTTTATGGAAAACATAAACAATCAGAATTTGTGATTTCATTTAAAATTAGAAACCACTGCCCTACTCCAAAAATCAAGAGACTGCTATTCCATGGCACCAGTTTTCAGCACCATTTTTTTCTCCGTCAATATCATATATGTTACTCAACTTTCTCTACAATATCCTGTTGCTGATGCTAATGAAAACCTAAAAATTAATACATATAACTAAATCTTAGGAAAACAAATTTAGGACATGACTTCTGAAGCATAAGACTCAACTAATTTACAGAACCCTACCTGAGTAAGATAGCGTCTGTAATCTTGCCGCAATTCTTCTTTTAGTTTATGTTTCTTCCGTTCATAGTCTTCCCCAAGTGGTAAACTCAATCCATAATCAAGTCCTAGAAAGAAAACAACTTCTTAAAGTAATGTAGCTCATTTTCAAACCAATCTCAATTTCAATACAATCTCCTGTAACAAAGCACAGTAGGAAGGAATATAGTCATGTTCATTCTGAAAACTAAGATCAGGATAAAAAAAAAAACTTTTTTATTTAAAATGTTTCAACGGTTAATATACCCATATATTGGAAAATATCACTTCCACCCATGAACCCGAGCTACCCAGCTCTCCTGCCCAGAACAACCAACATTCCTGTTTCTTTTCACTCCTTCCAGAGACTTTTTATGCATCTATAAATAAATACTTTTCACTATCGTGTGCCTGCATGTTCTTTTATGTTTCATATTACTCCTTCCCCCTTTAGATAGCGGTTCTGCACTGCTTAGTATCTTGGTTTATCAAGGAGAGCAAACTTAAAGAAAAGCTTTATTTCGGTTAATTCCACTGATAATTCTACAAAAATACCTACAGCAATTTTAATGTCTGTTTTCAGTCCAAAAATTAATACCATGATTTTTAACCAATAAGAACATCCTTGCTGTAACATGTTTGAGACAAATTAGGACCAAAATAGCTCAGACTGAAATTTCCAAAAACTTTCAAAGTTAAACCACCAATTCTGATTTCACATAAATGGACATTAATTATTACTGTGCAAAAATTTTATATTACATAATATAGAATTTACCACTTTAATTACTTTGAACATAAAATTCAGTGTCATTAAGTTCATTCAAAACATTGTGCAACCACCACCATTTCATTTTTTATTTTTTTATATTTTATGCTATTAGAATTGTCCCAATTTTTCCCCCTTTTTGCTCCCCCAGGCACCCACAACTCCTTCCACAACCCCCACTCCTTTGTTCATGTCCATAGGTCATGCATGTAAGTTCTTTGACTATTCCATTTCCTATACTTGCTCTTAACATCCCCCTGCCTATTCTGTAACTACCAATTTGTACTTCTTAATCCCTGATCCTCTTCCCCCACCCCCCAGACCTGTCCCCACTGACCACCATCCCAATGTTCTCCATATCTGATTCCATTTTTGTTCTGCTTGTTTGCTTAGTTTGTTTTTTGCATTCAATTGTTGATAGTTATGTATTTATTGACATTTTAATGTTCATAGTTTTGATCTTTTTCTTAAATAAGTCCCTTTAACATCTCATATAATAATGGGTTGGTGATAATGAATTCCTTTAGATTTTTCTTGCCTGAGAAGCACTTTATTTGCCCTTCGATTCTAACTGGTAGCCTTGCTGGGTAAAGCAATCTAGGTCATAGATTCTTGCTTTACATTACTTTGAATACTTTTTGCCAGTCCCTTCTAGCCTGCAAACCTTCTTTTGAGAAATCAGCTGACAGTCTAAAGGAACTCCTTTGTAGGTAACTGTCTGCTTTTCTCTTGCTTTTAGATTTTCCCTTTATCTTTAACCTTTAGCATTTTAATTATGATATATCTTGGTGTGGGCCTGTTTGCAACCATCTTGTTTGGGACTCTGCTTCCTGGACTTGCATGTCTATTTCCTTCACCAAATTAGGGCAGTTTTCTTCCATTATTTTTTCAAATAGGTTTCCAGTTTCTTGTTCTTTCTCTTCTCCTTCTGGAACCCTTATGATGCATATGTTGAAACACTTGAATTTGGATTTTTTCTTCTTGCTGTTCTGATTGGATGTTTTTTGGTTCCTTATGTTCCAAATCATGGATTTGATTCTCAGCTTCATCCACTCTACTGTTGATTCCCTCTAAATTGTTCTTTATTTCAGTTAGTGTTCATTATTCCAAATAATCCTTCATTTCTGATTGGATCGTTTTTACACTGTTGAAGTACTCACTGTGTTCCTTGAACATCCTTATAACCAGTGTTTTCAATTCTGCACCTGATAGATTGCTTTTTTTTTTCCATTTTGTTTAGTTCTTTTTCTGGAGTATTGTTCTGTTCTTTCTTTTGGGCCATGTTTGTCTCTTCATTTTGGTAGCCTCCCTTTATTTGTTTCTATGTATTAGGTAGACTTGGTTTGACTCTGTGTCTTGGTGGTGTGGCCTAATGTAGTAGGTGTCCTGTAGGGCAGTGGCACAGCATCCCTCATCCCCCTTCCCCCAAGCTGGGTACGGGAGGTACACCCTATGTGTTGACTGAGTACTCCCACCCCTTGTAACTGAGTCTTAAATGCTGTCAGCAGGTCAACAGGAGGGATTTACCCAAGCCAGACAGCTGGTAGGACTGGCTGTGACCAGAAGCCACCAATCTCCTCCCTCTGTGGCTGATGGAAACGGTTGGGTTTTGGTGATCTGACATGGTGTGTAATAGTCCACTGGGTGCACAGGCTCTGCGGTTTTCCAGGTGGTACAAGCCAGTGTCAGCCACTACCTGCATTCTGTCTGGTGCCTCTTCGTGTAAGCTATAAAGCAATTTGCAGATAGCTGCTGCTGGTGCCGGGCCTGGGGCCACTCAGAGAGAGGTACAGATGCTTGACTCAGCTGATACTTGTTTGAGATTTAGGAAAGTCTGAAGCCATAAGAATGGCTGAGCTAGACACATTCTTAAAAGCCACTGTTACCAGCTTGGGTAGGCTGGTACTTGGGATGGGGCGGAGCCTTAGTTAATCATCAGGACAGGGCTAACTGTGTGAGTCAGAATGATAAGAATCTCAGATATAGTACCACCACACTGGGCTCTGTAGTGAGGAAGGCTCAGAAAAGGAATAGTGGCTGCTGTCTACAGTTCTGTCCTGGAGAAAGCTGTGCCCCAGCTCTCGCCCTGGTGCCAAACACTTCGGTCCTCCCCATATGCCACTAGTGCCCCAAAGGTATTTCGCCAGTGCTGGAATCCAGTGGGAATGTCTGAGTAAGTCTATGTGCAGGGCTCTCCAAAAATAGACACCTGAGAATTCCGCAGTTTCTTCCACCAACCCAACTGCTCCACAGATTTTACAGCCAGAAGTTATGGGGACTTATCTTCCTGACAATGGAACACTAGGCTGGGTGGTCTGGTATGGGGCTGGGTTCCCTTGCTCCCAAGATATCCCCTCAATTTATATCCACCACACATGGGTATGGGATCAGCCTGTTCTGTGTCTTTGCATCTCTGCCCCTCCTACCTGTCTGGACGAATGTGGTTTCGTTAATTCCTTAGTTGTCAGAGTTCCATACAGCTCAATTTTCTGATAGTTCTGAGTGATATCTGTTTTGGAATTCAGCTGTAATTTTGCTATGGTTGTTCTAGGAGGCAGGCCGCATTTACCTACACCTCTATCTTGACTGAAAGTCACCTCACCACTATCTATTTCATCATCCCGAACAAAAACTCTGTAAAAGGATAATTTTTCAAGATAAACTTCAATTTTCAGCAGTGTTTCCTTACATAGAGTTCAAAAGTAAAATTACATTTTGGGACGATGACATGAGTGATAGCTGCACAACTTATAAATACACTGAAAACCACTAAATTGCACAATTTAAATGGGTAAACTTTATGCTATGCCATAGACACCTCAATAAAGCTGTTATAATCATATTACATACTTTTCAAATATTTTAAATGATAAAATACTATGCCAGGAAGCACAGATATCAGAGAAGTATTTGATTTCTGAAGCCCCCTACCTTTTTTGTCCTAATATGTAATACTAGAGTATAAAAAATTACCTTTTCTAAACAAAATAAAAATTTTCCTTGGAGAGTCAGCTACAACCAATATAGATAAAGTAATTGACTGCAATATGAACTGATAAGGGTATCACCACTTTTTTTTTTTTTTGCCTAGTCTTTACAGTGCAGCTAAATGATGGGCACTTAGCATGAATGTGTCAAATCGCTGCTTTATTACATCACGGAAATATTTTAGGGACAAAAAGGCCAATGTCTATTGATTTTTCTGCAATGCTAAATTCCAAGTTCTACTATAAACACTCTGGAATTCTTTTTATAGACATTTCTGGCCTCCTTAAATCCTGTTGAATAAGGGGATTCCTTATGTTGAACAGAGGATTCCTGAGGATACCTCTCCCTCAGGTTCCCAGCTCTCTTTCAAAAAGAAATCTAAAGCATTCCATATGCCTGGAATGTCAACTCATTTTAGAAAGGCATTTTATCCTCACAAAGGAATCTAAACTTTATTTTTAAAGATTCAGAACTTAAGCTTAAAGAGAGAACATTTTAATTTTTACTTTTAGAATGGAGTACCACAAAGAAACTATAAAATCCACTAAAGCCTAGTCCATGCTTTATTCAATCTTATAATGCCTGGCACACAACTTGTACCCAGAAATGTTCACTGAATAAAGGTGTGAATGAATATATGAATGAATGTCTAAGTATGAGGAAAGAACGAGAGAAAGGAAGAACACACTATTCTAAGTACCTCATTTTTGCTTTTAGTCTGATAATGTAGAGGCAGGAAGCATAACTAGTAACCAGTTCCCTAGCTCTAGTTACGTAGTCACAAAGGATGCTCTGTTGTGTCAAAAAGAAGGGAAAAAAACCATGCAGCAATGATGATGCCTCCCAACACACTCAGCTTTCCTCTCAGGGAACAAGTAATTTACAGTTTTCAAATACTGTCATACCAAACCATAATCAAAGAATTAGCATGGCTGCAGTATTAACTTCTTTAAAATTCCAATACAGTCATCAATCATTAAAATTGTCTTTCACCAAATAGCACTTTGTATCCATTAAGCATATTTCTTTGATTTATAAATAAAAGTCCACCATTTCTATTCAATAATTAACATACTTTCTCTTGCTCACTCACTCTCTCTCATGCACACACACAAACTCTATTCAGATTCTTCAATAAATTTTTAATTAGTTATACTTACTGCTATAATTTCTACAAATCATAATAAAGGCAATAACATTTTAAAAGTTACAAGGTTCTCAGTATGTTATATTGCACATGTAGTCCATCTGTCACATATAAGATTTGAGAAAGGAAAGAGTTACCAAGACTCCATGAATATCTTTTTTTTTCTGACAAGACAAAGCTCTTTCACAACAGTCTACTAGGAATATCTTAAAAATCAATTTAGCACACGTAATGACATACCTAAGGAACCCCTGGTCTGTTGACTGTTTGGTGGAATGTTTTCCTTAGCCATGGAGATTAATATTTTACTGTTTTCAGAAAGTTTCTCTGATGACTTTCCCTGCAAGAGATGTAATATTTACAAAAGCAGAAGGAAAAAAACCCCTACAAAATAGAAAATTCATCTCAGTACTTTTATTAAACAACTTGACAAAACTACATGGTATATTCTAGAAGAAATTTACATCTGTGGAATTAACCAAAGCATTTAATACTATAATAAATGTTCTAATATTTAGCTCATTCACTTATCAACAGGCACTTAAGTTCTTGCCAGGCACTGTCCCAGGCACTGGAAATACATGAGTGAAAAAAATTATAATAATCTGTGCCATCATGGAGCTTACAAACTACTGTGGAGACAAACAAAAACCATAATACATACTCACTCTATGAAATATGTAGAATGGTAGGGAGGGACTATGGAAAAAAACAGAGCAGGGTATAGAGGCCCAAAAATGATGGGGGATATACTACAAAGCCTCACTGAGCAGGTGACACCTTAACTAAGACTTACAGGTTATTATCTGTGTATTATTTAATATTAGAAATTATAATAAAGCTGTACTTAAACACTGTAAGCCAGTCCTACGTACTGGAGAGTGGTTAAGAGCATGGGCTGTGAAGCTGGACACATCACTGAATCCACCACGGTGTGTACCTGGACAAATTACTTAACCCCCTTCAGCCTCACTTTCCTGATCTGCCAAAAATAAAGAAAAATTCCATCTACTTCACAGGGATATTATCATTAAATGAGAATACATGTAAAGTCTTTTGCACAATTCTTTGTACGTGGAAGGTATTTGGGCAGAAAGACAACCTAGAATGGTAGTTAAGAGAACAAGCACAGGATTCATGTTGCCAGGGATCAAAGCCCCATTCTGCTATTGCTTTAGTCACATTACTTAACTTCTTCATGCCACAGTTTACTCATTTGTAAAATGATAATAATAACAGTACTTATCTCATAGACTCATGTGAAATATCCAAGTAACCCCGTAAGCCTTGGCCTCATCCATATTTTGCACACAATAAATGTTAACTATGTAAGTTCCTATATAATTAGGGTGTCCATAGTATTTATCATCTCAACCAAGATGCCTTTGTCCAGGAAAAATGCTAAACCAGATGAGACACTGGGACAACAGGTAAACCACGACTGTCTTGGACAAACCAGTACATGTGGTTACCCTCCTTACAATGGACCATGTGGCATAGATTAATCTACATCCACTATCTTATTACATGTACTGAGCCCATGAGAAAAGGTGCCACATCTGTCGAGATTAGTGCTGTGCTGCCCGAGCCTAGCACAGTACCTAGCAGAGTCTTAATAACTATTTGCCAAAATTTGTTGAATCACTTTCAACAAAAATAGGAAAGTTTAAGAAAGCTTTTTTTGCCCTGGCTGGCATAGCTCAGTGGATTGAGCACCGGCTATGAACCAAAGTGTCGCAGGTTCGATTCCCAGTCAGGGTACATGCCTGGGTTGCAGGCCATGACTCCCAGCAACCGCACATTGATGCTTCTCTCTCTCTCTTTCTCCCTCCCTTCCCTCTCTAAAAATAAATAAATAAAATCTTAAAAAAAAAAAAGAAAGCTTTTTCTGAACTGCTTTCAGAAACATTTTAACAAATTTATATTCAGAAAAGCATACAATAAAACAAATACTATCAACATACTATCCTAATAAATTCACTTTTGTAGGCTTCAAAAAATGTTAAAACAATGACTCATTAAAATACTGCTTTTCCACATAGAATGAAAAGTTGCTTTTATATCTACTCTGCTTCTATTCTGAAAGTACCCTGTACTAGCAGTAGTCTCTTAATCATTTTATGAAGCACATACAGAATTAACTAAAACTCTAATAAGGGGGAGGAGAAACTGTGAGATATAAAACACCACAAACAAAACACTGCATTTAAATCACTGAAACCTTGTCCAGAATCAGCACAGTCACACTACAGTGTGAAAGTGAAGAGTCAACTCAGAGAAGAGGATGCTTGCATTTACACAGGGTTAACCTTCAAAACCAATTTTTAATGAAACAGGTTGGAAGAAAATGCTTAACCTTACCTTCATTTCCATGTAAGGTGGATCGCTTTCCAATTCTGCTTTGTCTTTCGCCAGTTTGGCTTTGCACTCTTCAATAAATTTATCCAAATTATCAGCCATTTTTCAGATACTTAAAAACAACAACAAAAAAAAACCACTGCAATGAGCATAGCTACAACTATTGGAGTATTTGGGAGCTAATTATTAACATACAGGCTTAGCCTACATTTGGTATTCAATCTCACTTATCAAATTGAGAACTTCAAGCAAGCCTGACCAAAATATTCCTGCCTTCTCTCACAACTCCCCCAAAACACCTACAATATACTTTAAAATATCTGAATATAAATAAAAAAAAAACAGCCACCACTACCACCCCCACCACATATACATTCCCCCCCCCCCAAAAAAACCCTCTGAACCTTAAGTCAAAACACTTTAAAAAGTTTTTTTTAACTATTTGGAGGTAATTTTGAACTTGCATAAAAGTTGCTACAATAAGAATGGCACAAAGAACAACTGTATACTTTTTATCTATTGTTAAGAGTTTGCATTACTTCTTTCTTGTGGCGTTCACACAAGTTCTCTCTTTGCACACTTAATTTTTTTCTAAAATTAGTCAGAGGGTAAACTATATATATAATGGCCCTTTATCCCTAAATGTTTCAAAATATGTTAAGAATTAGGTTATTCTCACCCTGGCCAGGTGGTTCAATTGGTTGGGGCATCATCCCATGCACCAGAATGTTGTGGGTTCAATCCCCAGTCAGGGCACATACCTAGGTTGCAAATTCAATCCCAGTCTGGGTGCATATAGGAAGCAACCAATCAATTTTTCTCTCTCTCTCATTCTACTCCCCCCACCCCTTTCTTCTCTCTCTAAAATCAATATGCATATTCTCAGGTAAGGATAAAAAATTATTTTAAGAATTAGGTTATTCTCTTATATAATCTCAATGCAATTATCAACTTCAGTAACACTAATTTTTTTTAATCTACTGCTCATGTTCCAATGTTGTCATCTAACCTAATAGTGTCCTTTACAACATATTTTTCTCTCTCCAGCTCAGGATCCATTCAAAGTTAGGTATTGCATTTCATTCTTATGTCTCTTTAGCCTTCTTTAATTTGAAACATTTCCATACTTTCCTTTGTCTTTTATAACATTGATATTTTTTAATACAGCCTACCCAACAATCCTCCTTTGAGGTTTGCCTGATGTTTCTTCATGGTTAACTTCAAGTTATGCATCCTCAGGAAAAATACTTCTTAGATGGTGATGTGTTCTCAAAGTGTCAATAAAATTAGTGATACACGATGTCCATGTGTCCTTTATTAGTGGTTATTTTTGATCACCTGGTCTAGATGTTTGATTTCTGTACTACCTTTTTCTTGTAACTATGAGCAATCTAAGGGAGATACTTCCAGACCATGAAAATATCCTGCTCCTAATCAAAATGTCTAAGATTTAACATCAATTGATGGTTCTTGATTAAATCTCTAATTCTAAATGGCTGCAAAATGCTGATTTTCCAATTCCACCACTCCTTGCACTTATTTACCCACTGGCCTTTTATTTTATTCTAACAGCCCTTCCTTCATCTGCATTTATTTATTGGCTTATTATCAGTATAGACCCATAAATTCATTTTTTTTTCATTAAGCCCTGGAATTGTTTTTAAATTCATAAGTGGTTGTTTTATTGAAGAAACTTATATACCATAAAATTCACCCATTAGAGTGAACAACTCTGTAAGTTGCTAGTAAATTCATCGTGTTATGCACATCACCACAAACACTCTTTGTAATGCTTCCATCAGCCCCAAAATTTTCTCATGCCTTTTTGCAGTTGATCCTCACTCTCAACCCCAACTCAGGCAACTGTCAATCTGTTTTCTGTTTCTATAGTTTTGTCAAATCTAGAAATTTCATATAAATCATACAATATGTAATCTTTTGTGTTTGGTGTTTTTCACTTAACCGTAATATTCTTTTTTAAATTTTTATTTCTTGATTTTAGAAAGAGGGAGATGAGAGAGGGAGACAGAGAGAGAAAGAGAGAAACATCAATTAGTTGTTCATTGGTTGATTCTTGCATGTGCCCTGACCAGGGATCAAACCCACAACCTTGGCATATCAGGATGACATTCCAACCAACTGAGTTACTCAGCCAGGGCCTACCATAATGTTTTTGAGATTCATCCTTGCAGGTGCATCTGTTAATAAATAGTTATTTTTTTATTATTAGGTACTTTCCATTGTACGAAAATACCACATTTTGTTCATTCACCCACTCCTGGACATTTGGGTTATTTCCATTTTTTGGCTATTAAGAATAATTCTGCTACGAACATTCATGTACAGGTATTTGTGTGGACATATGTTAGTTCTCTTTAATACAAACCTAGGAGAGAAACAACTGAGTCCTCTGTAACTCTGACTTTCACATTTTTAGGAACTGTAAACGGTTCCTGAAAGTGTAAAGTGGCTGTATCATTTACATTCCAACCAGCACTGTTGCAAAAATTAACTCAAAACAGACTTACATATATAAGAGAAAAACTATAAAACTTCTAAACTAAAACATAGAAAAAATATTTGTGACCTTGGGCTAGGCAAAAATTTCTTACATATTTCACAAAAAGCACAACTGATTAAAAATTGATAATAAAAAATCTCTCTTGAATGAGAGTTGCAATTTCTACACCTCTTCACCAATGCTTGGGTATTTTCAGTCTTTTTTATATTAGTCATTATATTAGGTGTGCAAGACCACAATATCTCATTGGGGTTTTAACTTACATTTTTCTAACAACTATGACGTTGAGCAACTTTTCATGTGCTTATTTGCCATCTGTACATCCATATATAACCACCGGCAAAATGTCTTCAAATATTCTACCTATTTAAAAAATTAAATTGTTTTTTACTATTGAGCTTTAAGATTTTTTTATGTATACTTAAGTCCTTTATCAAGTATGCTTTATAGGTATTTTCTCCTGGTCTATGGTTTATTTTTAAGTTTTCTTAATCATGTCTTCTTCTTCAAGGCTTTATTGTTTAGAGCAGTTTTATATTCAGAGCAAAAGTGAGAAGGTACACGTTTACCTCATATGCCCTGCCCTACTTAAGCATAGCATCCCCCATTATCAACATCTCCCACCACAGTGGTACATTTGTTTACAATCAATGAACCCACATTGACACATTAGAATCCATTCTTGGTATTGTATACTCCTTGGGTTTGGACATACAAGGTCTGTCCAGAAATTATCCAGCCATATACTATGAAAAATAGAGATATTTATTAAAGAAAATATAAGAGACAAGAAACATTGTACATAGGACAATGATGTCTCAGTCCCCTTCAAAGTAGGCACCTTGGGACCTCACAGAGGTCTCCTTATCATCATTAGCTGTACTGTCGTATTTTCTTGAATCTTGTCAACAGTCTGAAATCTCTTCTCTTTCAAAGGTGATTTTAGTTTTGGAAAAATCCATAAGTTCCAGGGTGCCAAATCTGGGCTACAGTGGGGCTGTGTCACCTGGGTGATCTGATGTTTTGCCAAATAACTCTGCACCAGGTGTAATGCATGAGTGGACACACTGTTGTGATGAGGCTGCCAATCACCAGTTGCCCATAGCCTCAGTCTTCTGAATCATCCAAATAGTTTCCACGTAGGAATGTTCAAGCTTAATGCAAAATTTGATGCAGATTCACTGTTCTACTCGCACAGTCATTTTGAATGTGACAGCCACACAGTATACATGTTCACTCAAGGGCACCTACCGCCCTCGCTGACTAGTACAGTGGTCATCATTGTTCACACATGCGCGTTCCAGTCCATTCTCCTTGGTTGCCAGGTTACATCAATGCATCAATGTCATGCAAACCATTCTTGTTATATTAACAATGGCTGAACTTTTTTCAGACAGACTTTGTATGCATAATGACATGTACCCACCATTGTAGAATCCTAAATGTCCTCTGGGCTCCACTTTTTCATCCCTCCCTCCCCACAACTGATCTTTCTACTCTCTCCATAGTTTCGTCTTTTCCAGAATGTCATATAGTTGTTAGCATACAGTATTGACTTCTTTCCCTGACCAGTATGCACTACTTAGGCCTCTTGTAGTCTTTTCATGGTTTGTTCACTCATTTTTTTGATGCTGAATCATTCTTTCACCTACTGAAGGACATCTTGGTTCCTTCTAATTTGGGGGCCATTATAAATAAAGCTGCTATAAATATTTGCGTGATGTTCTTAAGAGCAAAAGTTTTTAATTTTTGAAGTCTAATTTATCCATATTTCATCAACTTTTAACCTACTGTTTGCTTGTGTGTCATATGTAAGAAATTCTTGCCTAGCCCAAGATCATAAATATTTCCTCCTATGCCCTGTTTCAGAAGTTTTATAGTTTTCTTTCTTACACCTAAGTCTATGATCTATTCTGAGTTAATTTTTGCAAATGGTGTAAGGTAAGGGCTACCAAGGTTCTGTTTTGTTTGGGGTTTTTTTTTTTTTGCATATGGACATAAAATTATTGCAGTGCCTTTTTTGAAAAGGCTATCCTTTCCTCATTAAACCTATAACTTTTTTTAAAAAAAGACATTTTCTAAAAACTCACAAAACTCAGGGACTAACTGGTTATATAGCAAGAAAGGAGCCACTGGTTAACCAAAATTTTAAGTCCTAGAAACTAAATGTGGATGGAATCCTGGCCAGAAATAAGTCAGAAGAACCTGGCTGGTTTGCAAAAGTTTGGTTTAGATATGATAAGTTGGAGACAGTTGAATGTCCAGCTGATAGTTAGAAATTCAAGACTCAAACTCAAGGCAGGATATTAGATATGTTTATTTAAGAATTAACTACTTCAAAGAAAATAGCTGAGGCTGTGGTAAATGAGTACAGACAGCGGGAAAGCAATGGGCCAGAACCAAATGCTAGGCAATGTTCCGTTGAGGAGGTGACAAAAGAATTGAGGTAGAAAAAATACAAAGAACTAATTAAAGATATAAAGAAAAGCAAGTGAAAATAATTCATGCATTATAAAAAATATGAGCAAGAACCAGCCAGCAATATCACAAGCAAAAGAGTTAAAAAAAAAAATCTACTGAATTTAATATTTGGGGGATAATAATTTGTAAAAAATGCAGAAATGCTATCTTTACCCAAAAGAAATATGTTGAAACTTGTATCAGTTAAGTAGTACATAATACAAACTTCATTCTATTATTTAACTTCCAAAAAGGACACTGTTTTTAAAATATGGCTATAGCAAAATATATCCCATGCCAACAAAAGTTAATGTATTTAGCCATTTTTAATTTGTTCTTTATCACAAGAGATTTTTCTAGTAGATATTCAAAAGAGCTCCAGAGCAAACAGTAGTTTTCATGCTAAAAAAAAAAATCCCAAATTTTCCTAAATATTTTGTCTGATAGAAATAAAAGATAATCATGGGATTATATATATATATATATATATATATATATATACACACACACACATATTACTTTGCTACAGGACTTTAATTCAGGCAGAAATGTCATTAATCTAAAAAAAAGTAACAAACTTGTTTCAATTCTGACCTAAGGCCTTCAAATAATTAACAATTATTAATATAACATGTTTGTTTCTTTGTTTCACTCGACTTTGAAAGATCTCTCCCTTGAATTTATAGATACTTAAATTTCCCTTTACTATAATTTAATATCAATTATAAATTCTGGAATTGATTTTATACAATACTAACCATAGTAATAAAACACATGTTTAAACAATGGTAGTTGAGTATAATACATGCTCTAACACATGAGATTTACCAGATATAAGTTTATGTTTAATCATTTCTAATTTTGTTCTACTGTCTAATCTGATTAGAGACATCTCTATTAAACTGAAGAGTCAAAGATACTAATAAGCTTTCTCCTGGCAATGCTCTTCACATAAAGAACACAGGAACACTACTGTAGTTAAATGAGTTGGGCCTATTCCTCATTGCATCAAGACATGTATCCTTGATGCCCACCATGGGGAACGGGAATATTTTAGTAAGAGGGTGTTAGAAAAGACTTACAGGATTTGGGATTGTGTTAGGTGATTTGGAGGAGGGTTTTAGGAAGTGAAGCTTTGCTCTGGATTTAATGCTGTCAGGAAGTGAGGGTAATTCTGTGACTGAACAACCTGGCAAAATCATTATCTACAGGGTGAGGCTAAAGCTGTAACTGGTGGAGGCAGCAGTCACTCATACTAAGTGGGAGAGGGGATATCTGGCATTTTGAGGCTTGGACAACATTCATGTTTTGTCTGTGTTTGGATGTGATTTTGAAGTGGTATTGTTTTTGTCTTGACCCATCAGGGACACAAAGCAGCCTTGGCCTAATGTTGATGTTCTATGCAACTGTTTATCTTCAGCAGAAAAACACCAAGCCTAAGCAGTATTGTCAGGCCAGCTCCTAGCAACACCAAGGCCTTGGTGATTATGCAGTCAGCTTCTAACAGTTATAACTACTTTCTCTTTCTTACTCCTAAAGCATGTGGCAACTTACATAAAACAACTTCAACTAAAAAATGATTCAAGACTTAGTGATTTAAAGAGACTGAATTAATGAGTACAGTCTAAGTACAAAATAGAGTAAGAATATTCATAATTTAAAGATTGTTATAAGAAAGATCAATTCAAACAAACCTAAATAGGATTCTTTATCTTCCTTTACTCTACAATGTAAAATTACAATTTTTTCAGGACATTACCAGATTTTTTCCCCAGTAGCAATGTACACAGTATGTAGAAGACAAATAGTTTTCAGGAAAATCATTTAACTGAAAGACTTGGATTTGAAACCCAATTCAATCACTGATTTTATGTAACTGACCTCAAAAATATTCCTCAGCCTCTGTATCCCTCAGTTTCCTCTTCTGTAAAATGGAAATATCTACTCCAGCGTGGTTATAAAGAAAAAAACCAAAATGATGCATATAAAATATACGGCACACCTGACACTCAGAAATTATTAAATCACCAGTTCTATTAATTCTTGTTATATTTTCATAGTCTTTGTATGCATCATTACTCATCTTTATATTTTAAAAGCCTCCAAAGTACACAGGGATATAAATCACCAATAACTGACAGCTGTTTATCATAATGCAAATTAACATCTTTAAATCTTAAACTTAGGCCCTTTACACTTATCATAGATAGAAATATAAGCAAGCCAGAAATATTCACTCTGCTAAGTTTACGCAAATCTGAAAAACGGAGGACCCAGAAATAATTGAGCATGCCCGATTCCTTCTCCTACTTTCATCACTCACAAAAAGGAAAAATGTTGCTCCCATCCTTTTCCCTCCTTGAGTAAAGTGCAAATTTCCTCCCCATTAAGTAAGTATGAGGAATAGAAAATACATAATGCCCCTCCTAAAGGAGGGCTTTAAGGTTCTGGTGCTAGGAAATGAACTGAAACACAGTTCAATCACTAATACAGTATGAGCCTTACTCTCCAATTTGGGACAGAATATCAGGGAGTGGTAACATATGGATGTAGGGTGCCAGGAGGAATCTGTGAAAGAGCCCCAGAAGAGATGGAGGGATGAGGTGAATCAAGACAATGTTTCTCATTTCCCCCACCAATCCTGATATCTTTCCATCAGATGAAAGATGCTCAATCTTTTTCTCCTGACAGATGAGCAACTTGCTTCCATGGGCAGACCCAAATTTCGACAAATCCCCCTAAATGCTGCTAAGTAAACACCCTGTTGCTGGGGGCAGAGGGCAGTTAAGAATTGGGATACAGAGAAAGTGAACACAGGCACACCTCATTGTATAGTGCTTCACTTTATTGAACTTCACAGATGTTGCATTCTTTACAAATCGAAGGCAAGACCCACCACCTGCAAAAAGATTAGGACTAGCTTTGTTGTGGTGGTCTGGAACTGAACCCACAATTATCTCCAAGGTATACCTGTATATAAAAGCACTATTAAGTCTGTTAGCAGCTGTTAATACATCATTAATGATGACCTAGGACATTAGCATAAATTAGCCAGCCTTTAGGTAATGCAAAATTGCCAAAACATTTGCTCAAACACCTTTGTCTCCCACTCAGGAAAGCAGTCAGAATGATGTTAAAAAGGTAACCCAAGCCCTGGCCGGGTGGCTGGAGCATCTGCAGGTACACCAAAAGGTTTCAGGTTCAAATCCCCAGTCTGGGCACATACCTAACTGGTGGGATCCATCCCTGGAATTGATGTTTCTCTCCTTGCCTTCCTCCCTCCCTAAAATCAATAAAACCTATCCTCGGTTCAGGATTAAAAAAAAAAAAAGTAACCCATAGTCTGTCCGAAGTTTGTTACAGTTAAAACACATTTGTCTGAAAACTTCACTTGAGAAAATCTGTACTGGAAGGCTCCCGTTTCAATTCATCCCATCTAAAAGCACCCGCTCCCTTCCAGAAGGTCACCTGTACTGCAGGAGACCCAAAATTTCATCCCTGGGTTGCATTTCAGCAGATATTTAACCAACAGAAAATCACTGTCCTCCTAGGGAAAAGAATAATGCAGGGCGGAAATCAGCATGTCACTGATTTCCATGGGATTCCTTTTAGCTTATCAACATGAAAAGCCATTGTTTCATTTAAAATAGGACCTCTGAGGATAATTGTCTTTTTACAAATTCATGATGGTTGCTATTAGGCTCTTGCATTTTCAGAGCTGTTTGTAAACTAGGTGATGGTTTGTTTTACAATTTAGCCTTCTCAAAAATCCCAGCTAAACTTTTTAACCCTAAAATTTTGAGAGCCAGCCTCTGTCGAAAGATGAGTCCCATGGCTATCATTAATAAGTGGATTCAAATCCCAGATAACAAAGTTAGAATCAAAGCAGCTGTAACAGGTTCAAACTCAAGGAGTCAGATGGATCCAGGACCAAAATAGCACCGACCTCACAAGGCGGTGATCAAATAAATTGTACTAGCAAAGCAAAACGCTGGCAACAGTGCCGGGTGCACAAATACTCAGTAACGTTAACATTTAACCAGCACCGGGGAAGAGGGAAAGTGCTTAGGCAGACTTAGCGGAACAGCGGAGACCCAGCTGGTGCACAAGGACAGAGACCGGGAGCGGAGCAAAACTACTCTGCGGGCTGTGGGTGGCGTGCTCACAGTGAAGCGTCAACGCGTTGTCAGGCAACCGGGTCTCTACGGCATCGCGGACTGCGGCGCTTGCTGTGGCCGGGCGTGATCAGACCACAGAACCAGGGCACCGCCCCTGGCGAGACCCCCACCTTCAGGGAACCCCAAGCCCGGCAGCCAAGCACCGGCCCCGGCCCTGCTGCGAGACCCTGAACCCATAACTCGACCACCTCTCCTAGCCTGGCGGCCTCGAGAACTACCCCTAGCAGGGAATCCGGCCCACCAACCCTCATAAACCCGACACCGCCGCCAACCTGGCAGCCGCGAGACCTCGGCCCCCCGCGAACCCCTGTCCCGGGACATCCCCTCCCGCCAAACCGCGCCAGGCCCGTTCCCGGCACAAGGTCGGCTAACCCTTACTCCGGTGTGCTGGATCGCGTCCTGGGAGACGGACAGCCCTCTAGCGAGGTTCTTCGCAGTCCGAGGAGGTGGCGGTGACCACCGGTCTCGGGCTCCGCCTCTTAGGCCGAGCCCTCCGCCCGCCTTTCAACTGCCAAGCGCGGCACCTCCCCACTCGGAGGAACTCGGAGGAAGGCCGTGCGGCAGGAGGCGACCCCTGCCGGCCCGGAGGCCACACAGCCGCCTAGCGGTTCACGGAGCTGTTCCACACCCAGGCTGGGTACTCAACCGCCGGGTTCACCTGCTCCACCTAACAACTGCGGGCTGTTACCCCGCGGGAGCCATTTCCCAGGCTAAATTGATTCCAGTCCGTTCAATCCCTGCAAGTCCTAGCTGGCCTGGGAACAGGTCACGGCCTGGAAAGAAAAAAGGAGAGTGTTGGCACTGTCAGAAAAACTGTTGGCATACCTCTTCAGGGCATTAATTACTCTTCTCGCAGGAGTCTGGTCAACGTTTTGTTCTGGGCTTTTATTACCAATTTCAACATATCCAATTCACCCCTATATTGAGTGCTACCACTAGAAGAGAGTCCTAGTTTCCATGAAAAGTAGAACTAAGAATCCTTTATCCTAAACCACTTTGTAAGAGAGTTTTAAAGACATTTTCTTTTCCAAGTCTATCAAAACCCCGGTGAGAATTTGATCATTCTAATGTTTTTATTTTAACTGTATGCTGCACACACCATATTAGTGGAAAACCCTGCACTCTAAAACTTACAGTAGGAAAAAAAACTTCGAAGTAAACATTACAATGCAATATAAGTTATAGAAGCACTTACAGACACTTTGGAAGGAATGATTATGGAGACAGGAGGAAGAAAGATATAGTAAAGATCTGAGTTATCTTTTTAAAGATTAATAGGAGTTCCCAGGTAGAAAAGTTGGGGGGGTGCCTTTTAGTGCTAGCCAATGTATGCAAAATTTCAAGGGTAACTTAGAAAAGATATAGCCAGAGAGGTGCTATTCTCCCGCCTCCTTGTTTCCCCCTTTCTTCCGCCCCTGCCCCCTGCCCCGAGATGTTATATATTAAACATCTCGGTGTTTAAAACAAGGAATAAGACCAGGTTTGTGTTCCATGTTTTATCCCTAAAACTGTGATTTAGAACTTAGAATCTAGTGCGGAGCGGGAGAGAGGAAGCAAAGAAAGAATACGTAAAACAAGCAAAAACAAAATAAGTAAACACCATATTAATGTTACTGGAGCTCTGTTCTTCCCGCCGACACAGTAATGGATTGCAGATCAGCGAAACGAAATAGACGAGTAAAAGTTTTATTTACGTTCTCAAGGGAGAGAAGGGGCGCTGCCGATGATAGCAAAGCGGGGACCCTTGCCTCTCAGGTCTGGAGACTTAAATGTAAAACAGTGAGCGCCAGCCAAGTGTTGTATGCTTTCCGGGGGTGCAGTCCCTAACTTGATTGATGGGTCCTGGGGTGCGGAGCGAGGAAACAGCAATGTAAATTCAGGTTAGTTATTATGTAAGTATAGGTTATCTGGGGTCCTGGCAAAGGCTGTCAGTGCGCATGCTTTAAACGAGGAATTTCTCTTGCGGCTCCTAGCTTCTTGCTGTTTCTTCTGCTAGACTATGATAAAGTCAGCAGTTCAGCCGCAATCGACCACCCTGACTGCCCCACCTCTCCCTCTCGGCCGCAAATTCCTGATACCTAACATTAACTGTTGGAAGAAAACAGGCTATTGAGATTAATTCGGTCTCGAGGACAGGGGTAATTTCCCGGAGCAATGCTGAATATTAAACTTTAAAATATCATAGGGACTGGACACTGAACTTTTTCGGAACACTAGTAAATCATAAACATGTTTTCTGGCCTTGCCGGATAGCTGGAGAACGCGTGGAGCCAAACCAACACGAGCCCGTGGGATTCTAAGCTTGAGCATCGGTTCTTCAGCAAGTCAATTAAGATCCCACGTTTATCTTTCAGCCAGCATCCAGGACTACTTACATGTCAGCTTTTCCGCATACATTCCAATTTTTTAATCTTTCAGTAAACTTAATTCATATAAGGTACCTAAAACCTCATAAAAAGAGTTCCCCCCCCCCTTCCCCGTACTACAGCTTAAAGATCTACCCACTTTAATATGGCGGAGACTGAGCCTGCGCAGTACGAACAAAGGAGGACCATTCCAATTTCTGGCAAAACAGTTAACATTCCCTTCTTCCGGTGCGAAAGGCTATACCATTCTCATATTTAATAATTTTTTGTCATAATTCACACATGTTACTTTCCAAGATAATAAGTCCTCCCCTACGCTACCAGAAGACTACGCTGTCTCTATCTATTGTGTAAGTGCTAATTATATGTTCGAGCCTCTGAAGGGCCCCGCCATCCCGGAATGGTCTGCACCAACTTCACCTCCGGTTCCAGGTGTCATGGCTGCCTCGAGAGGCTAGTACGAATTTGCACCCGTGGTGCGGGTCCGGAGCCCACACCCGGAAATCCAGCGAGGTAAAGTTGCAGCTTGGTTGTGGAGGCGACAGCTTCTCGGTTTCCTGGAGATGGCGACGTCTGGGAGTTGTATGGCGCAGAAAACCTGGGAATTGGCCAATAACATGCAGGAAGCCCAGAGCATCGATGAAATCTACAAATACTACAAGAAACAGCAGCAAGAAATCCTGGCGGCGAAGCCCTGGACTAAGGAGTGAGGAGGTCCCTGGCGAGATGCAGGGGAGGGAAGGGGCGGCGGGAGTTTAGGAGACCCAGAGGGAGTGGGAATTGAATGGGGTGGAGACCTTGGTTTTTCATGAAGAGGGAGTAGAAAGAATATGCACTTGAAAAATTCTGGTTTTTTATTCCCACGACTAGAGCCTAAGCCCCACCACTGGGGCTTTCTTCGTCTCCCCTTTCTGTTTAACACTTTTGTCTCCGAAGGATGGAAGAGGAAAACGGCAAGCAGTGATTTGGGGTGTCCCTTCTGAACATCCGTATTTGTAATATATGCGACACACTGCTTTGAACTTTATGTCAATATATACCTTGTTGGGACCTTCACCTTATCCCAGACTATGGAGACAGCAGCTGTCTTCAGAAATTGAGCCAGCCCAAGGGTCTCTAACTATTAGCCATCTTTTAAAGATCTATAATCCTTTGACTGCTGGTCGTTATTTCAGAAACACACGAGGGTCTCCCCAGTCTCCCAAAATGTTACTCCACCAGCTCACAAAAGCTAAAGGTCATATCGATAGAACTTAAGGCTTTTTGCACCTTAGCAAAATCCCTGTGGGAGTGATGGCAAGTTAAGGATTCTTTCACCTGAGAGCAGATTTTCTTAGGAAGAGAGTAAAAAGCACAGTCTCTCTAATGGAGAGAGAGAAAAGACAGCCTTGGTCACCATACAAAAAACATACTTCATCTGTCTCACAGTTTTTTACAAGGCAAGCTTTAACGGTCAGTATTAAGATCCAGTAATGTTTATTGAGTACCTAATATGGGCTGAGCACTGAGCTGGAAATTTCCATGTCATTTAATCTTCATGACAACCCAGTACTGTATTTTCATTCTTTTGCAAATAAGAAAATAAGCAAATACAATAAGGAACTTATTTCATCATCACAGAGGCAAAAAACTCCTAAGTGACCAATTGTCAGGCCTAAGATCAAATCTCACTATTGTCACTAGTTGATTGGCCCTAGGAAATTTACTTATCCATCTTTATCTTTTTATTTGTGAAATGGAAATAAGTGACATTGGTGATGTCATGAAGATTAGATAAGGTAACATATAAAAAGGATGTTCTAGATAAAGTAATATAAAAAAGGATGTCTAGAATGTATGTAAGAAGAGCACAGTAACTGTTTTTTTCCTTTTCCCCAGTAAATGGAGGAGCCAAGATTTTCATTCATATCTTGGTTCCCAAAAGCAAGTCTCCATGTCTTCAATTTATAATTGAAACCTGTGGACAGACATCTTAAAAAGGCTTCTCAGAGACATTGACTGACCACTCTATACAGATTGGTTAGTTTGCCTGGTTGTCTGCTTTCTTCTATAGCAGGCTATACATTTTAGGTTGATACAGCCAATTAGATATTTGGAAGCTGCCAGCTTGCCTCACTGTCTGATTCTAGCTCTACTTGTACTCAGCTGTCTAGGGCTATATCAGTGAGATGGAAAATGTAATTTTATTCAAGAGCAGTTTATTCACATCCACAGATAACAGACTAAAATAATGATTATAGTAGAACTAAAGATATTAGGGCTGCATTTTTAATTTTGAGGCTGATACCATAGAAGTTGAGTATGTGTCAGGCACTAAGCTAAGTGCTTTTTATACATTACTTCATTTTAGTTTATTTCCTCCTGACAACTCTGTGAAATATCCTATTTTCAGATGAGAATACTGGGGCACAGGTATTAAGTGGTTATTTCAAGGACACAGCTAGGACCTGGCAGTGCAAGGATTCAAACCTTGGCAGATGGATGTCAGAACCCACATTCTTAACCATGAGGTCAGAGGTTAGGACTGAGAATAGTTAGGCACAACCATCCAACCAGAATCACAGTCAGAGTTGGTAATTCCAGAATTAAGAAGAAAAAGTCTTCTGAACTGGTCATGTACTTACCTCTTTTCTACTTGAGCAGTATATTCTAAAAAACTATTTCATATTCTTCCCTTCCCCTAAGGGGAAATATTTAGCAGGATTCTGACATGTTTATCATTTCCATCCCCCTACAGAAACTCTTTCCTTTTCTACTTTTTTCTTTCCCACATTCTACATTTTCTCCCCCTTCTACCATTATAAATTCCTTCGATACTCATTATCTTCACATACAGTCTTTTAAAATTGTACTTTATATAAGAAAGTTAATTACACCATGCTTTTGTTTTGTAGTCACCATTACTTTAAGTACTGCAAAATCTCAGCATTGGCTCTACTGAAAATGGTGATG